ACGTCATCGTGTTATATCTCTGAGATTGGTTTTGCCGATCCTACCCCTCAGCCAACAATATCGCATCTAGGCACCCTATAGTGCTACTACTTGATTGATTCACAATGGAGGAAACCATGAAGGCATGGCAGCAAAATGCCCCCGGTCCTGTTGAGGAGAACCTCAAGCTCGTCGACAATGTCCCGAGTCCCAGTACAGCTCTCAAAAAAGGCGAGATCCTCGTCCGCGTCGTCAGCGCTTGTCTCAACCCAGCAGACTATAAAGTCATGGAAATGGGATTTCTCGCTCGTGCCACCGTCAAATTCCCCAAGGTCATGGGTATGGATCTCAGCGGTACTGTCACAGCGGTGGCCGAGGGCTCGACGGACGTCAAAGTCGGCGACTACATCCTTGGCCGTGTCGATCCAATGAAGTCCCACGGCTCTCTATCCCAGTTCCTAGTCTTGTCACAAGAGGAATATGCTGTGATTCCCAGGGAAGTGGATCTTGATCATGCTGCCGGTGTCCCCACCGCTGGTATGACAGCCTACCAAAGCATCAAGCCCTACGTCAAAGCGGGCGATCGTATCTTTATCAACGGCGGCTCCGGGGGAACAGGATCCTTCGGTATTCAAATTGGAAAGGCCCTCGGGTGCCACGTCACAACATCCTGCTCAACAGCCAAAGTCGATTTAGTGAAAAAGCTAGGCGCCGATGCAGTCATCGACTACCGCGTCGAGAATATCGTTACTGAACTGAAAGCCGAAGGCCAAGTCTACGATCTGGTGGTGGACAACGTTGGTAACTCGCCAAAGGACTTTTTCGCCACGACGCCTGGATTTTTGAGGTCAGCGGGCCATTATATTGCCGTCGGTGGCTCCCCGTCGCTTCAAACGGTTCAGAATATGACGAAAGGTCTGCTGTGGCCGAGCTTCCTGGGTGGCACGCCACGCAAATTTGTGCCGTACTTCACCAAGAACGTACGCGAGGATTATGAGCAGCTAGCAAGTTGGCTCGCTGATGGGACCATCACAACGACCATCGATTCAACATTTGAATTCGAGCAGGTCATTGGGGCATTGGAACATCTCAAGAAAGGCTCTAGCACGGGAAAGGTCATTGTGCACGTCTCCCCCAAGGAATGAGAGTGTCGCCTACGAGCAAAATGTTGAATGAGGAATATAATGGTATCTTGATTTGATTGGTGCTCAATTCAAGTTGACAGCAATGGGTTACTAGGTACTTCAAGTTCTTGGTATTCTGGTGTTCAATCGCAGTATTCCTGGCTTTTGATTGAAGGTATATCCATGGATATATTGCTGTAATTACCAAGGTTCAAGACTCGGTTATTCTACCCTCAATCTTTTGGTTGAACTACCTAGCAAGGACCTCGGGATATTTTGCTGTATGTGGCGGTGGATGAATGGTCACCACAAGACAGCCCTTCACGCTCTTTCTCACGACACGAACCCCCAAAGCGGGGACACTCTCATGGCAAAAGACATCACCGATTAGTCTTGATGTGTCGGAAATATATACCGGGAGGCGGTCAAAACGTTATTCGGTCGACAGCTATTCAAGGAATGGTATTTTTAGCAATAGCAAGATTTGACAGGAACTTGAACCAGACAAAGAAATCTAGTGCCCGGGCTACTAGAATTAATACTACTAGTAGCAGAAGGAACCTGAAATTGTGCAGGTTTTATACTAGTAGTAGTTTATCTCTAACCATAAGCCGGACCCTGCTCTATTGAGGCCCACTTTAGCAACTTTCAAATGTCCGTCCCCACTTACCAACAATTAATTTCAAGTTCCTGAAGAGTCAATTCATTTCTCTATAGAAGACACGATAACCTGGGGGCCTATAGTCCACAGGTGTCACTATCCTATATATAATAGCATCGTGTGACCACTGTAGGACTTGTACTATACATAGCTGAGCCACGGTGTGGCGGAGTGCCCAGATAGCGCTAGACCCGAAATAGGCAAACGCTAACCATAATAGGACGTCCACCGTTTACAAAAATAAAAATGCTTCAACATCCCTTCGCGCCCGACGTGGTCAAGTGGAGTCGTAGCCTGGCCCTGGCAGACTCGGACATGCCAGTGCCGTGCCAGGGCCAGGGCCGGTCTCACCGCATTGCAGGCAACTTGAACAGCCCTGCAGGCGCCTAGTATTTAACCTAACTTCTCGATTCTTCAAACAAAGACCCGTCTTTTCGACGCCATACCTATTTCTCGATCTTTCTAGCCTCATCTGGGGATGCCTCACATATCCAATACCCCGGAATCTTTGATACCACGCTCGGATTCCCGGAATCCAGCCAACACATGTAGAGGTATCACAACTCAAGGCCGGCCCTGTCGGCGCGGCATAACACCGTCCCCAAATCCGTCTCCGGTATCGACTCCTCAAAAGAAGGGCTCTCGACATGCACCGATAGATGTGGATTCTTTGTATTGCTGGCAACACAAAGACCAGGCTTCTTCCTCGACCCCGGCCACTCAACCCACAATCCATGAAGACCCTTTGAAGCCAAGGTCTAGCATTGATACTCTTATGGACCGACTTGGCGTCCTTGACATCAACGATGGAACGCAAAAGCCTCCAAATAGGCGGTATACGAACCAAGCCAATCTTGGCGAAAAACTTCGACCTCGGCCCAAGAAGAAGAAAAGGTCCTTCTGCTGCTTCGAAATCGTGGACGAAGAAAGTGACGAGGATTCCAAACCATCCATTCCAGTCCAGAAACCCCCACCATCTCGTCCATCACATCATTCTAACCAAGGGCGCCCTCAAAATGGCCGCATCCCATCATTTGGCCAGCCAAAACCATCTCGGCCTTCTGCACCAACTCCCAGAAAGTCTTCGCAGACCGGATCTCTTTTATCATGGATTCCTTCCACTTTGGAACCTCAAACGACATCGATCCTTTTGACGGAACTAGCCAAACCTATCTCCGATGCCGACGAGGAAGGCTACATCTACATGTTTTGGGTCACACCTCCAAAAAGTACTCCACGAGGAAATGGACCAAGTGGAACGGCACAACCTCCCGTCCCAAGAGATATCGCATCCTCTCTGCTGCCACAATCTCCCTACAAGGATAACACCCTCCGACCCCCAGCACAACCACGAAGTGTCAGTGATGCAATTCGCGCAGCACGGGATCTCAATGCATTAACCACAAACCCGACACCTACCTCACCCGGCACACTCAGACTGAAAATAGGCAGGACGAGTAATGTCCACAGAAGACTGGTGGAATGGACACGCCAATGCTCCCACGATTTGACACTCATCCGTTACTACCCTTACACCCCGTGTTCGTCTACAAACTCTTCCCCAGCTAGAGTGCCACCATCTCGGACCCCGGCGGCCTCTTCAGTATCCGGAGGCAAGGTCCCGCATGTCCATCGCGTGGAAAGACTTATTCATCTTGAATTGGCGAATCTTCGAATTCGTGATCTTGGCCAGTGTACGGAATGTGGCAAGGAGCATCGCGAGTGGTTTGAGGTTGAAGCGCAGAAGGACGCATTGCGAAAGGTAGATGAATGTATTCGGCGGTGGATTGCATGGGGGGAATCGATGAAGTGAATGTCAATTAGCGATCCGCATTGAGTCATACTATTTGAGAAGTTTCTTGATCTGGTCCGATTGTAGACTTACTAGGCTTAGTGGCTTTTCTGGCGAATTGCGGGTGGCTCTCTCCCCTCAGGCACCCATCCTTTTCATTCACTGTAACAACTCCGTGGTAACTCCGTGATAACTATCCACCTGTCTCTTTTGTCCTTCTCTCTCGTCCTTCTCTCCCATCAATAAGCCTTCTCATCTAATACCCCTGGTGTCCATCACGGTGCAAAGAAAACTTCCGGCTCACTCCATTTCAGTTACCGCTGATATCATCTACTCGCATCTCGACAACGAACAAGCGTCACTACGAACCACAACATAGCAATATAGCAAAACCATCAAGATGTCAGGCGAGCACCCCAGTGAGTCCAATGGCGTGAGCCCATGGCCAATCTCGCCGGACTTTTGCCCATACAAGCCATTCCCAACACTCTCCGATCTCGTTCGACTCGATCAAATCCCTCGATTCCCACAGCTCAACCCTCAGGAAACGAAAATGTACCAGGAGCGGGCAACCGTGCTCTGGAACTTGATCAACCACAGCCAAGAGGGCACCGAGCCCTACATTTATGCCTTCACAGAGCTTCTGGGACTATCGCTTCTGCTCTGGGAGGGGATTAAGCAGTTTCAGAAATACGAGTACGGAGTTTGGGTGCGGGCCAGAAAGCACGAATCGGAGGAGAAAAGGCTGCACGAGCTGGGCATTCAGAGGGAGAAAGACTATGGCATTTCTATGCGCAAGCTCGAACATGAACTCCTCGACTTTCCGAAGGATTTTAGACTACAGGTGGACGCTTTTCAACTCTATCTCCCCGCTGGCATGACTGAAAGTCAGGCCGACCGCTGGATCATCGAGACACGACTGAAGTATGGAAATGCTATTAAAGAGAAGAAGGCTAGCCAACAGTTGCTAGACAGGGTGGCTATGGCAAGGGTTCATCGCCAGAAAGCGGGAAAAGCTTTGACACCGGATGAGTTGAAGGATTACGAGTCGAAGATGAAGAAGGGGAATGATGGGTACAGTCATGCAGTCACGACCCTTTTCAACTTGAGGATGAAGAGCGAGGAAAACAGTATGAAAGGAGGAATTCTTTGCAGCAAGCAGATCTGGTTCGGCTAGAAGGTGTCTGAAAGTCTGTCCAACTTGAACCTGCCTCACTGATCTAGGCCTCTACCTTATGTGAAGTAGTTTTTCCAGAATACCACCTGAGTGTTTATCCTTATCAAATCTATCTAGGTTATCCAGAAAGATTTCCAATTACACACAGAAGTATCAATTTTTACATTATCCAGATGCCAGGGCGTAGTGGCTCCCATAAAACCAAAATTCATGTACACTCTGCTTCTCGCAGCAACCCAACCCCAACCCCCCTCAACGACATAGTATCTAAAGCTTGTTGGATCGTCTCATTGAGTCCTTGATAGTAACATCATAATTCGAAGGCAATAAATGATCTAAGCCAGCCGTATTGATGTAAGATGGGCTCGCATCGTGGAACAAATCCGTCATACCCACCAGCTGAGTAGCCGTCTCGATTTCCTCTTTGATCACTACATCGAAGTTAGCATCCGACCAAATTTCCTAAGTCATATCATACTCACAGCTCACAGCATGCTCAACACCATCCTGCCCATAATTGAGAGCATATGCAAACGATCTACCCAGACCCACGGCAGATGCACCGAGACAAATTGCCTTGACGATATCCGAGCCGCGACGGAACCCTCCATCCACAAGGACCTTCATTTTGCCGAATACTTCAGGGCAATATCGGTGGATTTCCAGAAGAACAAGGATTGTCGGGGGTGTGGTGTCTGCGGCCCGTCCTCCGTGGTTGCTGATCACAATGCCATCGAACCCAGCTCTCATTGCTAGACGAGCATCTTCAGCCCGCTGAACGCCCTTGAGTACTATAGGGAGCTTCGAGATACTCCGTAACCAGCGCAGATCATCCCAATTTAGAGTTGAATCGATGAAGGAACTGTTGGCTTTCGCTAGACCGGCACTCTTCTTCTTCCCTGTCGGGCTGTTGTTATTGTCCTTAGCTACATTAATCCACTGGGTACCTTCATCAAGCTTGATTCGCTCATCTGCCTCGCGCTTCGACATAACCGGTAAATCGGCGGTTACAAATAGAGCTTTCACTTTGCCGGTTTTCTCGGCTAGGCGGACGAGCGCTTCTGTCTTGGATCGATCTCTATTGATATAGAGCTGGTAGAAAGCCTGGGTAGGGGTTTGATCAAGAATCTCGGCAAGAGAATAGGAAGCCATTGTTGAAATGCAGTGAATGATTCCTGACGAGGCAGCTCCTCTCGCGAGAGGCAGTTCGCCTTCTTCGTGGCTCATCTTGGCTGCACCAACAGGAGCGACGAAGACTGGAATGTCAAGCTTGCACCCGAAAAGACTTGACTGGGTTTTTACTCTCGAAACATCTCGCATGATTGCCGGCCGTAGCCAAATACGCCGGAAGAAATCGCGATTCTCGTCTCTCGTGAAGCAGTCATTGGCGGCTCCGCTATGATACGCCCATGATTTGGGACTGAAGGTATTTTTGGCCACGGCCTCGAAATCATCCAGGTTTATGATGTCGTCGAGTGGGGGATTTTGATAGACTTGAGATTTAGAGATCGTCGTTGTCGACTTGGGTGGTTCATTCTGCCCACGCCATTCTTCCGTGATGGTTGTCGTATCTAGGCTCCCAACAATACTATCGTCGATATCTTTGATCAATGAAGGCGAGTGCGCACTATTGTATTTCTGAGATGCATCGCGGCCAGCGAAATGATAAATAACTTTGAGGGTCAGTTAGCCGGGGGGTTTTCTAAATGTGGGGATCTGGAAGATTGGTAGTACTTTCGGCACCACCAGGGTGATCCCGGGCAAATTTGGTCACGTCGTAAACTTTCCCATTCACCACGATCCAGATATCGTTCTCATGAGCATGGTTCGCAATCTCTTGTGTCGAGATCAGCTTGGCCATTATAACTGCGGCTGAAATGGCCCGGCAGTAAGTGGTCAAGAGTATGAGGAATACGTTGTTGCTGATTTGAGGACGGGGGGTGATTAGTGTTTAAGTATCCCTTGATTGGCTTGGGGGGAAACGTGGTTGGAGTGGCCCGAGCGCACCTGAATGAGTGTCTACCAGTGAGCGTAAAGCATATACTATACTAATATGTGAGCGTCAAGAGAGATTCGCTTGAAATTTACAATCTGTTTGATTGGAGTATTTTGCCTCATCTCGGTAGCCCTTTCAGAACTACCAACTACGACACCCGATGACTGTCAGTAAGACAGATCGCAATTTCGAGCAGCAAGTATCTATGCCACCTTACCCTCGACCAAATCGAATGCAAAATAGTACTGATACTTGGATACTTACTGGTGTAGACAATATGGAAATTTATTGAACTGAGTAAATCAGAGAATGGAGCAGAGCCATCCCGAAAAACTAGGGAATTCGGAAACGGATCCCGGAATCAATTCCGATAATAGGAATCTAATGCCTGAGAGGGCTGCCCGTATATCAGAAAGAATATTAGAAAGTTCAGATACCCAATAGATATGAATATTTCCATCCAGTTAGTCCTCGGGAACTTCATCCTCCTCATCCTCATCCTCAAGCACCTCATCGTCGATTGAAGCAAAACAACAGATGGAACGACGACGATACGTCCCATCTCTATCTTCCTCCTCCCAATCCATTTTATCATCCCCAGAGAGCGCAAAGAGAGTTGCACCACGAAGCCTTAACAATCTGGCAATATCTTCGTAGCCTTTCATTTCAGCCACGTATAACCCGACATGTCCCTGCTCCGCAACATTCAATCCCTCATCTATAAGAAACTCAACCAAACCACAATCATTCCGCAGAGCCGCGAGTTTCAGCACAGCCCTTTGAGACCGAACGTCAAGCTTTATTAACGCAGAAATGATATCTCGACGCTGATCCTCCACAGCACGATATAAATTCGACAAATCGTATCGCTGCGGATCAGCCCCAGAATCGAGCAGTAATTTGACCATCTCGAGACTTCCGCCCCGGACCGCCGTGAATAATGGAGGTAAATCCTGCTTCGGTCCCGGTCCCCGAGGTGGCCTTGATTCCCAGCCGATTCTATTTTTGGGCGGTGGATATACGCGACCACGACCGCGGTAGAAATTAGGCTCTGCGCCGAATTGCAGTAGAAGATTAACGATATCAACCCGGTCTCGTTGAATAGCTAGTATTAAGGCGTGTTGGAGATTCTCAATTACCGAAATACAATATCCGCGCGAGGAGAGAGGGTGGGCGTAAATGTCTTCCCAGTAGGAATCTTTGCATTCTGAACTTGAATGTTCATTCCGTCTTCGCCCTTCGAGGGTGTAGCATAAGTTGTATGAGGAGAAATATGAGTCTTCTTCTTCTTCACTTTCACTTTCACTTTCATCTTTCGATTGGCGATTCTCGGCCTTCCTGAGGCGTTTCGCAATTCTATTTTCTCGATAGAGGTCATTGGGAAGGCAGTGAGGTCGAGCACGGGCGACATTCAAGCCTTCTAACAGATGTTGAACATTGCGAGGGAGATGATGCTCAACCGCGAAGAATAATGCAAATGCATGGAGATATTGGGCATTGAAGAATGGTAGGACTTGATGAAGTTCTCGATATAAGCGGCGATTTGTTCGAATCAACGCATTAATGTGACTCTCCTGCGAAAGACAAGATGCAATCATCAATAAAATCTCAGTGGGTAATTCAGAAAGACCCATTGTCATTAGCGGTAACAGCCCGCCAGCCAGCCGGAATATTGGGATCTTCTCTCCAACTCTCACAGGCGTAGGTGAGTCAACAACCTCACCCACCTGCACAATGCTTGTGGCCCCATAAACATAAATTACCACAGCATTGTATCGGTATGTACAATACACCTTCCTAACGCGGGAAAAGAGAGGCCTAGAGTAGAAGACCCCACTAACTCACGGGTAGACTCGGTACGGAGGTTTAGTCAATCCCGATTGGGCATTCTGGAAGAAGTGTGCGGAAGCGAAGCTGGACCTTAGCCCCCAGTGATCAATCGATTAGTACCCCAATGAGCATTTGGAGGGGGAAGAGAGGGGGCCGGGGAACGACTTGCTCTCTCCAGAGCGTTCGGTGATCGGTGGTTCGGAGCGGAGAGCCTATCAGATTTGGGATCGGATGGACTGCCGGTGATCTGCCAATTTCCCCGTAGCGTAGAGTAGGGTCTAACTATCATTTTGGACTCTGCATGTCGTGTGACTTTGGATGTTAACGTATTGGGGCGGGCGATTGGTTCATGGTTTCGAGGATATGGGTTCAGAAGGGGCGATGGTTACTGGGGACATGGTTCGAGATGCTTTTTGGTGGCGGGGGAAGTCTAGATCGGGGTTTGTGGCGACTGGCTAGTTGGACTACATCGATGAACTACCAGTACTCTTTTTTCCTTTTTTTGATAATTCCATATATACCAGGTGTTGACAATTACTGTATATCGCCAGGATAGAGAAAAACAATCTAGAATTTTGTGTATCCGTCATGCAAATAGCTATCATAGACATCGGCTCATGGCTCATGTACAAAAGAAATTTTGAATGTGCCCTCCAAAAAACATCGAAGGCGAAAAGGAAAAAAAAGAAACAGAGACAAGGCAAGTTTATCAACACACAATCTCAATAAACAAATTTACCAGCCACGACCAGCGAGCTTGTCACCAGCAGGCATCTGCGACACATTAATGCCAACAATAGCCTCACCCAGACCCTCAGAAACCTGAGCGAGAACCTTGGGGTCCTTGAAGTGGGTAGTAGCCTGGACAATAGCCTTGGCACGAGCCTTGGGGTCACCAGACTTGAAGATACCAGAGCCAACGAAGACACCATCGCAGCCCAGCTGCATCATGAGCGCCGCATCGGCGGGAGTCGCAACACCACCAGCGGCAAAGTTGACAACGGGCAGACGGCCCTTCTCAGCACACTCACGGACAAGCTCGTAGGGGGGCCTCGATCTCACGGGCGAAAGCGCGCAGCTCGGGCTCGGGGTCCGCGCTGGACTGAAGAATGCCACGGGCACGGGCAATCTGGGCATTCACGGTGCGCATGTGCTTCACGGCCTCGACGACGTCGCCGGTGCCGGCCTCGCCCTTGGTGCGGATCATGGCGGCGCCCTCGGAGATGCGGCGCAGGGCCTCGCCGAGGTTGCGGCAGCCGCAGACGAAGGGGACCTTGAAGGGGGACTTGGTGACGTGGTAGACGTCGTCGGCCGGGGTCAGGACTTCGGACTCATCAATGTAGTCGACGCCAATGGACTCGAGGATCTAGAAGGAGGGTGGAATGGTTAGCTTTGGATTTTCTTTATACCCCGCGCTTTGGAGTGCTTCTTATCCGCCACCTCCGGGAATTTCTTTCTCTTTCATATAGTTCTGAGCATTGGTGAAACGTACCTGGCACTCAACGAAGTGACCAATGCGAGCCTTGGCCATGACGGGAATGGTAACGGCGGCCATGATCTCCTTGATCATACCGGGGTCGGACATGCGCGCAACGCCACCCTCGACACGAATATCGGCGGGGACACGCTCGAGAGCCATGACGGCGGCAGCACCAGCCTCTTCAGCAATGCGAGCCTATGGAGAGAGAAGGATATGTCAGTAAAGAGAATTGAGCGCAACTGACAATTGGCGACAGAGAGCGAGTTATTGTAAACCTACCTGCTCAGCGTTAACCACATCCATGATTACGCCACCCTTGAGCATCTGCGCAAGGCCGGCCTTGACGAGGAAGTCATTGCCGGAGGAACCGTTCTGTTGAGTCATTGTGAAGAAAGAGGTGGAATTGGGAATCAAGATAGAACGAAAAAAGACGAGAAGGGAAAGAGGGATTGAGGGGATTAAGAAGAAAAGGAAGAAGAGTGAGTCAAAACGATAAGTAAGTTCCAAAGTTCCCCGCCAACGCTGCACCCAAAAGGTCGCCTCAGGCTCGGCGGGGCTGCCCCTCGCGATTTAAGCTCGTGCAGCGAGTTACCCGAGGAGACTGTGTATGGTACTGTACTGTCACAGTACTAGTACTAGTACTAGTATATATTACATACTCCATCTAGAATGCTCATGATAGGTATACTACTGTACTATATTGCTACTAACTAGTATACAGGAAAATGTGGTCGGCTGATCATGATCTCCTATACTAACTACAAGAGGAAAGACACTCCCTTAGCTGCACTGAATACTAACTATACCTACAGCACTCGGACGAGAAAATTACCCACGTAACTCTCTCCCTCACCATTAGACTTTTGCCGCGCCGATTCCACTCACCGAGGGCAATTCCGCCGGAACTTGTTGGGCTTGGCTACTCTTGGTACTTTCAAGTTACTACTACTAGTACTCTCTACTCTCTGCTCTCTACTCTACCAAGGCCACTTCATTTTGATCGATCACAAGAAATTGATTTGGTTTTTCATCAGTAAAATATGGTTACAGGCCCCCCTCTACAAGGGCACTTCAACTATTTCTCAGCGGGACTGTCAAACTAGTAGTAAAGAGAAAACTAGTCCCCGTTCCCACGCCATGACATCTGCACACCAATTCATTCTCCCAGGGATTGTATAAAAGAATAGCGGCAATTAAAAGAAAAAAGAGAAATTTGGGACAGAACTAAACGGAGAAAGGCAAAAGATTCAAAAAGGGGAAAAAAGAATCTTTCGTCATGCTGCTCGTGAAATTTGGAGAACAGTCTCGTTAATTTAGCTGCCGGGGACCAGGCCCTTGAGGCCGGCACCGATGTCACCCTCACGGGCGGCAATTTCAAAGTATCCGTAGATGATGCTAAGTCAAATGTTAGTACATGTTTAAAGATGAAGGGGGGGGGAAGAATAGTCAACTTACGTCACGGCAAGCAGGATACCAGTACCGCTGCCAAGAGCACCGAGAAGATCGGACGCAACGGACAGACCACCAATGCAGGCACCACCGAAGGCGGCAGCAGTGGGGATAACACGCTTGAGCTCCTTGTACATGCTCTGCTCACGGTGGCCGGACATGACGAGACCCTGGTCCTTCAGCTGCTTGGCAACGTCACGGGGAGCGGAGCCGGAGACCTCAATCCAGGTCTTGGAGAAGAGCGCACAGGCAACGAGCATGAAAGCAATGTAGACAGCAGTGTGAATGGGGTCGAGGAGAGCCTCCTTGAAGTTCAGAGGAGGGGACATGTAGTAGGCAATACCCGAGGAAGCGAAAAGCTGGGCAGAACCCTCACGGGGCTCCCAGACTCCGAGAAGCTTGACAAGGAGGTTGTCAGAGAAGCGGGAGTACAGCATCTGGGAGATCAGGAAGATGTTGGAGGACAGAGCTGACTGGAGCATGATGGGCATGTTGGAGGTGTAGAACAGGCGGACGGGGTAAGAGCCGCGCATGCCACGCTGGCGGGCGGACTTGACGGGGATCTCGACGCGGAAGCCCTGCAGGTAGATAACAGCGGCGAAGACGACGAGGGTAGCCAGAAGGTTCATGACGTTGGGGAGGTTCTGGCGGTAGAAAGCCTCGTACAGAGCACGCTGCTTGTCGGGCCAGGTGAGGAGCAGGTGGAACAGGGCAATGATGGCACCCTCGAATTCGGGGCCACGGCCGGTGTTGATGGTGGTAGGGGAGAAAGCCTTCCAGACGATCGACTCGCAGATGTTGGTGGCAATGAACAGCGAGATACCGCTGCCCAGGCCGTAACCCTTCTGCAGGAGCTCATCGAGCAGAATGACGACGAGACCGGCGACAACCAGCTGGACGATGAGCAGAACACAGATACCGGCACCAAGATCACTGGGCTGGCCGTAGAGACCAGTCAGGACGTACACACAGGCCTGGCCGAAGGACAGGATGATGGCGAACAGCTTCTGGGCGGTCTGGTAGAGCTCGCGGTCGGTCTTGAGGTCAAGGTTGACGTCGATGAGGTGGGTACCGGCAAGGAGCTGGAGAAGTGACGGTCAGTTTCAATGCTCTCGGCTCGTGACAAACCAATTGATATCACCTACCTGGAAGACCATGCCGGAGGAGATGATAGGGGTGATACCCAATTCCATCAGAGTACCACGGTTACTGGCCAGCATCATACGGAGCCAGTACAGGGGGTCCGAGGTGTCGGAAGAGACGATACCATAGAGAGGCATCTGGCTCATGACCAGGAAGATAAGCAGAGTCAACTATACACGAAGATTGAGGTCAGCATTGAAAACGGATCACGAAACACGGTCGATTCTCGAAGTTGGAGCAACGTACACCCGTCCACATCAGCTTCTGGTTGAAGGGCACCTTGGTCTCAGGCGCCGCCACCTCCGGAAGGAGGGGCGTGAAGGGCTTGATCAAGTCAAGGAAGCGAACTAATCATGGTTGTCAGTATTGGCGAGTCCATTGAGGGTGATCCGAGGGACGATGAGTTGCGACGATCGATCGCGTGCTGGCAGGGTGGGAAGAAACTCACGGCCGCTCATTGTGACAGTCTTCCCTCCAATCCGTCGTTAAAGAAATAGAGGAAGCTGGAATTGGAAGCCAGCTAAAGGAGTGGAATGGGGAAGATGAAAAGGAAAGGAAAAGGAGGATGGGGAGGTCGGAGGGAGATGGGGGGGGGAGAAGGAAAGCCACAGAAAGAGAAGAGGTTCGCTGGCCACTTTTCGCTTCGCGCTAATTCAACTAAGGCCACTTGGCCACCACTCTGGACTAGCAGACCACCAGTACTATGCACTTCTCTCCCCTTTTAATTCCCCTTCCATTGACTCACCCTGAAGAGAAATAGCGTCAAACAGTTGGAAGATTTAAAATGACTCAATTATTTTTTATTACTTTGAGATATTTCTACTACTTTCGAGATGCTCTCCTAAGCTGTGGGTGTGTACCCCAGGGTAGCACCCCCCGAGCTTATCCCCACACTACCTTAACACAGGGTCTACCTTACCGTCTACTCGTACCTATCGTATCAAGCTCTATATTCAGCACACCATTCTGAAGAACCCTTTATTATTGCCCAGGACTCACGGGCTATTCTATCTGAAGATTCGGAATATTCGTAGTGAAAAATAAAAGATCAGAAGAAGAAGATCATACTCCCGCTATTCTATAGAGACACCAGGTCGTTGCGAGTGATCTTCACCCAAGAGGTTTATCCAAATTTATCCGAGCCTCGCTCAAGGACCAACAAGACCAATGCAGTCATCAATCACCAATTCAAGTTCGCCCAATCGAGTCTTCAGCCCTCGGTTCTCATCCTTGAGAATACCCATAACACTCCAGGCCTCGGAAGCGGGTACACCATGACAGTTGCCACATTGGTTTGGGTTGCCGGTGTTGCCGACAAAAGAGCTTCCCAAACGCGTCGAAGCAATGCCCTTGATCACACGGTCGTAAGCTGACGACCGCGCCGGGTTGGGTGTGCTTGTGACCTTGACAAGATTCTTCTGGATGGCAGGAGTTGGGGTAGGAGTGGCGGTTGGATTGGACAGAACAACCTGGGACAGGTTGGGAGATGGCGCGGTAAGTGTCGATGTAGGGGACTCAATGCCCTCCTTGTGTGAGAAGACGCTGTCGGCCACACTCTCGTCACCGGACTCGAAGCCAGAGTCGCTGGTCAAGGTGCCATGGCTTGCACGCTTGCCACCGCGATGGGGAGTCTGGAGGACGAGGGATGGAATCTCCTCGTCAGGAGGAATCGCACGCATCGTACGACTGCGACTACGGCTCTCCTCCTGATGGCGCATGTGCCTTTCTTGTTCCAGTTCCTCGGCCATGGCCTTCATGGCTTTCTCCTGGTCGAGGACCTTGGCCGCCATTCCATCGAGCTGCATCCTTAAATGGTCAGCTCGTGCCCGAGTTTCCTCGAGCTCCTCTTGCTTCTGGTTCTTCGCGGCTAAGGCTTGGTGCATCGCAAAGGTCCTTTCCTTGTAGGCTTCTTGCATCTCTCGCAAGACGGTGCTAGCCTGTTCTCGGAGGATGTCGAGTGCATCTTCGTTATCGAGATCGGAGTTGGGCAGCGATAGGGCTGCATCGATATCGAGATTGAGGAATTCGTCGTCGGCAGGAGCTGGAGGGAGCGGTTTCTCCTCTGCTTGTTTTCGGAGGCCGAAGAATGTAAAGCCCGAGTTTGATCGGTTGTGGGAGGAGCGTAAGGTGGTGAGACGGGGTTTATCCATTTCGTCCGAGTCGGCAAGTCCGTCGGTACTTGTACGTGTAGCGATTCCCAAGTTGACTGGATCTGACCTGCCCTGAAACCAATCCGACAGGACCCTGGCTCTTGCTTCAAGTTTCTTTTTGGGGAATGTATCAGTCCAAGAGAGGGGCGATGGGCCCAAAGAGCGTTTTGACGAGCCGTCGGATGAGGTTGGATCGTAGAGGTCTTCCTCGAAGATAGGGGGTCTTGAGATGTACTCGGTATTGGCACGACGGTGGGAGGGCAGACTGTGGAAACGGTTCTCCGGGGAGGCTAAAGGGATCGACGGTTTTGGGGGCGACGAGGCAACGGTCGTGTGAGGCCCCTGGGAGTCATCGGAATGTAGGGAGATTGAGGAGGAGAGATGGGAGGACATGACGAGGGGGAACTCGTCTTGGGACAGAAACACAGGGCGAGTTTGTAATGCCACGTCGAATCGGGTTGCTGTGGCGTTTGGTGGTGTGTGCAATGTGCAACCTGAAAGGTGGAGGGCGAGTGGACTAGTGGACTCCCTTTGAAGGGTCGAGGTGTGTGAAGTCAGGGAGATTGGGAGATTGGATATGGGATATGGGAGGGAAGATGGAGATGTGTCGAAGATGTTTCAAGGTCCTGTGGCAGCCCTCAAATCTAAATTGTTTTGGTCTAGTTTCTGTTTCTGAGTTTGTTTTATTTTATTCCCCCCCCTGTGCAACGCGTCTGGGCCAAACAAAAGAAAAAGGCTGGGAAGTATGAAATAGCGGTGGCTGGTGGCTTCAACCAAGTTCTCCACCACCAACCACAGCAACAGCAACAGCTCCACCTCTACGGAATCTTCTCTCCAGTCTTCTTTCGACTTCCCTTCTTCAGTGGACTGTGGTGGAATTGCAAATCCACACGACAAAGAGTGGACGACAGGACATTGGCAGTCCTATGAAGATCAAGATCGGAACTAAATACTCCGCGGGTTTCTCCTAATCCGATCCTCATCCGATCCTCATCCGATCCCACGTTACGTGCAAATCTTCCTTCTTACATCCCAACCATCGTCATCGTCATCGTCATGGCACCCCCCAACCCCGGCCTCACCCACCTTTCCAATGCTCTCGCCACCCCAGAGCAGCTTTCGGCTTCTTCCTCGTCCATCGATGGTGTTCCCTCCGACCTGGAAGCTTCAATTCGCTGCGCCGGAACGCAATTAACCCAGGCCGCAGGCGTGCTCTTGCATTTGTCGCAAGATATCATCGCACAGGCAATTGTCATATTTACGCGCTTCTGGCTCGGAGCCGATGGAGGCAGCTTGCGCATTTACTCTGTCAAGGTGAACAAGCTTCCTTCAGTCTTTCTTGACTCATTTCCTTGTCTAAGTGACCTCGCATCTAATCTGAATTCCAACCTCGCCAGGATGTATCAGCCGCTGCTCTCTACCTGACAGCCAAATTATCATTTCAACCCACATCCCCACGCTCCGTTCTCAATGTCTACACACTGCTCCTCTCGCAAGAGGCCTCTCCGCTGTGGTTTGTAAACCCCCACGGGGCGCCCAAGCAGCCGCCCTCCGCAGACAGCTACACCCTTACAGAGGGCGGATACCAGTCTGCGCGCCTGGTTCTACTTCGCATCGAGTCCGTGATTCTCCGTACTCTCAGTTTCGACACTCACGTTGCCCTCCCTCACACTATCGCTCTCACATACCTCCAAACCCTGGGAGTCACCGACTCCGCCGTGTCCCGCCGAACCGTCGAATACCTGAATTCCGCATTGTTTTCTCCCCAACTACTCTACGTCACACATCAGCCGAATGCCCTGGCAGTAGCGGCCATCTATCTTGCGTCGCGAGAACAGGGTTGCAAGCTGGTCGATGGTGAATGGTGGGAGGTATTTGATGTCGATCGGGAAGAGCTTGGATTCCTGGTGGTCGGAATGAAGAGTACGGAAGGGTTTATGCGTGCTGAAACGGAAAAATGGAAGGGTCCTGGAAAGACGATTCCTCTGGTGGTTGAAGAAGTAGATGCGGAGATTGAGCGCAGTCGAATGATGCAGGAAGGTGAATGAGTTGGAAATCTTGAGCTTGGCTTAAAGCTTGGAGTCTTCCGAATTTGGGAACCCGTGGGGCGCCCATTCACACTGAGTTTCAGTAAATAGACTATATAAACCACTGGAGAGCAGACGCTGGCCACTTGGAATGGGAACCTTGGAGAACCCGTGAGGCCGAGTTGATATCGGCCACGGCTGGTCACCTAACCATAGATCTTCCAGTGATCTTCCAGTGGGAGAGATGCCTCATGCATCACCTGCATGGCAGAGAGCGCCACATTATATTTGATGCCACTTTGAACAGCATCAGCGGCATCAGGCTGCTGGAATCAGGTGGGAGTTGGCCGCGACCGATTCGATTTTGGCGGTTGCGATGGGATGAGATGAGCTCACGCGGGGCCGATCATGTGCTCCACCGCTTATCAAGGTTGACCACCCCCACTGTCCCATATCTCACTGCATCTCACTCTCGCATCTACCTCTCTTTTCACACGCTTCAATAGCAAATAGACACAATGAACATCCTACATTCTACTTTATCAACCTGGCGAGATCGCCTCGCCCCCGTCTCTCGAACCTCCACCTTCCGCAATACCGGCCAAATCACCCCAGAGGAGTTCGTGCTTGCGGGCGATTATCTGGTCTACAAGTTCCCCACGTGGTCCTGGGCTGATGCCTCCAGTCCGGCAAAGAGAGTCTCATATCTGCCAGAAGGCAAACAGTTCCTCGTTACCCGCGGTGTCCCTTGCCACCGTCGGTTGAACGATAACTTCGCTGGCGATGCGGGCACCGAAGATGAGCTAGTGAGGGACATGTTATCTGGAGGGGAGGGGGAGGGTGCCACAACTGTGGATGGAGATGATGGCTGGTTGAGGACCGGTGGCGGTCGTGACTCTGCAGCGAACCGGAGCGAACAAGAAGCACGAATCCGGGATGTGCGGACGGTCGATGATTCCGGGAATTTGGGTGATCAAGAAGACGACGATGAGATTCCAGATATGGAAGACGATGACGATGACGAGGAGGCTATTATCCGTGAGCCAGTTGGGCAGTCCGGAACAACACAGTAAGTGATATGCTCTCCCCTCTTCCAGCTGCCTTTAAACCCAGACAGCTCACTTGCTCTCAACTCCTGTGTCACCGGTATCTTCAAGTACTAATAACATCTCACCAACCAGACCACTCCGCACCTACACCCTCTATATCACATACTCCAACTTTTATCGCACACCCCGCCTCTATCTATCAGGCTATCTATCACCATCAGAACCCCTCCCACCACACCTGATGATGGAAGATATCGTCGGCGACTACAAAGACAAGACCGTGACACTAGAAGATTTTCCCTGGTTCGACGGCAGCATAAAGATGGCAACCGTTCACCCCTGCCGCCACGCCTCCGTCATGAAAACCCTGCTCGACCGCGCCGATGCAGCCCTCAAGCTCCGTCGAGAAAAGCTCAAGCAAACGCAATCCCGCGAAGAAGCAAACCGCGTCCTCCAGGCTAGCGGCGGTCTTGAAGGACTGGTGGATGAAACAAAGGGTCTATCACTAGGTGACCAGCAACAGCAAGGCGGGGACGAGTGGGAAGTCCTGCAGGCCGATGAGGAAGAACAAAATGCCATCCGGGTGGATCAGTACTTGGTCGTTTTTCTGAAATTCATCGCCAGCGTGACGCCGGGTATCGAGCACGACTTTACGATGGGGGTATAATGAGATGGAGGGGCTTTTGTTTTCCTTTCTTTCTTCTCTTTTATTTTATTTTCTTTCCTTTTGTTTCTTCATTTAGCAGCCCAATCGACCCTCTGGAGGCCATGTGCCAGCATTTGGGCGGAGGCACAGCAGGGGTTCGGCTAGAGTTGGGCTGTAAGCATGATGGATGGGCCTTTGCGCTAGCCCCAGGTCCTGGATACGTGATAACGCATGATATGACATGATAGGCGTTGATTTGCTGCCACTCAATCTATTCTGGCTTTTTGCCTTTTTTGGCTCTCTTCCTTTCCGAACCTTCAAATAACTTCCACATGAAATACTATCAAAGTGGTAGCTAAATGTAAGCTCTATAACAACCTTGCATACACCAGGACATCCTTTGGAGTGCTTTGCTCTTGTATTCTGCTAGCAGCAATGATTCATCACATCCACCTGGACAGATTGAACTCTTTTCTACAGACCATCAGTAATCCCTAGCGTCCTTTCTCCGCGAGTCAACCATTTAAACCCCCCGACCAGCGGGGAATGCCCTCTCCACCAATGAAAAGAGCACATCACAAGTCTATCAAGTACGTTAGTTTCCATACATAGCTTGGTGTACCTCAGACCCCGGGCCTCTATTTTTCGAAACATTGAATCGTTGCATGGACTTTGAAATGAGAGAATACAGAAAATACCACGAACGAATTTCGAAGAGGATAAGCTAGGCACGACATACCTCACTCTTGTTGCGGAGCCCGTACTCGCCGACAACCTTCAGTTCCGAGCACTACACAGACATAAAAGGAAGCACGCTTCTGATCAGTGACCTTTTAGCAGACAAACCGACTCAAAGCTGAGCAGGAATTAATCTTGCAGTCTTAATTTAATTACTATTAGTTTTCGACTGGGTAGATTTGGCGCTAAAGTTGACTTACGGCGACGGGGACCTTGTAGGTCTGAGTGTTACAATGGACACGACGACACGGCTGGTATTGAAAACATGGTTAGAGCGAAACTAGGTTTCAATAATGTAAATGCAAGATGCAATGTATTCAATTCTGATCGAACTTAGAAATAACAAACAGCAGTAAGTAAATTGTAAACAATGTGTGCAAAGCCGCACGCCCGGACTCCCATTCCATCCCAAGCCAAGCCAATCCCCTCCCCAAGCAAAAGAAAAAAGTAGGACGTTCGATAGTAAACATGGCCCTCATATGTCAGCCCGAGATACAGGTAGATATCTGTTGGTTTTGTTTGTGTGTAAATGCGGCCATCGTCCACAACTATCAAATAAGCAGCAGTGGACGAGCCCATTAAAAAAGGTAAATAAGCGGAAACAAAAGATGACACGGAAGAAGAGATGATCAAAGGTACAAATGATAATCAGATTCCACCGAGGAAATGGCGGAATCATACAGGAAGACATGGAAGAAAGCAGTGAAGAAAACAATGTGCAGCGGAAGATCACTGGGATCTTCAGGTAATCATGGTCAATCAACTCGTTTATCAATGATCACTGCATGTTTGCGGCACCTAGGCGAAGACGCCTAGCATGATGGAGAGGGCGATGGCAAAGGCTGAGCTTGGTACCAGAGCTGAGGCAGAGTTGAACACGGGCTGCGAGGGAGGAGTAGAAGAAGGCACCGGGTAGTTGATCAGAGGGGTCGAGGTGACGGAGACCGGAGTAGGAATGACATAAGCGGCCGGGGTGGTGATGGTAGGAATGTTGATCGGGGTAATATAAGTGGGAGGGATGAAAGAAGGCATATAGGTCTCTGTGGCAGGAGGAGCCTCAACGGCAGGGGTGGTCTGAACGGTGGGAGGAATCACAACGGTAGCCGGGGGAGGGACCTCGACGATCTCAGGGCAAGGGTAAGCGTCGTGCTCGCTGTGGACGCCAGCGCCGTACTTGACGGAAGGACCGTCAGGTTGACCGACTTCGTAGCCAGCGCCTGCATTGTGCACGCTGCTTGCGCCAGGGCCGCAAGGACCGTTGTGCTCGCTGTGGACGCCAGCACCGAACTTCACAGAAGGACCGTCGGGAATACCGACAGTGTATCCGGCTCCGGCATCGTGCTCGCTATGGCCGGTTTCGGGGTCATGGTCACCACCGAGGAGGGGGAGACCAGGCTGTTTGTTGTTAGTTGGTGATGTCCGCTTTGATAGGTAGGTCCATGTGCTGCGGTGACTTACCAGCTGAGGTGCGGAGAAGACGGAGGCGGGGCCAACGGCCAGAAGAAGGCACAGGGCCGAGGAAAGAGTGAAGGTGGTGGAAGGCATTGTTGTGGTGGTGAAGTGAAAGCGTAAAGCTGAAATTGATTTGGGAGTATGAAAGAGTGTTTGTTGGAAGATGAAACGAAGAAGGATTGGGGAGCTGGCTCCGAGAACGAGAGTGAAGAATGAGAGAGAAAGAGTGACTGTTTGAAACTGTGCTGTTGAGTGGATGATGAAAAGAATTATCCAGACCGAAATCAGTGGCCTTTATGTAGGTTCTGAAGAGCCTCTGAGTCTGGCGCATCCGAGGGGCATCGTGGGGAGAGCCAAGGGCCAAGCAGGAACCAAGACGCTGCAAGGCTATGAGCTAGCCCCTGGTGGCTTTTCCTTGGAGGCCGCCACAAGGACGACGATCAGCAAGGTACCAGGGGTACGGCAGTTGCAAATGAAGCAGAGACAGGCGACATGAGAGAGATCAAGGCTTTCCCGTCAAGGGCTGTTCCGATTCGTGGAAATGACTAGTACGTAGTACCAAGAATTGCGGTAGGTATAGCTTCAAGCAAACCATCTTCAAAGCTTATGCACGAGGCTAACGCCCGAGCCATCCAAAATACTGGCTGCACTAGGGGACAATGGCCCGGATCTTCGCTACTATGCGAGTAACATGAGAAATCTTGAACCACACGTGGGGCCGGGGTCAAAGGTTCCTGAGTTCATGCAAGGAGGTCAGCATAGGGTGTCTTAAGAGTTCGCAGGAGTCGACGATAGGGCAGAGACAGAATCAGTCAGCGAATGGCTAATATTGACACATCATATGCAAGGAATATCAATATCAACACTCGCAGGAAACATCAAACGATTTAATTGGAGTCTGGCTCAATGAGCCGAGGGCACGCACCCCAGGGGTTCTCTTTATGGGAAGTAAGAAATTAGGTGGGATTCAGAGAGAGAGAAAAGAGACAACATGTGGAAATGAGAATAGAAAGTGTGTATTGCATAATCTTGAGCATAACTCGTCAAATCATGAAGTATCTTCGCTGCTGTAAATAAATGGCGAAAGATGTATGCCAGATGGAAGGTGAATAAAAATAGAAAAAAGAAAAGTAGCCAGCAAAGGCATATCCAACAAGGCTGTCGATAAATCACAGAATCCAACTGGTAATGGAGTAAGGCCTGTGTCTGTACCCTTAGAAATTTCCATAACTCGATATTCCAAAGGCGGTGCCGAAATTCGTTGACTTCCTGAATTTGATTTCCGGCTCCTGCTCCCCCTTGGAAGGTAGCTCAGCGTCGCCTTCGTCTTCGTCGATTTTCCCAGAGTCTGACGCAGGAGACAGGATCCGCCTAGCCTGGTCTAGGAGCTTCTGGTCTAATTCACTTAGGAAACTATTATCGTGCTCCTCGTCGTTAATGAGACCCCAAGGGCCCCTGCAGGGCTGGATCTTCAGGTAGATCGGGGAAATAGGAGATCCCGTTCTCGGTGGGTTGCTGCACGGTCGTTGCCACGGGGGCGAGAGGGGCCTCTTCGTCGTCGCACGGGGGGCTCCTCCATCTTCTCGATGGGAGAAGGCTCCTTGGTAGACCGTTGGCTCACGTCGGCCTCGATGATCGCCATTGGAGTGTGGCCCGCATCCCGGACCAGATTTTCACCAGGTGGGCCCAGTTCTGACAGCTTCAACTTAAGACTGTTTCGGTGTTCCTGTTCTGACCTTGCAGCGGCTGAAGGGGCTGCCGAGGAGGTCTCCAGGGGCGACGGAGAGGGCGGGGTGATCACTCTAGCAACAACCCCAGGTGGCAGTGCGGTGGATTTGAGTATAATTCCATCGAGTCTGCTATCAAGCTTCTCGATCGGTACTGGTACACTGACGGCCACGCTTTCAGCGTCTGCCGCTCCCGCTTGGGGTGAAAGTGCCGCGTCTAGGGATGGAGGGATACTGCTGCTCCTTTCACTGATCGGCGACACGTGAGCAGGGTCTATAGCATCCTCATCACGGAAGACCCTTGTCGGTCGGCCACCTGGGCTTGAACCCTCCCATACTTGTGCTGAGTGTATGGTGGATTCATTAGATCCTAGATATGATGGCGATCCAAACGCCGGCTTTGCAGAATCTGGCGAAATTGGTTGGCCTTGTTGCACTTTCAGCAACGACTCTAGTTCTGTAATCTTTGTTCTCAAGAGTGTTCTTTCCTTCTGCCATAACCGACGTTCTTCAGCAAAGAGTTTCCTTTCCTCCTCAAAATGGGCTCGTTGACGGTCCAGCAGGGCTCGCGACTGATCAATATAGGATGAATCCAAAATTATTGGGGTCCTTTCGGGAACGCATGAGCTCAGTGTCTGGTAATTCTTCGTCTTGGCCGAGGGGGCAGTTCCTGAGACTGATTTGGTGCGGCGTATGGGTGTTGCGGTCGGCGAGAAGCGTACCTCCTTATAGACGCTTCCATGGCCATCGGGTAATTCCTTTGCGGAATGAATCATGATGAGGGTACGAGGAATGTATAAGCCTCAACTTGTGGACGGGAATTCGGTCTCTGAAATTCCCAACAGGCGGGAGATTGCGATATTGCCGAGGGGGTTAGGGACGGTGATTATAATTGTGGGCCCTCGGGGAATGGAGTCGAAGAACACTACTCGTAGTCGCAGCACCAGCTCAGAGGCCAACTCAACTAGCAGATGATTCTTGGACGAGCTCGGGAGCTTTAACTGTGCACGGCAATGGGTCTGGATCTATGTCAGGGGCGATCAAGTGCTCATCGCAGCTCGGTAAAGCTGCAGTGGATACGAATGGGAGGCGGTCAATGGCGGAGGAGTGCGTGGAGAACGGAGAAGGGCCGTCTTGTCCATCCACCCAAGGCACTAGTTCGGTTACGTGCGGGTTCCTGAATGAGTACTGAGTGATAACTAAGTGGCTCCAGGGCTCACGGTGTGTATGTGCACAGCTGGCAAACCACGCGTTCGTGGCCAACTGGCTGGAGTGGTGGGACAGTAAGGGGAGGTTGGGCAGCTTCAGGTTCGGCCTGTTGCTCAAAGAGTATTCCAGGGGCCGAGTTCAACCATGTAGTACATACTAGTACATGGTAGGGTACTAGTATTGGGACTTTGGGACGTGGACACAGAATTTGGCTTCATTAATGGAACAGAAGTTGACTGGTTCACATGAGGAGAAAGTTGAACTTGAACTTGAGCTTGAACGTTTTCATATGACTCGGGGGAGGGGGATGACGTCAAGGGGGCAGTGGATGTGACCCCGGATTCCCCCGCTTGCAAGAAAATGCCAGTGGAGGGGATGGGGAAGTGGAGGGGATGGGGAAGTGGAATGGACCTTAAATATTCAAGATTCCCCTAGTATTACTAAGTAGTAGTAGTACCTGCTAGGTACACTTGAATATCCGGTTTAATTTCAAGATTTAGTTGACCAATACTAGTAGTAGTGCTCCAAGATTGGAGGGATATATATCTGCTAGTACTACTACTACTACATACTACTAGCGTCACAGCATCAGGAACTCCAAAGTAATCTACTACTTTTATTCACCACGGTGACGGGTCTATTCACGCCACCTATAGATCGTGAAATTAATCAAACACTATACATACCTAGGTATCATCCACTTTAAGTGCGGTAGTCCCCGTTGATAGTCACATACTCGTGGCTGAAATCACAGAACCAATACACCGCATCCTCACCTCCACACCCAGCCTTGCCCTTCTCACCACCACCAAGATCGATCTCGATCTCCAAATCCTCGTTCTGCAGGATGGCACTAGCGCGCTCCTCATCGACAGTCTCAGGCTCGCCATTCACCAGCAACTTCAGGATCGGGCTGCCGTCAACAGGGCGGAAACTAACAGAGGTACGTTCGGGAACAACAACGCCATCACGAACACCCTGGGTGTAACCGATGGCGCACAGGATGCGGCCCCAGTTAGCATCACGGCCGTAGAGAGCAGTCTTGACCAAAGGAGAGCGGGCAATAGTGGAAGCGATCAGGCGAGCGGACTCGTAGTCAGAGGAGTTACGCACGCGGACAGTCACGAACTTAGTCGCGCCCTCGCCGTCGCGAACAACGAGCTGCGAGAGCTCCTGCGCAAAGTCGGTCAGGACGGTCTTCAGAGCCTGGTAGTCTTCGTGGGTCTCGGAAGCCGGAACGACGTTGCCGCCGGCGGCACCGTTGGCAAGTACAGCGATGGTGTCGTTGGTGCTGGTGTCGCCATCAATAGAGATGGAGTTGAAAGAGCGGGAGACGGCGTGCTTGAGGATGGATTGCAGAGCGGCGGGTTCGACGGCGGCATCGGTGCACAGAACGCCCAGTAGAGTGGCCATGTTGGGGTGGATCATGCCGGCGCCCTTGGTCATACCGGCGAGGCGGTAAGTCTGGCCAGGGGAAGAGGGCAGTGTGAATTCGCGAGAGAGGAGCTTAGGGAAGGTATCGGTTGTGCAGATGGCACGGGCAGTGGTCAGCCATGCCTCGTGCGAGGAAGCAAGGTTGTTGTGCGCGGTTGGAATGCGGTCGAGGATCTTGCTGATAGGCAGGCTGTTGGTAGATTCCATGAGCATATTATCTTGGTGAGTTGAATCTTTGGAAATAATCACTTACCGCTGTCCAATGACACCGGTGCTCATCACCAGAGAGCTATCCTTCTCGACTCCATTGCACTGGTCCACAGTACGGCCCATCTGGACCGCATCCTCTAGACCACCCTTTCCAGTCACGGCATTGGCGCAACCCGAGTTGATCACAACGGAACGAATGCCTTGGCCCTTGCGAGTGCGCAAGGTTTCCCTGCTAACCTGGACCGGCGCAGCCTGGAACTTGTTCGTAGTGAAGACGGCGGCGGCGGAGCACGGAGTCTCAGAAGCGATGAGAGCCAGATCGGGGAATCGAGTGTTGGAGGCCTTGACGCCGACGTGAGTACCGGAAACGAGGAAACCCTTGGGGTAGGAGCCGGAGGTGGGGATGTAGCGCTGCTTGGAGGGCGGAATGGCCATGTCCAGCGGTGCGGAGTAGGATCGGACCTGGCCCTTGAGCATGCGGGCAAAGGAGCTAACCGCCATTGTGGCGGATGGCGAGTTGGAAACCATGTGTTGGAGATGGATGAGACCAAGTCTGACTGTGGAAGACCTGGTGAGCACTGGCGAGCAGGTTCAAGGGAGAAGTGTAGCTCCGAACTGGTGAGTCAATGGGAAAGTTGAAGTTCCGCGATAAGAAAAAGCTCACCGATCTCGGGATTGATAGGCGCGGCGTGAGCCCACCGTGCGCAAGCAGCAGGGATTGTAACGACCAGTACTATTACTAGTAGAATAAAAGCTGAAATGCAAGCTGAAGATGTAATGAATTTTAGTTCTCTCTGCGGGATTTCTAGTGTTTGCTGATTTTCCAGTACTTCAATATTGGTGCACATGATCTGCACTGAACCAAGGTTGGTGCGCGATAAGTATGAGCCAACGGGAAGAAAACTTGAAAGTACTACTAGTAGTATTACTAGTACCTAGATTCGTCCTATTCAAGTTCATGTATAGATGTAATAGATATATCCATATGTTAATTTATCTCAATTAGTACTGAGCCCACTCGAATTAGCTTCATCACTCTATTTTCTTCGAGATTCTTTGAAGTCTTAGCCCGACTCGGACCTGTGTATATCCAAAGAGAGTCTCTCCCACTTTAAATACTACTAGTAGTAGTCGAGTTAAAAAGCGGTTGAGGCCAAGGAGCTCTGGGGCCGCTGAGACCTAGAAAAATTTAGTATAACGCATCTTCAAATACTACTGACTGAACTCTTCTAGAGTTCAATCAAACAAATAGATTCAAGAATGAAGTAAACCTGATTTCAAGTAGAACTGTAGGATTGAGCTTAATTCTCTTGGGCTCCCATATCAAAGAATTCTTGGCTGGAATTTTCATTCCCAAGAATTGAATTTACATGGCAGAATATGGCGTTTCTGCCTTCCAGCCGATCAAAAGTCACAGAAATGGCAAGGGAAACTTCCAAAGTGCGCTCGGTTGTGTTCAACTATGTAGGATGAGAAGGACGAAAAGAACACAAGATATTGTATACCACGCACCCGGTCTGCAAGGTCGACATTCCCCTGAATTTACAGTGGTTTGCCCTATTACAATAATGAACCGTATGATTTGCACGAGGAGATTAGAAACTCGGCTATACCCTACAAAGATGAGCCCCGGAAGCGAGTTGTCTGGTTTATTCCTGTCTCTGATCACCTGGAGATTTAAGAAGTATTGGATGGAAGTGTGTAATCGGACAGTCTGCAAGTATGAGTGATGATCACATTCGCCGCCTTCATGAGACTTTTGCACGCACTCAAGACTTGGTACTGCCGACTTGAGAGTGAGTTTGTGTCGAGGTGCCCTTCGGGAACTTATCAGCCTGAGATAATTTTAAGGATGCGGATCAATCCGAATTTGTTCAAGTTGCACTGTAGAATGAACCCCTTCAAATTTCCTAGTCCGATCTCCCGCAGCGCAGTATATACTAATATACCACAGGGTCGTGTCATCGCCCGGGATCATGGCAGCAATAAAGAGATAATATAAAATCAACCTAAGCTAGTGAAATTTAACGAGAATACTAAACAAAACGAGGAAGAGGGAGAGGGAGAGAGTGGTGTGGGCGAACTGAGAGATATCATCTAGCAAGCCACATAAAAATAAAATAAACGTGCAAGCACCTAAAACATTAATACTATGGATGTTTACAGGCCAACTAAATATAGCTGAGAGGCCCTGGTCTAAAATTGATTTTAACTTATAGGTAGATGTAAATGCCAAATGGCGCATCTGCCGTGCAATTATACAAGTAGTAGACTGTAGTCTATACTCGTAGACGCGCGCTTGCCCGAGCCGAACTTTGACGGAGCCCCAATTTGAAATTGCCAAACCCCCAAAAAACCCACTCGCAGTCAACCTCCACTTCAACTTTCTTCTTCTTTCGATTTCTCGCGTTCGCGTTCGCATTTACATTCATTGACTCGAAGAGAACTACCCTCTGCATGACACTCTGAAACAACCCCTCGATCAACTTGAACCTCTCTCCTGTCAAGCCCCCTTCCCCTTGCGTCGCGTCCCTGTATACAATACATTCCTCGGATCTGATGGTACTAGTAAGTTGATTCCCTTCCCCTTTTGCTTCTTCGTTCTCGACCCTTCCCCTAACATTGCCCGTCATGAAGCGCAAGCTGTCAGATTCCGGCCTGGAAAATGAGCATCCGGCCGTCTCAACCCCGAAGAGACCCCGCGTACAGCCCAAAGGCGTCCTAAAAAACGGCCACGCGCCGAACCATCCACCTGCCGCCGACGATGCTACCTACGAACTCCCTTCCGCCCCAAATGGCCAATCAACTCCCAAAAAGGCCAATGGGGTCACCGCAACCCCGTTGAAGGAATCTGGATTGAAGACCCCAACTCATAGATCGAAAGCACGAAACCTGTTCGCGACCCCGACGAAAACCCAAGTCCGCGACCGCCGCGGCGACCCCGTCCCGCCTGAAGAATGCAGATCGATCGGCGAAGAAGAAGAGTGCCCGTGTCTTGTTCGAACAAAATGAAGATCGCGAATGGGATGGATCCGAACAGTTGGCCGCGGAGATCCTTCAGGACGATGACCCCCAAGTCGACAAGGCTGGCGACACGGTGATGGAGACCGTGGAGGAGGGCGAGGCTACAAAGCCGGCAGGGAATGACCCAAAGCCAGCGAAGCGTCGCGCTGGTAGGCCAAAGGGTGCAGCGAACAAGCGTTCACCTACACCAGAGGGCGAGTTACCCGCACATGAACGATATTTCTTTCAGAATCGCGCGGGAACGGCCAAGACATCCAACAAGAACTTGAATAAGGTCTCGTTGTTGACACACGAGGAGTACTTTGAGAAATTGGGACAGTATGTTGATCCTTGCAAGGATGAAAAGGAGTATCTGCTATCACTACATCACCGATCATTCCCGCAGTGGTTTTTTGAATTCGAGGAAGGGTTCAATATCTGCTTATTTGGATATGGCTCGAAGCGAAGACTTGTACAACAGTTTGCAGATTGGATATATAGTCGGTCCATGTCCGCATCCGCGAACCCTCCAGCCATCATCATCGTCAATGGTTATGCGCCCGGTATCACCATTCGTTCGATCTTCGCGACCATTGCCTCGGCGATCCTTGGTGATGAATTGCCCTCGAAGCTAGGCTCACAACCAACCGAAGTGCTCGAACTTTTACAATCAGCACTCAAGTCTCGCCCGGAGCACCACCCAATTACTGTTCTGATTAACTCTGTTGATGCCCCGTCTCTCCGTCGTGCTGCCAATCAAGCACTTCTCGGTCGACTCGCTGCAACGCCGAGAATTCGCCTTCTCCTCACAGCTGATACCCCCAACTTCCCTGTGATGTGGGATATCAGTCTACGAGATCAATTCAACTTGGTATTCCACGATAGCACGACATTCTTTCCCTTTGCCGTCGAATCGGATATCGTGGAAGAGGTCCACGAACTTCTAGGCCGGAAGGGCCGTCGTGTTGGCGGAAAGGAAGGTGTAGGCTTCGTGTTGAAGAGTCTTCCCGAAAATGCCCGGAACCTGTACCGTCTCTTGTTGACAGAAGTAATAACCGTGATGGACGATGGCCACCAATCCGACGACGAAGCCGCTGAGGGTGGCGCTGGCGACAAAACTGGCGAGAATAACGGCATCGAGTTCCGCTTATTGTACCAAAAGGCCACGGAGGAATTTATTGCATCTTCCGAGATGATGTTCCGCACCCTGTTGAAGGAATTCCACGATCATCAAATGATCACCTCGCGCATGGATCCCAGCGGCATGGAAATCCTCGGCGTGCCTCTATCCCGCGATGAAATGGAGGGCGTCCTGGAGGATCTGGTGTTGGGATAATATAATACTACTTCTATCTCTAGCGAGACTCGGTGTGAAACAGAACTCATGATACCCCTGTACGAAATACTATCAACCAATTTGCATTGGCAGTGCATTTAAGCACCGATGAAAGGAGTCTCAATGTCATTGACCCAAGACCTCTCTAGTAAACTCTATATACAAGGAATAGCCTAGCTGAACTCTTTTCTTCTCATCTCACGCATCTCAGAAGTGCGCAAATGCCGCCAGCGCCATCGTTACGCCGAAACTCATCTTGAATGGACGGTGCTCGGACATGGCCTGGCGCAGATTAACGTTCTTCACATACTTCTGCAATCGATCGAGAGGAAGGATATTGTAGCCCTTGGATGCAGCGTACTATTTCGATTGATTAGCATCGACCAGTCAGTTCCCCAGAGGGAAAGTGTGTGTGCTGTGTGTGGGAATAGCATACCTCAACAAGAACAACCCCCATACCCAAAAGTACAACCAAAGCCTTCGAAAACGCCCTCAATCCCACCCCAGCAACAAGTCCCAACACACTACCCAGACTAACTTGACGCATATTCTCCTTCGTCAAGAACCCCCCCACGCTCCTGGGTCAGACCCGTCGTCCGTCCCTTTTTCTGTAGGAGAGATTCCTCCGGCTTAACCGCCCAAGGTGTGTCGGCATTGCTCTGCGAGAAGGGCGCGTTATATTGGCATTGCATTGGGGCGACGTGGAAGGGTGAGAAGGGGTGCAGGGTTGCGGCGGAGATGCCGAGGCCTACACCCAGGCCGAGGCGGAGAATTGAAGGAGTTGAGAAGAGTTGGAATGCCATTTTGTGTGATGTGATGCTGTGCAATCGATTGGGGTTGGAGTTGTGTCGGACTTGTAAGATATTTGGAGATGGGAATATACTATGAACAAGGAAAAGAGCTTCAGATGCCGAGCTGGGGAAGCTGTTTGGTGAATTGGATGCCGTATGATGTCATGGGTGGTCACCTGGCATGAAGGGGTCTTCTGATTGGTTGGATCTATACATTCAGTTTGTTTTGAACTTGGATTCATCCGAATTGAAATTATTTTGTATAGATACTAATAGTATTCTAGGGGAACTTTATTGAAGGAACTTTAGAGGCCAGATTATAGCCGACATGCAGTAGTACTACTACTCATTTCTGTAGAATGAATGAATGCGAGCCAACACTGTATAGTATGTAGTGTTCTGTATACCTAAAATCTGAAAAAAACATATATCGCTTTCTTTAGAACAGTACCTAGCCAAACATTTCGTTTAGATCCATGCACTAGTATATTTTTGGCTCATTCATCTGGGTTTACCAAACTTGAACTTGAAGGCTCTAGTATGAAGAACCAACACTCAGATGTCACACTGCAGATGCAAAGGCCTCTACTAAACTATAGAAGTCCCAAAACCCATCCAATTCTCACAACTCAATAGCCGTTCCCACGCCTCCCTCATGCTCTTTCTTTGCGATGATCAAAACACACTTGCAGTAAACCCTTCAAATCCACCAATCGCAACCCAATTACCAACTCATGGATGCAATCGACCAATGCTCATTGTGCACTAATCAGTGCAGAAGAGTCATAATCTGCAAGACCACGCCACTTCGCATCCCGTGAAGAAGAGGAATACTTCACCGACCGCCGACCTTCCCCTAAATCACGTCGTTTCGGCGAGCTGCTTCGCCAAACAATCTGCTGCGCCTCTTTAAGGAGATGATGGTCACCATCCGGTACTGGAGAGAAAGCGATATCCTTGCATAATGACGCAAATCGAGTCGCGAGCTCGAGAACACCTTGAGTAGCTGCTTTGGTGCCCCGGCCAATGTGGAGGGGTAATAGAATCGCGGATCAAGATAGAACAGAACACTTTCCCAGCGTGGGAGTTTCTCCGCGAGAAGTTTACCAGCGTGTTCATATTCTTTCATTGTACGCTTGGGTACGTCTGCTTCGGCGTGAACGAAGAAGAAGACTTCAAATCCGACGCTGCGAACTTGATCCCGGGCGGTACTGCTCAGGGTATCGAGGAACTGACCTATTCGATCGAGGTCGAATGAATTGCGGAAGAATAATGTGTGCTTTGAATAGAGGAAGTCTTCGGCCTCGTCGTGGATTTGGTGATTCAGGCCTAGTAGTTTGCGTGCTGTGCCGTCGTTTCCTTCCCAGCTTGGACATATTGACATTGCTCTATATCTGCCTCGTGTGGTGAAGACATTGCCTCGATTTTGAACGACGATCATTGGTATATCCGTGTAATCGTTTGGAGAAACGAGTGCTTCTTCGTAGATTTTGAGACGGAGCTCTGGTGGTAGATGTAAGAATGATGTTCTCATAGAGAGATTTCTGGTTCGTTTTTGTTCCATTTCGATTGGAATGAATAGTAGATCTTGCTACGGTAAGAAAGAGCAGCCTTGTTGCCACTAAATTGGAAAGATCTCAGCCCGAGAGTATAGTATCTTCTCCAGTCGAGGAGCGTCGAGGGCGTTTTTGGAGCTGGTACCTAGGTAGGTGGAGCCAGAAGTAATCGAGCAAGGCAGAACAGCTTCTCTTTTCAAGACCCTTGTCGATATGTTCCCGGATCTGTGTGATGCAGATCCAAAAGAGATTAAAATCTGCGGATATGTCGATTGAGCTTAAGCCCTTTATTCGTTGGGTTTTGGTATCGACGCCTGACAGGGGAAATTTTCTTGTGCAGAGATGAATATCCCGATAGCGATGTTTATAAGAGTGTAACGATCTCCTCACACAGAACTCAGGGTGCTCTCAAAACCCGATACTATCGCATTAGATGATCCACTTATCTATCCGGCAAGCCGACGGTAACTTCCCATAAAATCGTGGGCTGACATTGCGCCCGGGGCCAAGACACTAGAACTGTCAAAAATACAAAGAAATACCGGTCTGGTAGCAAAAGCATCTGGTCGGTCAACCCCTTCCACCATAAGGACAATCCCACGGTGGCAACTACCGTTCGTCAGAGCACTGTGTTTTATCATGCGTGATCGCGTTTGAGGGAATCGGCAATGGGAGGTTCGATGCATTCGTCGCAGTGAGGCAGTACTCAAAGGGTAAGCGTACATACGGAGATTTATTCCCAGGATGTCAACGAACCGCGTTGTACTAAGACTGCCTCGATCCTCCTGACAAGGATGATCGGTCCCGGATCGAGGTAGATAGGGCGAAATGGAGGGTTGAACAGCAATCGGGGTAGAAAGACCCGGTTGTTTGGATTGATGGATAAACTTGCATCTCACCCACTTCCAACATGCCAGGGTATAGAGAATCGGCACATGGCAAATATTCTTCAGGGTATCTAATGCATACTAAACCATTCAGCAGGCGGCCTGAACCCTCGAGCGATGATCTATTTACATACATGATGTCGTAGTATTACGACTAGGTATGCGGGTTAGGGTTACACAGTTTCGTCATCGCGACTAATATGAGAGAAGACCGAACAGTTGAAGAAGTTCTGTAGGGCATGATCTCAGAATATCTCAATATGGAGCTCATTCTACATGGCAAGGCTCCTTTGATCGGAGGAATCGAGGAAGAACAGGCGATCATCGGCATCTGGGCTGATCCTGGTGGTTCCACCCCTGCAATGATTTCCCGAGCCAAGCCCGGCTCTTTGCCGGGCCAAAAGGACTTATTTAAGAAATTAAGATACCCAAGTCAATGAAAAATAAATGCCATACGATATATTGTAGAAAGCTCCTTCGGAAGAATACCCATATGGTATTGATATGTACATTTGTGTCTAGACAAGCAACTGACGCACCCAACCAGGTGGGTATACACGATCACAAGGACCTAGATGATATTGTCCTTGAAACCACACAATGGGCCAAGAAAGCCCTATTTGTAAATGAGACCGGAACGCCCCTCCCCAAAAAAAACTCACAAACTTGCCATGGCGACATGATGCCGCAGGTAGACTGGGCAGCACGGCTCGATGTTTCAGGTTCACTTCTGTCTATACACGCCAAGCGACCAAGCAGCTCGTAAGACAGCCAAGCCCCAAGCCATACCAATACTGTCATAGATGACATTCAGCTTGCTGCCCATAACTTCCCTCCACCCAACTGGCACCTCGGCCACGGGGATGTGAGCGAATTCAGCTAGCATGAGCATTTCAACATCGAAGATCCAGCCTTCGGAATGCATGTATGGCACGATATAAGGTAGCGCAGTGCGGGAGAAGAGTTTGAATCCGCACTGCGTATCTTTAACAGTAGCGGTCTTGGGCGGAGTCATAAGCCACAGAATCAAGTGGAACGAATGCATGAGGAAATTGCGCAACTTGGATCGCTGTACCGAAGTTTGTTAGTATTTTAGAACTCCATCCATACTCAGCTCTTGTGAGCTCATTTCTTTCCACTCACCTTGACAACAGCCTCGCTGCCCACCATATGCGCTCGCGACCCAACAGCTACACCCCGACCCTCCGAGTCCTCAATTTCCTGACAAGCAGTAACAAGTTTTCCAAGATCACCAAATTTGCTCGCCCCATCCGCATCGGCAAAGACCACATAACGGCCCCGAGCATGGCGCATACCATGCGTCACAGCGCCACCCTTTCCACGATTGTGAGTCAAGTTCACGACACGGATAGTACCGGGCGGGATATGCACGCCCTCGTGAACCTGAGGCGTCCAGGGCCCCGCTGTTCCTTTCGGATGTAGGGAGAGCTGGTGGTCTTTTGCAAATCGAAAAGCCACCTCTTCGGTCCGATCAGTCGAGCCATCCGAGACAATGAGAATCTCCCATCCTCGGTCCGATCCTGAATCCGTAGTGTGGCCGTTCACCACGTCTGTGTTCGGCTTGCGCTGTCGCATCGACCGGGTTTTCACTGCTGAGGCCTCATCATTGCTTAATGTGCCGTACATATGTTCCAGATAATCAACCGCTTCTTCCAGCATGCCCGAGAGTCGATCCTCCTCATTGTAGGCGGGCACTACGACCGACATGAATAGCTCAGCCGGTTGGATGGAAGTATGCTTTTCATTGGGGCGAGCTTGCTTTTTGGATTCGAGCGCGTCGTACCAGCATGGGAGCTGTTCGGGGGTTGTAATGGTTCCGTCTTTCGATAGAGTCCTATACTTCTTTTCTTCGGGATAGGGTTTCCGCGGGACCGGCGCGACAAATGAGAGGAAGAGGTAGAACTAAAAGACAGGAGATTGAGAGTCAGAGATTGTTGGGTCATGTGGGCGAGGCTTCAATGGCAGGTAATACGGCCAGCCCTCCGTTTGCGCAGGTCGCAATTAGGAAACCGGCGGGGAGGAGAGAGGAGCTACTCACCAGAACAAACACGCCGAGGGAAGTTGCGAGGAGAGAACCGAGCAAGATATAAACTGGAACTTCAGCTACTGTGCTCACGCATTGGCGGCAGATATCGCTCCATGAATCCGCCATGGTGGAGGCTGGCGAGTTGGTAGTCGGAGATAGGCGACAAGCAACGGGGAGAAATGCGAGCCAGGAGACGCGAGGGATACCCTGGAATTGGAGAAAGCGATCACTTGGCCATGCGATGGGGAATTTCAGGAAGGTCAACGCATACGAAAAGAAAACAGTCGAGGTGGGGGGGAGGGCCTCGGAGGCTAGAGAGAACTTGGAAATGAAGAGGAGATGTTGTCGCAAGTCGCCAGCTTGGCCTTTCGGGCAACGCGCAAGCTGGCCGCGCCGCAAATAAACTCCGCTGCGGGGAATGTCACCACAATCTGCAGGGCTGCCTGTATAATTTTATTTTATTCACAGTTAATGTTTCCAATTGAATGATGTTTTCTTGAAATAATTCGTCTTTACTTAGATTGGCATGTTTTGCACAAATTTGGGCGAGCTAGTGCAGTTATCCAGGTAAGCTCGATGGTAGTACTTATAGTCATACTTTAGCATAGCCTCATTTTCGGTGAATATCTATGTCACCGGGAAATTATTTTGATTCGCGTCTATGGCAGTGAGACTATCGGCTCAGGCCTTAAATGAAGTAAACTAAAATTCGAAAAATAGAATAGGCCGCGAGGCGATCAAATGTAAAATCTGTCTCGTTTCAAGACAGGTGTGTATAACAGACAATTCGGCAAATCGTTCTACTACTAATACAAGGCGAAATCCTCATCAAAGGCTCGACCTTGTAAATACAAACCTTGGAGCCCGGCACATTTATACCCATGCGTTACCTTAAAGAACTGGGTAAATAATGGAACTGAGCACATAACTTTCTCCAGGGCACTCACTTTACCTCCGCGTTCTATTTCCACAGTGATAAAAACCATGTTGGTGAGGACAGCTGCCCAGGTGAACTTTATACATATGGAACTTGAAGGCTATTACCGTTCGATATACTTATTGTTTGCTGATCTGGTAAAGTATGATATCCATGATTGATGGAGACAACGTTTCAGATTTCAAACTCGAGTACCAAGATTCTGTTTTGAGGCAAACAAATATTCCAAAAGGTGCTGATGGGTATTCGAGCTTTAAGCTGCAATCGGGATGAGTTGCAAGGGCTGACAGGATCGGTCTATACTTACGGTCTTACTTTTCAAAACAAGGGGGTGGGAGTGCAAAGTGTGCAGGTGGACCAGCCGGATGGTTCCCTCACATACCTCGATGGTTTCCGCACTTCTAAAGAGTGGTATACTCTTTCTTGAATGTGGAGATCTTTCGTGGTTAGACGGTATACAAAGTTGGATATCTCAAATGCAATGGCCAAAATAGCTTAAACAAGGGCAAAAGGCAAAACAGAAATTAATCAATCAAAACCAACCCAAAACAAAACAAAACAATCGCTTCGAGTGCAAGCCATTCTATCACTAACTTTGTCATATATCTTGCTAGCTTTCTTGATTGTCAGTATGCTCCCTCATTTCACATCCATTGAGGGGCATCGTTACCTGTTCGCAGTCCCCTCACCAGCCCAATCTTGATACCTGCACCTCCAAGACGAGCACCTCCAAGGCAATGGCAGTGGTAAGAGGTCCAAGCGATCAGGTAGACCGTTCTGGAAGTCCGATTGTCCAAATTGAAGTTCTGAACAAATCTAAGGCCGGCTCCATGGGCTTAAAGTTCCTGGGTATCCAAGTAGGCATCATACCTGAAGTGGGACTGCAAAGGAGGCCGGCCGGCCTTGACTTGCGTGGGACCTCACGAAGTTTGCAGCAATCATCCGGAGAGAGAAAAGTTCTGGTTCGGAGACGTGTAATTCCTGGAGCTGGGGATCCATCCGTGTGGTCATAGACTCTGTTTGTCTGATCTGTCGAGTAGTCGGCTGACTGATCCATTGAAAGAGTCCGTGTATATAAGGAAATATCACAAAAGAAAGGTCCGCGGTCCTATGATGTTGCCAGAGTTGCTGAGTCTAAGAAGCCCATCTAGGCGAATGAAAGTCCTCCAGCAGCTATTCCCCACCGAGGAACAGCATTCGCTGTCCCGTTGCTCTTTCGGAGAAAACACCTGTTGCATCCGAGTCTTTTTTCTTTTTCTTTTTCTTTTCTTTTCCCCCTTCACGCTCCCCCCATTTCAAAATCCATACCAGAGGATTTGTCAGCTGTTTCCTGGGGAAACTTTCTAGTCTCCCTTTGTGGAGGGCTGCTGTCGAGTCCGCCACACGTTTCCGCAAATGGCGCATATCCCTTTGTGAGTGGCGTGGCTTCAAAAACGTCTGGCCTAAAACGGTCATACGTGATCCAACGATTAAACTATATGGTCAAGATTTGTCAGCTCATTGTTGTTCTTTTACCGTCAAATAGTGAGCATAGAGAATTGCGACAAACCGTTGATAGTCGGACACCTAGCCAAAGACATCGATGCTGTCTCACGAATTCCAGCAGCTGTGGTTCAACGAAAGATCTGTCATGCTCTAAAGGTCCTCCTTCAAAAAATCCCTCAGAATAATATAATTCACTCCACACCTGACCGCGGATTAAGAAATCCTCAGGCAGGTGATCTGGAATCTCTGGCTCCAACCTTTCATCCTGTTTCTCACTGCCTTTCTCAGTCGTACTTTCCCTCTCTATCCTAATACTATTTCGTCTCCTTATGTTCTCGTTTTCCCTAGAAAATCTGGGATGGGATGGTCCTTCAATCATTTCAAAATTTGTCTCCAGACGGAGTAGTATGTTCAGAAATCTGATGATTTTTAACCATGGAATCATTGGTTCAAGCTTTTCCATCGCAAGTGGATGGATGGCTAAAGACCAAACAAACGATAAGCCAGTGTGAATGCCTGCGTAGGAATTGGGGTCTCCTAAATGATCCAGAAAGACAGCCATGGAATGGAAAGTGAGAGCACTTCCATTGAAAGCAACTGGAGAGGATATCTTAGACGTGATTTCGACCGGGTTGGGTATCAATTCGGAGCTAGCGTCGTCAAAAGACGCGGGAGTGGTCCATCGAAGCGCCAATTGATATGCTTCCTCGGCTGTGGCCTGAGTCTTCTGCTGTGGGAATTCTAACGCTAGGTCATTCTCCGGTTCGCCATATTGAAAAACCGCCGCAAAGTTACTGGACATCACGAAGGCGCCTCCCTGTCCCTGTGTATCAAGCTGAGGGATCTCTTTTCGCAGAAGAGACAGATAGTTGTTTGCGAGGACTGTGAATTCTGCAGAAGCGTTTTTATGGAATAGAACGCCGTGTGTAGCGATTAGGGCCGCAGGCATTGATTCTTGTCGTTGTTGCTCGCGGGTGGAATTGAAGAGAAGCGCGATACTTTCACGAGCATTGTGAAATGGGCGACGACAGAGCAAAGCCTTGGTGTAGTAGAAAAGCTGCGCCAGAGCATCAGGACGAGCAAGCACTGCAAGATGATGCTGAACGCGCCCAACATCATGACTTAGGTCTGCTTCTTGATTGTACCAATATTGTGAAACTGTTGCCCAGACCTCCCGATCCCTCATGTCCGATTCTTCAATAGCCATACGATACCGTGCCAAGTCCCCTAGGCATTCAATCCACGTCTCCCTGAAATATGGGATGTTCTCCAATAACAAGGTGACCATGCTATAGGCGATGTATATGAAATGCAGCATGTATTCCAAAGACCCGGGGAGCTTATGTCGTAGTAATTCGAGTAGAGAATGGATTCCATATCGCCACATGCGAGCTGGCATTGAGTATTTTTCGGCGAGCTCCGTAAGCTCACTTTTAGCGACAGGATGTTGCGAGGAGAGAAAAAAGTCGTGATGCTCATGAAGTAACGTGCTATGTATAGAGATCAGAGCCTGCCATTGAACCGGCGTCAGATCCTCCTTTGACTCAGATTGCTCCTTGTCTAATTTGATGCACTTTTCTTCGACCATTGCAAGGCCTCTATAGATGCCCCGCACCTCAGGGACCAATTGCTCATGGGTGATTGGGTTAGTCTTCAATTGTTTCACCATGTCATAATGCGTCTCACCCTTCGGTTGACTGTCCTTAAATTGATTCGGCACAGGAAATCCATACCCCAAAGAATGCCTTTTGTCTTCCACTAGTGGTAGAAACTCATTTATGACCATGTTGACATCACCATCCGGCCTCCCATTCGGGTTCGGTAACACCACTGGGCTCGAATGGATTCTCTTCAATTCTATCCGGGGGCTTCCCTGACTGTATGAATAATTTGGATCCCCTGATATTGAGAATCCTGCTGATTCTTCATAGTGAACTAGCTGACTTGACGGTGTTCGCCGACCCCGCGGCGTTTGAGAATGATGTTTGCGGCGCAGTCTGTCCGTGCGCGCAACACTTGTGCGAGGCGATGATGGTTTGGTCACTCGCCCACCACGACTGCTGATAGTATCAAGAGTACCCTCGTCAAGATTCCCCGATTGTGGCCGGCCACTGGGGAAATTGGGGTTTGTCGATGCATGCACGGGATTGGCCATTGACAACTCCGAGATGTAATCACTAGGAAGGACACGACTGCCAGTGATCGGTCGCCTAAAATAGTATGTGAGAAGTGGAGAGGAGGAGGGGGCAAGGTTCAGTCATCGAACCAACTTACCCTGGCCCTGACGAATTGTAATAAAATGTCGCCTTTGCAGCTTTCAACCAAGTTTGACCCAATCGGGGCTCGTTTTTCATGCAACCTGACTGCTGTAAGGAGGGCGGTCGTGCCATAGTCACAGCAGTACTTTATTGGCTGGGCATGATCTGGAATTTTGTGGTTGAGCATTAGCTAATAAACTCCTTCTCTATGATCGTATTTTTGTGGCTTTCAAAAAAAAAAGGTCTAGAAAGGGGGGGCATAATGCGAGAGTTTAGAGGGGGGGTGGCGAAGTGAATCTGGGCGCGATCGATTGCGCATGTGGGGAAGACCAACTTGTGAAAACATGAAATGGCAGCAAATGGGGACTTGGAAAGGTGAGAAGTACTGACGTTCAAGTTCACTGGCAAACTACTACTTAAGCATCCGGGGAATCCGGAGGTTTCTTCGACTAGTGCCCAGGTGGGAACTGGACTATCCTCGGGACTGGGCCCAAGGGGTTTATATCGAGTTTGTTTCAAGTGATTATCTGCCGTTCAAAATATGTACTCGCACTTGACTGGTTCCAAGGCACCGAGTTGGCTGCGCGCCTCCTTAGCTCGTAGCGTAGCAAAAAAGCAAAGTGTGGAGGCCACTAAAATGGGCCCGCGCAAGGATCACTCTTGAATCGAATCGCGTGTCGTGTTGTTAGCGGTTGCCTGCAGCCCAGAATTCACCTAGGCGACTGCAGCTTCTGGCTCATATCATGCGCCAACCCGCTGATCCTAGTCGATAACTAAACACTACATTACTAGTACCCGATTTATTCCATTTGATGATAAACATGATAGACCATTCTTCAACCTCATTTTTGCTCCCATCGCAATCGCCCTTGCCCAGGGTTATAATTTCTTTTTGGAGATGGTTGTTATGATGGTGGTTGCTGATGAATTCTATGCTAACCTGTTCGCATACCCCATGAGGGCTGCCCAAGGGGCTGGGAAGAGGCGAACTGAAACAAATGGAGTCGCACTTCCCAAGGCTGGAGTGCTACAGGCAACCAATTCTTTCACGACTGATCGGTCTTTCTTCTGGTTAGATTTGGACCTGAAGATATGCCCTATTTTACGCCTTACTCTCGATGCATACAGCATGATTGATCTCAAGGCGCGGTGCATATGCGTGGAAGCATTCGGGGAACCAAGTTGCTGGGGAAGCCCCAGCTATGTATACCTACATCGCATCTGCAGTGGGCAGCATTTCCAGGGTTAAACCAGCCATCAACTTTCAGTGGCCAAACTTCATCTCCAATCTCCCCGAGCGTCTGTCAGAGCCTCTAGAATTTGAGGTATTCCGTCAGTACTCCGTACGCCCTTGCGTTCTAATGATCTCCGATCAGTCACCGCTTCGCGCTTAATCCCGTTGGGAGCAGAGGCAAGTCTTCACCGACTTTCAATGGAACGTTTTCCCACTGCACTGACCACAAGACTGGGCCCCAAAGCACTGGAAGTCCACCGAAACCAAGGTAATCAGGCTGCGACTCGGGCGTTGCTCCTCTTTCTCCGGGCCCCTTCCCCCTCATGAAGGATAATGAGCGTCTTCAATTCCCGCATTTGATTTAATACCTCAATTTCGGGCTCTGAAATAGAGACCCAAAGTTCATCAGGCCCCATTTTTGGGGCTAGGATGCCCTAACCATTCCCTCGGTCAACTCCAAGTCATCTAACCATAGATGGTCTGATCATCGTATCCGGCGCCCAAGGGTTTCTCCAACGATGTCATTATTTGGGGTCCAATATACTGTCTGATGATCGCGTCTTATGAGCGTATCGAACCCCAATATTGTGAGAACACATGGCTTTCAAAGATGCCGAATGCGAGTGCTCATGAACACGTCGGCATGCTATTATTATGCCCTGGCTTTGAGTATCTTCGACTACGCCTCGGGGTACCTAAATCAATTTGCAGTCCCTCCGCAAAATTACACATGCTGATTCGCACTTCTGCACGGGGCTTATTGTAAGTCCGGTCAAATCATGCTTTTCGCTCGTAATTCTTCGAGTTCTGAGCCTGCCATAACAAGCTAGCTCTATGTCGGAAAGGCTACAGCTCCCTCTTTCCATGCGTCAGCCTGCGATGAGACGCCGGCAATACTTCCCATCCTGTCCTGGTGACCTCTTGGCCGGGATTTTATTGCATTACAATCGTCGTCTCGGCTAAGGTTCAATGGGGGGGTCGCCTCGGCGCCCCAGAATCACGAAATTAGCTCGTTGATGTATAATAGCACGTAAATTGGACCGGGGATATCAATTATATTTACCATACCGGAATAGCTAGCTTGTAGTAGAAATCTCCAGTCAAGAAACCTCAATTATAGAACTTCCTGTCTATGGTTATGCATCATGCGACAGGGGTAGATTTACTTCTAGACGCTATGGCGCAGCTTGCTTCCCATGACACCCTACAACCTGAGAGAGTTTTCGGGCAACGTCCAAGCAGAATTCTTATGTGGAAACTAAAAATTTTTATGAAAACGAATGAGAAGATGATCGGAAAATAATATCCAATACAAAACATCAATATATCTGTACGCTAGCCATATTTGAGCTGTCGTTTTCATCATCATCCCACGATTCTACATACAAATCTAAATTCGCCCTGTGGTTCGCAAAAGGCAACCAACCGGTTGATAACCCCTTCCCCCAGGGTTGTAACTCGCCGAGGCCTAGATACCCCTGCGTTGGATCATTTTCTCGGCTATGACAAGTAAGGAAGACAGGGATGAAGGAAAGAAAATGATGTGGTGGTACCGTGTTTTTTTTTTTGTTTTTGTTTGTTCTCGCCCGGGTGAAGACCAAGCCAAATATGTGACAGGCAGTATCTCCTGGCCCTCAAACTAAAGAAAATTAGCCGTGATTCGCCGACTGGTGCTTTTCCTAAGATGATCACCGTGATAATCTCATAAGCCATGGCAAGCAAAATAAAAAAGTACGGAGGAGTTGGGGGCGAAATCCTGTTCTGTGCGGAGAAAGGGGGCCAAAGGATCGAGCTTATTCCTCGTGGTTCACCCGGGTTAATGTGGGACTTGTCACTAGCGCGGATTCTAGATGACAACGAGAATAATCCGTACAGCTGTGCTCATGCATATGCAGACTAGTAGCTGCCCGCTAGCTTCAGAAGATCCTCATTGGCTATCCTTGAAACTGCTCTATTCCAACGGATCCCGTTTCTAGGGTACAGCGGCAGAGACAGGCACTTGATAGCTCCTTTTGATCACAGATGAGGGGAATGGGTTTCATTTAGAGGGCTAGGAGTATCGCGGCCGAGCCACGCGCATGATCACGGAACGATAGGGCCATTAGAAACGGTCAGATGAGGAGCCCCGAGGCTGGGAGCGGGGCTGTATGCCTCTAGCCATCGTAGCCTTGTGCCTACGATATCGTGAAATTTGTCCAAGTTGCATCCGTGTGGATTCGACTAAGCTGACCGGAATGGCCACTGGGAATTCGTTTGCCTCCCTTGATTAGGAATGAAAGAAAATTCCAAGCCTTGGAGCCGAATGTGATTCAAAGGAAGCCCCGAGCCTTCAAATCCATGGCAAGATGATAGCCTAAGTATACTAGCCCCTTTTGTTAATATGTATACAGTCGTAAGCCGTGGATTATGTAGTAAAATGTAAAACTTCTAGGGTGAATTTGTACCTTAGGCATACCAACCTTTTGAAAAGTTCTTTTTTCAAAAATGGCAAAATAGTAGAATAGTAAAGAATTGTATTTATCGAACAATTATTCATGTCATTAATAATTCAAGAAAGAAAATATCGACAGCTGGTGAGGCATGCTTCATCCAATCGTGGCCGCAAAAACCACCACGTCATAACGGGGGGCCGAGCAAGCAAGCACCGCCAACTGCCAAACCAACCACCTCTCATCAACCTCAGATCACACATCCACATCCACACCCGCTCCACCCGACCACCTCAAAATAAAATTCCCGATTCAAAGGTCCTGGCTCGCAAGATCGCCATATCCGCTCAAAAAACAAATACAGAAATCAAAAGAAAGGAAAGTCACCACAACTCACCGCCTGAGATCAACCATTCCATTCCAAACTCAACAGATCCATGCCCGGATACTGGAGACTGCAAGCTACCGCCAAACACACGAACCTCCACCGGCCAGTGCTAGCAAGACTACTACTACTGGCCCCGACGAAATCGGGACAAACATCATCTCGATTCAGCACACCAATCCGAACCATGTCTTCATTCACCCTACCCGGGTCGTCCCACAGTACGCGCGTGAATTCCACGTCTGACCTCTCCCAGGATGACCTGCTGTCATTTCCTGCATTCAATACGTGGATATCGACGCTGCAGGCCTCTTTGGCGCAACAAAAGAATCCGGGACACGAATTTCATCATGATCCGTATATCCTGCGTCAGATTGATATTCAGTCTGTTGACCGATTTGGCGGGAGTCGGTTGGGGTTCGTCAAGTTGAAGGCTGATGTATCGAATGGTGCTGGTGAGCATTTACCCGGTAGTGTATTCTTACGTGGTGGCAGTGTCGGGATGCTTGTAAGTTATCACTCTTCGCCTACTGTATTTTTCTTTTCTTTTTATAGCTACTACGTGGCTTAGGCTTCTGCTGGACTCTCACCTGACCACTTATCATTCTTTTCTAGCTCATCCTTCAGCCTGATGATATTCCTGCTTCACAAGAGCAAGGGAAACAAGCAATACTCACTATCCAGCCTCGAATCCCAGCTGGATCCTTAGCTTTTGCCGAGATTCCCGCGGGAATGCTCGATGATAGCGGGACATTTGCTGGGGGTGCGGCGAAAGAGATTCAAGAAGAGACTGGTTTATCTGTTCAACAGGATGAGTTGATTGATTTGACCTCGCTGGCTCTAGACTCTACCCAGGAAGCCTCAGGCGAGACTCTGCAGAAAGCGGTGTATCCGTCCGCTGGGGAAGTGATGAGTTTATTCCCCTTTTCTTATGCCAGAAGCGTATGCCTCGCAGGGAGATTGAGGAGTTACAAGGAAAGTTGACCGGTCTACGGGACCATGGAGAGAAGATTACGCTGAAGGTGGTACCCCTTGAGAGTCTGTGGAAGGAGGGACTAAGAGATGGCAAGACTCTGGCCGCCTGGGCTCTCTATAAAGGGTTAAAGGAGGATGGGAAAATTTGAGCCAAGGGGCCGTAGAGAAAAGTAGTATAGACGAATCTGAAAACAAGGACCGTTTAAGTTCTCATTTGAACTTATCTCGCTAATTTGTATCCAGCAGCGACGGAATTTGTTTTGCAGTGTATATTCTTCGTAAGAAACTGTTCATGTATTCCCTTAGTGAAATATAGCAAGGTTACAGCTTCAGCTTCTTCGCCAACTCGATACCCTCAGCAAGTGTACCAACCCGAGCATCAATAGCATAGCCCTCCTGCTCAAGCCTTTGCGTCTCTGCAAAAAGGGAAGCCATAGGAACAGAAAAGCATTCAATGAATTCATTGTCCTCGAGCTCCGGCTTCGGATTTTGGTTCTCAGGCAGCGTCATATCAACGCGCACGTGGACCATATTGAGATTAGTATTACAAAATCCAGGATCTGGAAAGAAATAAAAAAAATGAGCTATTTAGCCCTAGCTTCGTTGCCTTGAGATACTCCATCAAAAGTCTATACATGGGGGATTGACATACCATTGTACATGATCGGGCTAGTCTGCTCAGCCACACCGACGTAGCCGGTCTCCTCTTTGAGTTCACGGACGGCGCATTGCTCGGGAGTCTCGCCAGCGTCAATAAGGCCAGCGGGTATCTCAATGACGACCTTGTCGATAGGGGGCCTGTATTGCTTTTGGAGGAGCAGCTCAGGCCCCGTGGATTTGGTGAGGATGGTAACGATGCCAACACCATCGATTTCGCAATTGGCCGGGCGGGTCTAGTAAATGTCCAGTTAAAAGAAATGTTCAAAGAAGGCAAAGGTGACGTCGACGACTATTGCCCTGATCCAGAATATGGATATCAAATGAGACAAGGGAGATTAGGGATCATGAAACGGTCTCATGTCAGATTTGAGGCCACCAATAATGACAGTGGAGAACAATCGGACACCCCCACTGATACGACAACATCCAAGATCAGTTCCACTTGTAAGATTATATGCTCAAGGGGAACCAGTCCATTGATCATGGAAACACCTGTCACAAGGCACGTCTCACGATGCGGCTGAACTCATGTGGACATAAAGTGAGGGGGCGCCTGCTCGGGACCTCAGAAACAAGAGAAGATATTCAAAGACAAAAGAAAAGAATTATCAATCATCTTCTCTTGGGGCAGTGCAGCGAGGCATTCGGCCCAGGGCAGCAATCACGACGCAGAATGCAGAATGCACAGAACGAAAAATCAACAGATGGCAAGATCTTACCTGTCGCTCACCCGATTCCCATGTTCTCTCAACTCCGAGCGGATCAGTGTATGTAGTCTTGACCAATCTTGTCCATCGTGCTTCCGCCGGGTCCTATCAATCGTACATACTTCGTCAGATAAAATGAATAAATGCATGGACCGGGCGGGGAGAGCGGGAGTCCCCCGGGATGGGCATCTTTGCCTGCTTCACCCGCTGTGATTGCACTACTGCACTGCCCTCCCCAGGGTGAAGTTTCCAGGAGATCAGAACCAAACGGATCAAAGAAAACATACCAGTGGACCCCGTGAAATAATGGTGGATTTGGCTTGCGTGGGCACTGACATGGTGTTGTCAAATTGTGAATGAGTGTGTGTATGCAGCTGGACGGATAGGAGGTACGTTTGCTCTTTATCGAAGGTTCTAGACTCGAGGTCGAGTACGCCTAGAAGAATGCCTTGGGCCGCAAAGGTAAGTTCAAGCTAGGTACTCCCAAATGTTGCAGAAGTGGAGGAGAGGGGCACGAAGCCCGGGTTCGCGGGGCTACTGCTGGTGGGGTTTACCCTAAAGACCTTATCTAATCATTTACCACGGTGGAAGGTTACCCTACCCTAGAGTAAGGTTGATAACCTGGTTTCTTTGAGAATATCGTCTCACATTAATCCAATGTTTGTTATGAATACGAAGCACGGACTACAGGGGAGGTGAATGTCGGGATTTGATATTGGTGTTTGGCGCGGGATGAGAATGTGACGAGGCAATATCCTGGGATCTAAACATCCCATGGGAACAAGTACCAATCCATACAACATTCAATTCGGTGAGCTTGAAACAAAACAATGTTTTCTTCATGTGGGTACGGGACTTTTTGGATTATAGGCCCTTTCGAATGGCAGTAATCTTCCGATAAATTCCGAATCACTACAATGCACTGAGCTTCAAGCTATCCTCTATCGCTCTACTCAGTCTCAGTGCTGGGAAACATTAGAATTGGAGTTTCTGAGTCACTTCAAGTGTGCTCGGTATACTTATTTAGTGAGCTTATTGCTTCCCCAATCGTTTCCAATGGGAATTTTATACTGGAGCTAGAGAGCGTGTTTGTTCAACAGTTTGTTGTCCATGAAACTTCAAGTTGTTTATGTGAAGATTCACGATACTACCTAGCAATACAAAGAGCAAAGAGTCGGCAACAGCTAGGCCAGGCAGGCCGGGTGATGTTCCCAGAGTCTCAGGTGCCACCCTCTTTCTAGCGTTGTAATGAGCAATGAAAGCTTATCATTGCGATGGCAGAATAATTAAATGCAGGACAGACGGCGCCATCTAGGTCCATGCAGAATACAGGTAAACCCAACAAAAGAAAAGAAAAGAAAAGAAAAGCTCCAAAACGACCATTCGCTTGCTTTCATGATTCATGCGCGTGAGAAAATTGGCTAGGGTCGATCACAGGCTGGACTGAGGAACCTCGGCGGGGGAGTTCTCTATGAATTCGAGACATTTGTCGAACTCGGCCCAGTCGTACATGACGACCTTTGCTCCGAGATCAGTCAGGACTTTGGCCATTTCGTCTTGTGTCTCCTTGCCATTGTAGCTTCCGACATAGGCAATGGTATGGATACCGGCACGGATTGCAGAGAGTGCACCAGACTTGCTATCCTCGACCGTGACCGTCTCCGCGGCTGTCTTGCCGACTTGCTGGAGGGCGTAGAGATAGATAGCCGGGTCGGGTTTTGAGGTAGGCTTTGGAAGAGAGGTAGCCGCGCTGTATACCTTATCCGCGTCAAAGTACTTGTCCTGGTCAACCTTCTTGATGGAGGCCACAACGCGACGGAGGGCCGACGAGGAGACGACGGCGAAACCGTACTTCTTGGCAGCATAGAGTCGCTCTAGGACCTCGCTGGCGCCGACACATGGCTTTGCCTTGGCCTCGAGCTTCGCAATGACCTTGTCCTCTTCCTTCTTGACGTAAGCCTCCAACTCATCCTTTTCCAGCTCGAAATTGAACTTGGATTGCAAGGAGACCATCATGCCGCGGAAGTTCTGGCCGACAAAGTCCTTGATGAGCTGATCGCCGGTATAGCGGACATCGATGTTGCGTGATTCGAGGATTTCATTGGCCAGGTCGGCGCAGGCCTCGAAGGCCAACTCTTCCGAGAGGACAAGAGTATTGTCACAATCGAAGAAGATCTCGGTGATCTGCAGGTCATATCGGTTAGCGTCGGTGTGTCAGCGGGCGAGGGGTAATGGGATCACCGGACTTTAGGCATGGCGGGGAAGCAGGAGAAAGTGTCCGAGAAGGGGTTCCAAAGTTGGGGTAGGAATTGAGGGAGAGAGTAATGCGGTAGTGGGGTTGGAAGTTGGTAAGAAGAGAGTTGGGGAAAGGTTGAGAAGAAAGAAGAGAGAGTGAAGAGGGTGAAGAATAAAAGGTAGACCTCGGGAGCGGGGTACAGAGTGAGTACGGAGTACAGCAACAACAAATACAAAGCAGGAGAGGAAGGAAGCAAGGAAGGAAGTGCCCGGATGCTTTTAAACAGCAGCCACGACCCTCTCGTACCACCAACGGTGACGCCCGTTGAGGAAGGAACCGGGTGAGGTCATGCTGGAGGTACCTATACTTCTGTTTGTATGGTACTTTGAATACACTTCTATGTACCAAGTACTTCATCTTTCCCCACCAACTGACTTCCCACCAATCAAACCGCCCACCTTGAGTCTATTCACGGCTTAGCGCTCGCCCTGGCACTCATGGAAAGTCGCAGAAGGTCACTGGTTTCACAACACCGGCCATCAAGACAAGGGAAGTTATTTTAAATATTTCCTAAAGGGCTTACCTACTTGCATACCCTGTCGTTTCTTTTACTCAAGCTACTTTCGCGTGGTTGAGATTCCATGCCCGTGTTCTATACGGGATAGGGTGACTAGGTGACAAGGTGACAACTCTGCAGTCGAGGAACGTGCATTCATTCACTTTCTTACTGGCTCTTCTATTTCTAAGTCCCAAGGCCCGTTCTCACCCCGTTCGGACATTCGTCTTGGCTCTGATCTCTGGCCCGCTGGGTTTCGATATCACCCGGTCTGCGCTACAAGGCACTTACCGGTACTATAGAAGGAATACAGGGACGGGAACTGTTGACTACTACCCTAGGCATTGGCTCTTCCAATCTTGTAAGAAATGGCCATTCTATTGTAATCTAAATATTTGGTAGCCTTCAAGTTCTGAGGTTGTGTTGAAAACCGATAACTCCTCTTGATCGAATATATTGAATTGCTGGCCAATATGTACATTCCGCTTCAGACCAAATTCGTCGGGTATTGGAATTGCCCATGAGAAAATGCAATGTGAAATGTGAAATGATATCCATGATTAATCCTGTTTGCCATCTGTCGGAATGCTGCAGTCCTTTGACTACACCTTCTATGCCTAGGTATAATACCTTGTCTTGCCAGGTAAGTATCCTTCGTTCATATCCAACCATCCATTCCAAGTCATCTTCATCTCCGCCCGCCTCAATCTTGGAGTACGTAGCATCTCTATATATATAGATCTCCAAGGCTATTGTTGAAGCCCATGATACTTTGGTTATAAGTCTACAAATCTTGCAGGGAATCACTATCGGTTCTCAGATTATTCTTTCTCGCGGAAGAAAGAGAATTGAAAGGGCTTCCCACATTTATACAACGATATTAAAGACGCCAGCCCGGTCATGGATTCATAGCAGCGGACTATACCTGTATCTGAATAATAGTACAATCATCATCTACCTACTAGTAGTCCTAGTAAGCCTCAAAAGATTATCTAGTAGTATTTCATTTAAGCTAAATTAATAGTACGCTACTATATAACCGATATATTGATGAAGGGATTTTAAAAATCTTGCTGGCTATTCCGAACAACCCGGGTAGACAAGCTGATGTATATCACCGATAAAGAGCCGAAAAAAACCCATCAAATCAATACACGTTTGAATCGTTCATTAATATTCATATCTTTCCAGCGGCCGACAATAACCCGGTGAAGTGATCATGGAAGGTGCGCCCCCACAGCACCCGAAACCCCACCGCCCGATTGGCGGGACATCATCACCAACGCATCCAATCTGCATTTCGCAATTGACAGATTTTCCTCAGCGGCTATACTATTCGCAACACCCCTGCATGAGACGGTATAATCTACAGCTATATACCGATCCGCCCAATACCACCCAAATCACAACACAGCCAAAAATATCACTGTCTATCAACATTAACGCGGGGCCAATTCCGGGCACGGTCTCAACTCCCATCTGCCACAGCAGCGTGACGCGGGCCCGTTTCAAGTTCACCCTATATACTACCAAGTCCAATCTAAGTATATCATAAATCCTGGACTGTATAATGACCAGTCAAGAATCAGCAGAGACGCCAGGCGCACTTCCGACACTGGACTCTCTTCTTTTCCCGTCCGCACAAACCTCCATTTCACAGACTCTCGCTTCCTTGCGCAGGTCTGCACTATCTGTTTCCAATCGGCTGCAGTCTATTGAAACAGATGCGGCATTTGTGCGTGAGGTCGCAGAACATTATGGACTGCCGCTTGTTGCGAATGAACGCTGTGGAAGCTGGTATATTGACCCCGAGACCAAGGGTGGTAGTGCTTATTTTAAGAGCACGGATGGTCACAGTGGACAGTGGGATTTTAGCTTTCGTAGGCTGAATTTGCAGCTTCTTCCTCTGGCTAGAGAGAATGGGGGGGTTAGTTTCGTTCTTCTTTTCAAGGGGGTGATTGTTGTTGTTCTTGTGGTTACTTTGACGTATGGTCATGCCTTGGTTCTATGGTTGGCTTTCGTCCATAGTCATTCTCACGACCATACTTTGTGCCATATTGAAAACGCCATGCCTTGTCTATGTATGGAATCGCCCAAGCTAACATCTATACTTCTAATGACAGATGTGTTATCGTTGACTCGACCCGCCGAGGAAAATGTACGTGAGAGTTGAGCATCCTGACCCAAGCCACCAACCATTCAGTCACAAATCATGACTTTCTTAGTCCGGAGTTCCAGAAAAGGGCATACCGCTAACTAATATCCATATCCAAAGTGATGCCAGACGCATTATCCAAAACAATCCCCATCTGGACCGCCGTCTTAAACCGCACACTCTTCCCCACCGAAACAGCATATCACCCCGTCCATCTCCCACCAAATTACCTCGGCGCATCAGAAGAAGCCCAGATCAAATCCCGCATCGATAGTTTCGTCGCCTCACTCAAGGTAAACATCCCATCCAATAGTTAGTCGGCAACCCAAAAAAGCAGTGTCAGCACCCTACTCCAGCCCCTCCTTCACCCGGGTGAAAGCAACGTCGGGCACCAGACCACACACACACACACACACACACACACACAGAGAACAACAAAATGAAAGCTAACCCAAAACCAGAATCTAAAGCTCGACCTCAACCATCTACGCGAACAACTAGGCAAACCAATCCGCATAGCATGGGCCAATCGGAGCTACTTCCACCCAACCGATCTGCACAAGGGCGACGGGTATAATCTGCTCGTGCTATGCTCCGCGTCGCGGCGCGTGCAGGGCGCCGAAATGTCTGAGGGTGGATATATCCAGGGTGCGGGTGATGATGCTGAGGGCTGGGCTCATGGGCTGACGCCGCCGGTCTTTTGGGAGCATCGTGCGCGACTGAAGGGGACGTCTGAGGAGGATTTGCCTGCGCTTATTGGGGAGTTGATTGTTTCTTCTGGATCGGGTGGAAAGGGCCAGGGTGCTGCGGCGCGTATCGCGCCGACGAAGAATTTGTTTATTGGTGTGATGGGTGAGGCGGGTTCGTATGATCTTGTCATTGATTGTAATGATAATGGTACGGGCGAAGGTGAGGGCGAGGGCGGGGAAGGGTGTTCCAAGTCCACCTGCAAGAAATTGAATCTGGGCTGTGCGTCAGGGAAGCTGGGAAGTCGAGATCTACGAAAGTCGTTGGATCGAGTGCGAGAGTTCGTTGCGAGGGAGTTTGCGGAGGACTCTTCGCGGTCTTTGTTGGTGACTTGTGAGAATGGGAAGGATCTTTCGGCAGGGACTTTGCTTGCGATTATTTGCCTCTTTTACAATGATCAAGGTATGTATTTGCATTGCATGCGGTCAAGAATCCAGGGTGATGGATTGCTGGATGGATTTCAATCGCTAGATGGGAACTTGAACGGGAAAAGGGAATCAAAAGACAGAAACAGAAACCAAAGAGAGACTAACTAGTGTGTTCTAGGGGAATTTGACATCTCACAGGGCGAGCGCAGTGTCGGCAAACAATACATCCGACAGCGTCTTGCCTGGATTGTGTCATCGAAGCACGACGTGAACCCGTCCCGCTCGACGCTTCAATCGGTCAACGCGTTTCTCATGTCATGATACGATGCGGATGTGGATGCGGATTCCAGAAATGGAAGAGACCGCATCTTCATGGTGGGGGTCTGGGTCTGGCAGAGTGGCCGGTATTTCTACTTGCACGCCCAAGCGCTCACTCGTTTTCAACAGCCTCGACGATAGCTCCTGCGCTCCCTTGATCAAGCGAGTCTAGCAGATCCAGATCATCGGCACTGAGAACAAAGTCGAAAACGTCGGCGTTGGCGGCGATCCGTTCGGGGCTGTCTGTCTTGGGCAATGGCACCCAATCCTTCTGCAGTGCATATCGGATCAGAACCTGTTGTGTGGACTTGTTGTATCTCTGAGCCACTTCGACGAGTGTGGGGTCGTTGGCCTTGTAGTTGCGCACGATGGGGGAGTAGGCCTCGACGATGATGCCGTTCTGCTTGCAGTATGCCTCGATCGTCCGCTGCTGACACCAAGGGTGGAGCTGAGAGCATGTTAGTATTCAAGTTCTAGTGTATAAAAGTGCCATTCCTTGCGAAAGGCGAAAGGCACATAAAAGGAATGTAAATTTACCTCAATCTGATTCACATGTGGCGGCCACACCTTGGCGAAGGAGCGCAGTTCCTCGATATGCTTGACGCCAAAGTTACTCACACCGATGCTCTTCGCATGGCCCTCTTGGTGCAAGCGCTCTAGTGCTTGCCAGAGCTGCTTGCGCCCCGAAGGACCAGAGCTGGAGCTGTGAATGAGGAATAGATCCACGTATCCGTCAGGGCCGCCGATCTTCTCCACGCTGTCCAGCAGCTTCTTGTAGGTTGCGTCGGTCGAACCGGCGGGGCTGAGGATCTTGGTGGTGACGAAGACCTGATCGCGGGGTAGACCGGAGGAACGCAGAGCTTCACCGACTTCAGCTTCGTTGGCGTAGAATTGTGCGGTGTCTATGTGACGATATCCCACGTCCAATGCCTTGAGGCAAGACTGAACGCATTGGTCTTGCGGGGAGCGATAGACGCCGAAGCCGAGGCGCGGGACGCGCTGGGAGTTGGGGAGGGAGAGGGTATCGGTGATGCTATTGATCGGCATGATGTATATTATCTCCTATACGAGGAACTGGGGAAGGGAGTCGAGAAGGTGGTGAGGTGGTGGGAGAGGAGAGGAGCTTGAAGAAGAGAGAAATTGAAGAGAAGTTGAAGAGGCAGCTCGATGAATCCCCTCGCGCCCCGCTTCTTGCCGGCCCACGCCATTGGAGAGGGATGATATCATTCGATTACTCACTTTTTTTTCTGCTTCTTTTTCTTCTTCTTTCTTCTTTTACTATACTAGTTGGAATTTGTCAGTTTCTTGCCCTAACAAAGGGATTGCGAATAAGCTAATTTGGGATTAGGCGATCACATCATCTTGGTGTGGATCTAGTAGTAATAAGAATAGCATTGTGAGGGTGTGAGTACAGTATGTGTCATGGCTGGCTGGTAGAGGCTAACTGAACTAGCCAGACCAGACCAGCCATTCAGCTATCCTCAGCTATACCCAGCTACAATATCTAGGTACCACTATACTCAGCTGTGCTCTGTGTCCAGCTGTGTAGTGGTTGCTGGGGTGATCGGCGGGAAAGACCATCCCCCCCGCTTCCCCCTTGATTTACTCGATTCGACTGGACTCGATCGACCGGGATTTTATTGCCAAACGCACCTCCTTTGTCCCTTTGACTTAGTCTCTCTCTCCTCTGGAAATTAGTCGCTGATCCTTCATTGTTCCTCCCCCGCTCAAATTGCAATCTTCTGCCGCCCTTCCCCTCCCCCCACCGCTATCTTTCGTCCCAATCAGCCCTGAATGTCGTCAACATGTTGACCGTCGAAAAGCAATGGATTAACGTGCAACAAAAGACCTTTACAAAATGGTATTCCTATCTTGCTCCCTCCCCTCCCCTGCATGTCGCGAGGGAACTGTCGAAAGACAGCCTCGACCTTGAACTTGAACTTGAACTTGGACTCGGACTTGGACTTGGACCTGAACTGACCGCGTGATGCTCTAGGCTAAATGACAAGCTCAAGGCCCGGGCCTTGGCCATCGAGGACCTGGTCACCGATCTCTCTGATGGAGTGAGTTACCATCTGAATACCTCTCCCTTACATTGCCCCTCATGGCAAAGCCAGCCAGCCACTCTTGCGATGCGACGCATACTAATCCATGATGCCTATAGGTTGTGCTCATTCACCTCCTCGAGATCCTGGGCAACGAGTCGCTCGGTCGATACGCCTCGAAGCCCAAGCTGCGGGTCCAACGATTCGAAAATGTGAACAAGAGTCTCGATTTCATCAAGGGGAGGAAGATTCAGATGACCAATATCGGAGCAGAGGATATCGTCGATGGCAACCGGAAGATCATCTTGGGTCTCATCTGGACCCTGATTCTGCGATTCACCATTAGCGACATCAACGAGGCGGGTATGTCGGCCAAGGAGGGATTGCTGTTATGGTGTCAACGCAAGACGGCCTGCTATGAGGATGTAGAAGTCCGCGACTTCTCATCAAGCTGGAACAACGGACTCGCCTTTTGCGCTTTACTCGATATCCACCGCCCGGATCTGATCGACTACGACTCCTTGGATAAGAGCGACCATCGGGGGAACATGAAGCTAGCATTTGATATTGCTTCGAATGAGATTGGAATCCCCGACTTGTTGGATGTGGACGACGTCTGCGATGTGCCTCGACCCGATGAGCGCTCCCTGATGACTTATATCGCGTACTGGTTCCACGCCTTCTCGCAATTGGAAAGGGTTGAGAATGCCGGTCGACGTGTCGAGAAGTTTGTTAATAATATGCATGGGGCGTGGGATATGCAATCGGGTTACGAGCGCCGCATGAGAGCACTCCTTGCGACGATCCGCTCCCAGCGCGATTCATGGCAGAACTCTTCTTTTGAAGGGACGTACAAGGATGTCAAGGAGCAGGCGCACCAATTCTCTTTGTATAAACGGAATCAAAAGCGTGAATGGGTTGCCGAGAAGTCAGACCTGGCTGCCCTACTTGGAAACATTAAAACAAAGCTTGGCACATATCGACTACGTTCCTACGATCCACCAAAGGAACTCAGCCTGGAGACTTGTGACTTGGAGTGGGAGTTGCTGACGCGAGATGAGCACCAGCGTAGTCAACTGATTAACGAGACGATTCGTGACATCAAGAACTCACTGCGTCGATCATTCGCTGATAAAGCTAACGACTTTGCTTTAACGCTCAAGACCTTGTCACTAGCCATCTCCGGCCTGGATGGCGATGTTGAAGATCAATTGGACCACGTTAAAAAACTCAACGACAACCTACCTCCTCTTGACGCTTTCCTAGATACCATTGCCGAACTTGACGAGCAATGTGCCGAAGCCAATATTGAAGAAAACGACTTTACAACCTACACCCTTGACGAGCTCTCTTATGAGCTGAGCCTGGTCAAATCCAGCATCTCCAAGAAGCTGGCCTTCTTGGAGAACCAGATGGTGGCTCGCAATATGACCAACTTGACCCCTATCCAACTGGAAGAATTCGAATCCGTCTTCCGCCACTTCGACCGCGATGCCTCAAATACCCTGCACGAATTAGAGTTTTCAGCGGCGTTGGCTAGTTTGGGACTGGTGTATGATGAAGACGAAATGCACCAGGTCTACGTGGAAGTCTGTGGACCCAACCGACTGGCCCAAAATGCGGGTGTTAGCTTTGAGCAGTTCATTCGCTTTATGGTCAGTGTGACAGAGGATCAGAACACTGCCGAACAAGTCTTCCAAAGTTTCAAGGAAGTTGCTGATGGCAAGGTATGTCTCTTTCTTTCTTTCTTTCCGTGCTTAAATTACCGGCCGTGTTCCCATACTGATGATCAATATAGCCTTATGTCACCGAGCTTGACCTCCGACACTCGCTCATCCCAGATGAAGTTATCGAGCACCTTGTCAAGACCATGCCCCAGCATGAAGGTCCCGACATGCTCGAAGACCGGGATCTCGCCAAGTTCGACTATATCAGCTTCATGGAGAAGATGATAGAGGAGAACAAAAGGAACGGAAAAGAGTGAAGAGTGAAGAGTGAAACAGTATGATTTTAGTGGTCTCTTGCACAGCGTCGCCGGTCATGGTCATACTGGGAGGTCTTGCTTTGATTAGGTGTTGTGATTTCTGGTGTTCCTTGTAGCCTTTGGCTTCTGTCTTTTTTCTCACTTTTTTTTTGCCTTTTCATATTCATCCTGCATCGCTGGGGTTAGGTGGTATTTCCTCTTACATCGTATTTGTTGTGTTCTGTTTGTAACAATTCAGATACCATTGAATGACATCAAAAATATTTAAAGCAAACAACTTCCTCTTACTAATTAGTATTCTATATATACACAACGTTAAATCAATTGCTTTTTTGAATCTGCGAATTTGCACAGGGCTGTGTCTGCATGTTGTCCCGTTGATGTACTCACGTGATTGGGCCCCATCTTGGTCGCGCGTTCCTCGGAGGTGGCGATCATCCCGACCTCGTCCCTTCTCCAAGTGCCCGCAGACCATTAATCGACTGGTCCCTGCCGCAAATTCACGTTTCATCCTATTTCATTCTCTCTCCGACTACCTCTCAACTACCCGTCCTCCCTACCCTCACACATACACGATGGATCGAAGCCTAGACGAAATCATCGCCGAAGACACCGTAAGCTTCCAGCTGAACTCGACACCCCAATGGTGATATCCAACAATTGACACGCTTTCTTTACTCAGCGCAAGCCGACCCGTCCCTCGGGTGGCCGGCGCAGCCAAGGCCAAAGCCAAGGCCGCCGTCGCGGCGAACGCGATGGCGTCAGAAAGGTATCTATCAACCAGCTCGGTTCCCATGGAATTGAACAACAATTGCTGTCGCTCAGCTACAGAACTTCATTGGCTAACCCAAAGCTCTCTATCTAGGTCCGCCCTCCTATTCCTCAATCGAATTATGTTGCGCCGTGACACAATCGTTGCCAGTCCTCTGGAAGTTCGGAGACTCGCCAACGAGGAGGCCGCGGCGAAGACTCAGAAAAAGCACCGTGTGCACACTTCTTCACCTTACTTGGAGCTAACTCTCTCTCTTATTACAATTGCAACAGCCATACCAGCAAGATCGCGTCGACCTAAACCTGTGAGTTGAGACCTCAGACATCAGATTGTTTGGACTGAACGTGACGTTAACAAAACTCAGCGACTGGGTACACGACAAGTTCAATGACAACGACAGAGACTGTATGTTAGTCTTAATCAAGCGTGACAGATCCTTCTCCTGACAATTTACCAGCACGCCCCCGCGGACCCCGCCGTCGCCATTCCCCCGACCGGTATGTGATATGTTTTGTGCTAGATGAAGTGAAGCTTCAATAATATATACTAACTGGCCTTAGTAGCGGCTCCGCCCTCACAAAGGTTCGCGTTGAAAACCTCCACTACGACATTACTGAGAGTGATCTTGAAGTACGAACTCCTTGTCCCAACATAATTGACTTGGTTCTCTCCTAACAAACCGTAATCAGGACCTCTTCGGCCAAATCGGCCCCGTCTCTACCCTAACCCTCGCATACGACCGCGCTGGACGCTCCGAGGGAGTTGCCTACGTCACATACACCCATCTCAAGGACGCACACACCTCGATCCAAGAGTTCGACGGCGCCAATGCCAAGGGCCAACCCATTCGTCTGTCTCTCATCCCCGGCCGCCGCGGTGATCGCGGAGGCGATCGTTCTGGTGGCAGTTCTCTTTTCGACCGCGTGGAGCGCCCAGCACGCAATGCCCGCAGCTTGAGTCCTTCCAGTGACAACGAGGGAGACAGATCACGCCGCCGTCGCGGTGGACCTCGTGCTCGCCGCAGCGACGTCACCGGGCCCACTCCCGATGGCATTGACCGATACGTCCCCGGACAACGCTCTTCCAACCAACGCGGCGAAGGACGACGCGGAGGCCGCGACAACAAGCCCCGAAATGCCGAGAATGGCGGTCGTCGTTCCAATGCCCGTCCCCGCAAGACACAGGAGGAACTGGATCAAGAGATGGAGGACTATTGGGGCGGTAACGGTAACGATGCCTCTGCCGAGACTGCCGCAGCACAGCCTGAACAAGCGGTGGCTCAGTCAGCTCCTGCTGAGACTGCACCTGCGCCTGCTGCTGCTGCGCCGGCCCATGCGGATGACGATATCGACATGATCGAATAAATGAAGTTGCTTGTTGAAGGGAAAGTACAGGGTTTTAGGGGGTTTCTAGTTGCTCGTGCCGCATGACCGTGTCTGTTTCAAGCTCGTGAAAGGAATGGCTAGACATGCCTCCTAGTAGAGAGCATAGTGGATGCGCAATGTACCAATATCATGAAATTGCCATTCGGTTGGTTTCAAGGGGCTTTCTTATCTGTCATTTAACCCAAATATCAATGGAATGGGCGAATCAATTTACACATGCTTTAGTGTGCGATGCGAGAGCGGTGAGAATCTGATTATTGGGTGTATTCGTATTCGAAAACAACAAAGTTCCCCAATAGTTACTTGCACGCTTTGTTTCTTGGCCAGTATTCGAGACTTCCCTCTGTAGTTCGGCAAGTCGTAAACCATTCTTTTGCATTTCAATCTCCGGGTCTAAGGATCAACACTAGATCCACCATCGACAAGAACTCTCGAAAATTGCCAACGGGGAGCCAGAAGGTTTCCGCCCAGCTTCGACACCAAGATCATTACATTGAATGCCATACTCCATTTGTGATATAGTCTGACGCTAGAGATGCAATGGCCTTGACAATACTCGACTTCATTACTGGAAACAAAAATAAGCTCGCCGAAGTCCGGTCAATCCTTGGTGACGTTATTGAGGTGGACAGCCAGACAGCCGATATTCCTGAGATCCAGGGAACAATCGAAGAGGTCGCTGAAGAAAAAGCCAGGTGGGCAGCTGAAGTGGTAAACTCTCCCTAAATTGCCCCTGTTTGAGTGTTGAATGTAGTCATGAGTTAGCTCACGACGGAATAGATAAATGGACCTGTCCTAGTGGAAGACAGTGCGCTCGAATTCAGTGCGCTTAATGGTCTCCCTGGACCCTATATGTATGTCTCCCACTAGATATACTTCTCCCCTCTGATCCAAACGACCTCGGTCCTAACAAATGACAAGAAAATATTTCCTCAATGCTTTAGGTCTCGAGGGCTTAAATAAAATGCTCGATGGATTTGAGGATAGGACAGCCGAGGCTGTATGTACGTTTGCGTTCTGCCAGGGACCCGGGGCTAAGCCTATCCTATTCCAAGGAAGAACGAAGGCGAGAATCATACGGCAGTGTATCCTTAACTCAAATCTGACTGTCTTTATCCAGGGTACCATTGTGCGGCCACGAGGTCCAGTCAACTTTGGTACGTTGATCTCTAACTTTTGCTTACCGAGTCGGGTCGTGATTTACGACGTATAATTCTCCTTTTCCAGGCTGGGACCCTATCTTTGAGTATGATGGAAAAGTCACATTTGCTGAGATGACACAAGAGGAGAAGGTAAGATGTTGTACCCTAGCTAGTTCATGTTTTTACGGGTAACATCGCGGACAGTCGTATACTGATATATTTCAATCAGAACTTGGTCTCCCATGGGCACAAGGCGCTAGTAAAGCTGCAGAAGTGGCTGTCCCACGGCCAGGAACAACTGGTCAAAGACGTATAAGGGGTATGGAGGTGGTGTCGGATAGAATAGGTTTCCAAGCGAATACATGCTGTCATGCTGGAGGTCCTTCACCAGAAACCCTTATTTGATTCTTTGTCTTTTATTCAACTATTATGATCTATTGTTGGCCCTAGGAAACAATTCGTAATTTGTGTCGTAATATATAGACAAAGGTGAATTTTCGCAGGTCCTCGACTCCTTGGATTCTGGACCTATCGTTAGCTAGCAGGAATCCAGAATCCGAGTCGATGAGTAAAGACCTGGATTTTCCTGTGTTTAATTTGTTCAATCGAATAAAACCAAAAAAATACAAAAAACATACAGCAGATATTGTATGTCGGTGGTCACCTAGCGCCCGCAAGTTCGTCCTAGGCGGTTCGCCGCTCTAGCAAGGCGCCCCTTTGGCTCTTCACCTAAAGGACCGGAAATGATATGCAAAAGTCGCCTTTGTAAATTCCAACAGGGAAAGATTTGATGAGATCCTAGAATGAAGGTGAGGAAATAAAACGAATTTTTTGCTCTTATTTACTGGGTCATCTTTATTATTGATTTTTTACTTAGTTACCTCTTTATTAATCTCTATTATAAAGAACAAAAAGTAATTATCTGTTGATCAATCTTGACAATATTAATAGTAAGGTAAAAGTAGACATAGTATTACTACCTAGGTATAATTAGAAATGGTCTATAAAAAGGCTTTGAATCTATTTAGTATATAAGATATACATTTCTCATTAATTCTATTTCTGGCGAACAACCTAGTTTTATTGAATTATACCCTATGTCTCAAAATCTTTTAAACCTTCAAATAAATAAAGGATTCCTGCTCTAGATAGCCCTAAATAAATATAGTTAGATTAGAAAGACGCCTGCTTTAGAAATGCTATAAAGGTTCTATCAAGACTTCTAGGCAAGAATGAGGAAATTAAAAGATTTTATCTTCAATATAAAGTATACTACTATATTTTAAGAAGCCTAAATCATTTGGAATTAGAATGTAGATTTTGACTAGGTAATTCTATAACTGTGTGTTAATAGAAATCTAAATTCTTACCCATTTATTATTAAGACAAATAAGAATATATTTATAAAAAAGGCCCTAGAGGCCAGAACTGTATGGATGACCGAATTTTCCAAGCAGAAATTCATTGTTTACAATTGGCCCTCAAAATCAGAACTTCCGTGTTATAAGCAGGTATCGACATGATCCGTTCCTCGGACACTATTAATTGTTTTGAAAGAACTAAGCCCCTTCCCTTCCGTGCGCCAGGTGCCAAAATAAATTTGGCAATAAAACTCGCTAGGCGCATTTTACGTTCATCACATCCTGGAGTGACCGTTTTGGAGTTTTGCTGGTCATGAACTCGAAAACCCGCAGTTTCTAAAGTGCGGTTTCCTCGATCACCTTTGGCCGTGGCTTTCAACGCAAAAATCGTTGCCTGCTGTGATTTCATCACTTGCTAGGGGACCGTTTCAGGTATTCGTTGACCATGAACTCTAAAGGCCACGGCTTCTGGAGTGCAGCACCCTTTTTTTCAACGCGAAAACCCATGAACATGAACACAGCCGTTATTCCTGTTCCTATTCGTAGCCATAAGAATCCCTTTGAACCGCTTTATCTATATCCACTACTATTATTGTCAGGTAGATCGAAGCGTATCAGACCTCCTTCATGGAGAGTCAGATAGAACATGTAAAATGGATAGGTCAATAGACAGGTGCAATGCTGACCACATAGTGTCGGCAATATCTTACGAATACTTCTTGAGACCGGATCTATAGGTGATCCGACTGCATAGCTTATAAAACTATAATGGGCCCATAAATAGCGAGAAATAGGAGCAATACAATACTGAGTCATTGACATCTCCAATTTGTTGGATACAATGTGAGAATTGCTAACTAACAATCTAGAGATTGACACATGGTTGATGCTTGAAAGATCAGGTGGCATGCGCAATGCTCCATCAACCTCAACATTCTTTCTGGCAGCCTGGTTAAGAGATCATGCAACAAAATTAAAGTGGCCATCAAGTCCAACCAGAAACTTGCTTCAATCTCCATGGGCGATCTACCCGGCAATATTATCCAACTGTTCGGCAGCCGGTCTAAGCATATAAATATTCCCACCCGGGGGCGGGGGAAGCCGATACACAACAGCCTGCGCTCTGCGGTTTCCTGCATCAGCTGCTGCCTGTACATTATCCGTCGCCGCATACGGCTGAAAATCCAGTTCCTGGAAGTTCCACGCGCTTTGCCCTTCTCCCGCAGCTGCCAACAAGAATTCTGTTGCTCTAAACAGACTCTGTCCGACAGGCCCCTCATAACTGAACAGATCTAGGCCAACCTTCTTGGCCACAAGTGCGAAGCGCAGATGTGCGCCAAGATTGAAATTGGAGTAGTGCCAGCTGCGTGTCCTCGCCAGTTCCATTGGCTGGGAGCCATTAGGCCTAATCTGGCTATTAATTAGAGATTTAGCTACTTGGCATGTCTCTTGTGAAAGAGCCGTATCGCCTGTGAAGAGAGCGAGGGATGCAATCTGCATGTTGGCGAAGGTCCCGTGGTTATTCTCTTGGCCAGCCTCTTCCTTGCCAAATGCCGAGTTGACTAGCCAGTCTAGAAACTTCTTGTTCCAGTCCATGAATGCTCGCTGGCTTGCTTTCGTCCAGCCTGGAGCATTAGTTGAGGCAAGTATGGCGGCTGCATCCAGAACGTTGGTATACTCCATGCTGAAGTCGATGATACCGATTGCGCGGCCGTCATTGCGGCAAGGGATGATCTGCGCGTGACTTAGATGAGGCGTCATAGCCGTGGCGGGGTCGATGAACCAGGTCTGCAGAATAAGTGAGGCATGTTTGGCGTATCTGGCTTCGCCTGTATAGTACCATGCGAGTGACAGTATATAGCTTGAATTAAACATCTGCGCACGCGCGTTGTGATCGGGGTATTTATCGACTTCAGGGTTGCGTTCGCCATCTCTTTGTACGTAGGGACAGCCGTTAGTAGTATTGCTAGGAAACCAGTATGGCGCTTGGGATGCGTAATCGTGCATCGTGCCGTTGGGTGGCGGCTGCGTCTTGTTGGTCACAGTCCACGGGCCCTTGCCTAGCCAGCTATCCGCTTGAGCGATGAGATGATTAAGAGCCGATATATATGATGTGTGACCAGCTCGGATGCGCTGTTTATTCTCAACCAGGCGGAACCCGTCTATTACAACAGTGTTTGGGATGACACCCACGCGAGTGTTGCCGCCATTGAGAAGGTCGAGGGAAGTAGATAGCGACACGAAGAGGCTGAGACAGGAGATTGAAAGGAGCTTCATCTTAAATGGATGGCAAGGAGTAGATAAGCCAACAAGTGAATCGGAAGAAACGATGAGTTACGTCTTAGTCTCTAGATTTTCCTGACATAAAGTTTCAGTAAATCTTGCTTCTGAAGCATCTTATAAACCTACATCATTCCCTCGCTCGTTCCGAACAGGCTTACTGGTGGTGGAAGAGAATGGAAATATATTTTCCACGACTTATATTACGGCAGAGCCCTAACTAGATATGGGCGTGAGAATCGCATATGTTAGGATGTTGCGCTATACTCAATAAAGCACGCTCTGGGCAGAAAACTAGGTACTAATTGAGCAAATCTGCGCTTTTTTGGATTATGTCTTAGAGGCTGAGCAGTACTAATTGGACCACCCTTTCTGATAATTTGAACATGGAAATTTCCAACCCTAGATTAGTATGTAATTGCCACACAAATATTGGTCACAATTCCCGCCGCATTGTATGTACCTCAGGCCTGCTAATATCTCGAGTCTGAAAGCTCCTTTTTATAACTATGAGAGCTCACTATTCTTTAGTCAATTAGCGATTAGTTTTAGGATCTTAATCTTTTATTTAACTAGGAGTTACTTAAAAAGAAATAAATAATGATTATTCTAAGGCTTTAATTAGACTATAGGACCTACTACTTAGCAGAGAGGCAAAGACCTACTAGTTTGTAGTAGTGGGATATAGGATCAAGACGACTGTGGCTGGGCATTAGGGGTACAAGGGATTTGGGGGAAGTATAACTAAAAGAATGTATGGTAATACATACTAATCCTAGATCAGAAATTGCCATGGTCTAATTATGAAAAATGTGACAGGGGGTGGTGGTTCAATTATCAAAAAGGGTGGTCTAATTAGTATCGCTCTAGAGGCTAGCTTCGGGTCCTACCTACCTCTTGTATAAAGAAGCTGGGTTTTGTGTGGGGCAGCGGGGCAGATGTAACCTTAGCTTCTTTTTCTGGATCCAACGATTAGTTCCCTGACACATACTTGGTAGGAAGGAAGCAACACTATCGCTTGACACAAGTAAACAGCAGCATCTATACAGTGATGCCATAGCCTTGTGGATATCTCACCATTAAAGGAGTCACGATGGACACTTCCTTACCAGGATGGTAGGGGTCTACTACGGACTGCGCATACTAGACCTTATGAAACAAGCTACTATTGAATAGAGTCGCCCGCCGAAACTGAGAACTACTCACTAGGTAAGATGCCGTACAGTGTAAAGAGATATAGAGTTGAACCACCAAGCGTTTTCCAAAATATGTAACGCCAAAATGAAACAGCTGTGGATGAGTGGTGCTGTTTCATGCTGGCATACACCTCGCACAACGAGCCCACCCCACCCTGTTGTAGAGATCGCCCATACCCCGCAAGCAAGTAGCTCATCCTAACGCAAAGCCTACAGGAGCCTAGTAGATTCAGCTTGGTGATATTGGAGGGAAACATATCATCCGGGTGAGAACTCAAATCTGATCGCAAATCGTTTATTTAGCTAACTGAAAGATGTCATTACGTAACTAACAGGACACCTGTGCTCTATTCATTGGAGTAAATAAGCTAACCCATCCAAAGTTATTGTTCCACCAGTGATATATCAATCTCCCGCTCTCTTCAGGTTCTATGGCTATGGAGTAACTCTGTGGACCCTGAAGGACCAACGATCATTCCCTTTTAGGATAATGCTGCCTCAGGATGGACTCCTTTAATCACAAATGATGGGCAAGGTTGTTTCTAATCAAAGCCTATATATAGCCTGACTCTTTGAAAGGGTATTTATTGAGCACTGCACCCATTGCTTGTCTTCTTGTACTAATCCTCTAAGACCCATACAAACTACTTATCTTTTTCTCTCTCAAAAATCCCTAAATCCGACACTATGACGATTAAGAGCCTTCTTCCTATCGCTTTTATGGCTCTTGTTAGCTACCTACCAACGACATTGTCGCAAGCCTCAGCTTGCGCTCCTGGTGGTACCTTTGATCTATCTAAGTGGGAACTGCAGCTTCCGACTGGCTCGGATGGATCACCGGACTCGGTCTCTGCTTCCAAGCTCCGGGGTTGCGATGGATATCAGTCTGAATACTTTTTTGCCAGCTCTGGCGATAGCTCCCTCGTTATGAAGGTACCAGGTGACTCCTCAACCTCTGGTTGTGTCACTACGCCCAACAGCAAACACTGCCGCACAGAGCTCCGTGAGGAAGACCCTTCTACGTGGAGCCCCTCTGATACTACCAACCGACTATTTGGCGACGTAATCGTGAAGCAAATCGAGAACGACCGAGTTGTGGTTGGTCAGATCCATATCGATGGCTCGATCTCCACGAAGCCCGTTTGCGAGCTTTACTATAGTACCACCGGTAATCTCACGATGGGCGTAAACCGGTGCCGCACTTGTGGCCAGGATACATTCAGTATCGACCAAATCCCTGTTGGGCAGAGATTCACCTACGAAATCCGATACGAGAGCGATGCTCTATCCGTTAGCATCAATGGCCAGGATTTCCAGAAGCTCAACACGTTTGATCTCAATAGCCCTGCTAGCTACTTCAAGGCCGGCAACTACAACCAGGGCAATGGTCCCACGGAAGTTCACTTCTTCAATATCACTATCTCTCACTAGAGCAGTGACATTGGATATATGATAGGATTTCTAACCTTGATAAGCCAAATTGCATGGGGGACTTATTATGTTTCAATACCCCAGCCCCCACTACTGCTAGGAAATAGTGTATCAGGGAAGCCAAGCCCCACCCCTCCTTGAGACTTGATCGGTACGTACACGAGCGTTTTTGCATGTCAGTAGTTTGGAGCAAAATTAAGGAAAGACGCACTCGGAGATGGCTTGTTGAGGGGAAGCCAGATACCCCCAAGAGCGGATCACAGCATGCGCTGCTGGATACTCGAGCTCTCATGCGGCCTATGTGACCTCAGAGGCCTAGCAATAAATCGGCGATTGGAAAGCCTGAGCTAGCGATGGTGGGTTAGGGAGAGAGTGACGGCCAATCATGAGCGCGCCATCTTCCTCCCAAAGGAACTGCCGTATTGCCTGGCGGCCCGTGCCTAGACGATGCACATATTGTGACTCTAGTCGAATCTCTGCAGCTATGCGATTTACAAAAGTCAAACCCCCAGTGCCATCAATCATGTAGGCTCACCACCTGCTAGGTTAGTTATAGTCCGTAAGGCAAGTCAATAGAGCAGGCTTACTTATAGCTCATCAATTAGAAAAGGAGAACCTATAGAGAGAAGGTATTGAAATATCTGGTTAATGCGTATATAGTATCCAAATATATATAGCGACTTCGTAGCGTAGTTTCTTATTAGTATTCCTAGGGAAAGTCTCTTCGCCAATTTTGGAAGGCAGCCGGACACAAAAAAGGACACGTTCCTCTGATTGTCTATCTATATAGACCGGAATACAAATTTCACGGGATTCCGAGTATACAACACCCCACGCACTCGACGCTGATGGGGAGCCGAATCCTCTTCGAGTCGCCTGCATATCGAGGCCCACCTGAACTATAGTGTATTTGAGATCCCATAAGTATTCAGAATTCTTGATCTCTTCAAGAATCAGTCTGTATATCAACTGTCTAATCTGATCTCTACTGTCTGATATTCTTGCCTAGTCACAGGTCTCTAGCCTGATAACTTAGTAACCATTACACGCTATATTTATTTACAATAATCTTCTAAGAAGTTAGACTAAATATATATACAGTATAAAGTAGTAAAGATACCTATACTATATATAGTATAACTGAATATACTAACTAGTGTATACCCAGTGTTTAATGTTAAATTAGTACAGCTAGCAGCCACTAATCTACTTCTCTTATAATTTATTAATAATATATAGCCTTCTATAGAAATCAACAATGAAATAGAGAATAAAGTTAAAGAAATATTACCTACTGAGAGAGATATATTAGCAGGAGTATATGAACTAAAGTCTTAGTAAATTGGACTGAGTATACAGAGATAATATAGGAACTAGTAGATAAGATAGAGGATTATACGGCTATAGACATATATGAGAGACGATTCGGCCAGATTATAAGGTCTTTTTGACTACGAACTGCTGCCGATAAGAGCGTAACAGTACCAATGCTTTGGCTTTCAGCCGAAAGATAAGGCGAGGAGGAGGGTACTGTAACGGGCCTAGGCCCGATGAGATATTACGTGATGGCACGTAACCTTTTTCCTGCAGAAAAACAAGGTGGAAGCCTATATAGATAACCCTTCTTCAAGATTATTGTAAACAGCATGCAGGCCTAACCCTAATTGAACAGTTGTCGCTACAGCCCTTCACAATACCTACGTCTTCTAGGTTTATACTAGCACTATAGTATACTGTAAGGAAGTCTCTATAACCTAGCCAACCATAATAAGATCCCTAAGTATAAGGACCGAAAACAGTCAAAATACCAAGTACAGTATAGAAAGGGATTCATAGCCATACCCTTTCTTTACAGGGTGGATCGAAATCAGATTCACCACCTACACACAGAGATTTTCTTCTTGAACCCTCTTTTGAACTGCGCTATACCTATTGTGGTTAATTTCCCACCGAACCCCTTCTTCGCAGTATTCCAGTGTGGTTGTAACTGACAGCGTAAAAATAGCATCCGTAATAAGCTTGTATGGTCTCGTCGAGCGTTGATCATGCAAACAAGGCAAACAGAAGGTGGATTCTTGTGCCTGATCACTCATGTGGAGAAAAGTGGGATTTGAGAGGGTCACAAAGATGTGAACCGTACGCGACGAACTTACACGTTTCAGGGTGAGTCCAACCGCCTCATTTCACCAAGTCATCAATACTATCAAAGAAGTCTTGAACTTCGTTTCGATGAAATTATAGATACCATAGAATATCTTATCGACCTCGGAGAAGTCCCGAGGCCATCGCCATTCTAGAAACTGGAGTTCTAGTTTGCCGTTCGCCCCGCTCGTATTCTCGTATTCCTTCGCTCGCATTCTCGCATTCCCGGATTCCCGGTTTCGCATCCCCTCAGATGTCCGGATCCAAGTTTGGGAGGAGAGGAATTTCATTTAGATGGCCAAGGGAACTATTTTCGGCTTGATATTGACGTTGTCTTGAATATAGATTCGATATAAAGCAGGCCTTCCTTCGCACTCTAGAGTAACTTCATTCGAAATTGCCAGCTTTGCTTAGTTTGTACTCACTTTGCCATCCTGCCTATTATGAGCACCAATAGCAGTGATGGAGGCACCGACTTCGTTCTTTACCGCTATAACCCTTCAATTCCGGCAGCAGTTGTTTTTATAGCGGTTTTCCTGATTGCTACAATTCTGCACTGTATCCAGCTATGGCGATATCGTACTTATTTCTTCGTTCCCTTCATCATTGGTCTACTCTGTGAGTGTTGCCCAGATTTCCAAAGTATCTTAGAGTCGGCGAGGAAGACTAATACGAATACTCCATATGCAATAGTTGAATGCGCTGGCTACACCGCTCGAATCTTTTCACACTTCGACAACGAAGCCCTCGGTCCATACATTGTTCAGACCATGCTGATCTTGGTCGCGCCGCCACTTTTCGCTGCCTCTATCTACATGACTCTAGGTAGAGTCATTGTTGCACTCAACTGTCACGAACTCTCGATCGTACCGGTTCGATACCTTACAAAAATATTTGTGGTCGGAGACGTGATCTCGTTTCTTCTCCAGTGTGCAGGTATGTGCCGGTCCTAGAACCTTCCTTTTCCGTTGGCACTAAGATTTCCCCAGGTGGTGGCTATATGTCCGCTGGAACAGCTTCCGCCACGAATATCGGTGCAAATATCGTCATTGGAGGTCTTGCTATCCAGCTTCTTTTCTTTGGGTTCTTCGTTATCGTATCCGCTGTTTTCCACTGGCGGGTTAGAAGAAACTCGCCAAATATTTCGGATTCCTCGGAGCGAAGCAAGAAGTGGGAACCCATAATGTGGGCTCTCTACGTTGCTTGCTTCCTGATTCTAGTTCGATCCATCTTCCGCGTGGCCGAATTTGTCGAGAGGAAATGATGGCTTTATCATGAGAAGAGAATACCTCTTGTACATCTTCGATGCTTGTCTCATGGCTTTGAGTGGAATTGTGCTGGTCGTCATATACCCTGGTTCATATATTAGTCACAACGGGAGCAAGCGGGATAGCGAACTCCAGCTTATGTCTATATAGATGAGTACTGTGGAAGACAGATCAAAGGCTTATGAGGCTTAGGTCATAAGCTTCCATATTGGTATAGTGGCGACATATGGCGTCGGGCGAAATTATAGACTTATATGTATCGCATAGAATGCATTCACTACATTTCTTTGTCTCTTTAGTCTAGTAAATAAAGTAGGCCAGAAATTCAATTAGGAGTGGGCTAGATGAGGGTTTTTAATTCTGTTCTATATTTAGAGTAAACTTTTTGACCGTACTGTACTTTACCGAATGTCTAGCCGCATGTGAAATCTTAAATTCCCCGTCCACTTCTCATCCGTGACTTGCACTATTATTTACCCACCATTGTGTAATCTACTTATCGAACCAGCCGTAGTTTTCCGTGACTATGTGAGCTCATCATTACCCGCCCACTTCCCGAATAACGATGCCGCTACACCCGATGCAAGTCGAGGACACGTCCCAAAGCGCAGCCAAGTCGCGGTTTTGCCCCAAGCAACGAATCAGTCACACCAAGTCCCGAAATGGTTGCTACACTTGTAAGCAGCGTCACGTAAAGGTGAGTACACTTACTCGACACAAAAGTATCGCTCAGTATGACTGATACAATCAGTGTGATGAGGAACGGCCAACATGTGGCGCCTGTCTCATTCGGGAGGAAGACTGCGTCTTCCCCAATCCAGGAGACACAGGTGACCAGAGAAGGCGACAACCACCCTTCTCTCGACAGAGACTATTGTCTGAAAGTGTTCATCTCCGAGCGCGTGGAAAAGCACGGGAAGTACCGTTTCGCTCATTGAATTTCGAGGTGCCACCTTCCGAGGAATCCCGAAATCTTGGAGGTCAACCGAAATCCAGCCTTAACATGAATGATCTCAATTTACTCCAACACTTTATCTTGCACACCTCGAAAAAGATGTCCCTGCACAAGATAAAAACGGTGGTCTGGGAGCGTGTCATTCCTGAGATGGCAGCAGCCAATGAATTTTTGATGCACCTTGTCTTGGCCCTGGCTGGCCTGGATGTTTTGACTACTGGAGACGCTTGTGTCCAGAATACTCAAGGTTCATCTAGTGCTTCCATGCCTGCAAGTGCCCCTGATTTTGAGTCCATCATGGAACATCATCAACAGGGGCTGGCCGGACTACAGGAAGCGCTTTGCGCCACCAGTGAATCAGATGCGGAATCTTTGCTAGCCGGGTCCATGCTGTTGGTGGGCTTTGCGTTTGCATCTTTGGGGATCAAAGTTTTAGATCCATCAATATCTACAGATCAGCATACGTCAGATTCCAGTCTTGGTGCTTTATCTCCTCCTTTTGATCTGACTATACTCGACATGCAATGGCTCCACCTTGTTCGTGGTATCACATCTATCCTGGACCAATTTTCGCCAACCTTGGGGAAATGTCGCCTCAGGGCGCTGTTACTTTACAAGAATGCCAATGAAGACTGGAAAATGTGTGAAGCACAGATGCACTCGAACATAATGCCTAGTTGGCACATACGATCAAAGAGACTTCAGAAGTTCGCTACGGGTGCCAATCGTGCCGTCTCACACTTACGGGACGTACTTGCAGGGCTCCGTTTACGCAGTGACCTCCAAGAAGTAGCTGAGGGCTCGCCATTGAGCGCAACCCCTCGCTCTGATGAAAGTAGCAATGGGAGTGAGGCTTATCTGGAGACGTACGAACAAGCCATAGGTGTGGTAGAGGATCTCTACATGAGAATCATTTATGTTATGCAAATGAAACCACTTGCATCTCACTCATCATCCGACCTCGAGCTCCAGAAGGATCTTGAAGACGCAGCAGTCACAGGCTGGCCTTATCTTCTTTCTGAGGAATTCATGTCTTGTCTAGATTCGCACAGGAATTTCGACACGATACAGGGCGTGAGCTTGGTGATCCTAGCACATCTGTACTTGCCTATCGCTATTTTGGACGAGCTCTGGTATTGTGGGAAGAGATGGGATGCAGAAATTCGGAAGATCAAAACTCTTGTTGTTGGTCTGGCTGATAAGAAACTCATCTCCTTGGTGGAATGGCCAAGCGATGTCATTCGGGGATGAGATCCGAAGACATATTAGATTGGCTACTGGAATTGGCCGAACAAGTCTTTGCTCAAATCCTAGATTGGTATTTTATATAATGGAAATTGAATCATGCAGTATTCGTCCAGCGCCCGCCTGAAAGGACATTTGGTATCATTGAAAGTCTAAATGTGTCTGAAAGCTAGTAAAAAAATCCTTTATCTGAAACCCTGGACAGCGTATAGCAAGAGTGAGGATGGTCATGATGTAAGCATGTATATGCAGTAGATCTCCGAAGGGCAACAATTTTCTCTTAGTAAGAGTTTTACAGGTAATATTGCGGACATCACATCACCTGATTTGAGATTTCGTTAAGATTCGAACTTTGAAAGATAGCTAAGCAGTATAGAGACTAGCGTGTTTCGAAGAGAGTTTTGAGAAAGAGTTTATGCAAACATGGTTGGTGAAACTGATTTCGATCCATCCTGTACAACACATTTCGGGTCTGAGAACTAAATTCTACTATATTTGAATAAGCCTGAGTGATTAATGGTTCTCCTTGATCTTCCCAGGAATAACATTCAATAACTTTAATAGGCTAGACTCTGGAGGCTATATATCTATTTCTTACAATGTCGTATAGTTACTCAGTCCCTGGTCATCTACTTAGTCATATACTTGTAGAATATAGACAGCTTCAGCTATAACGACCTTTAAATATTCAGCTGCCTACTCTACTGCATTGAGCTGAGCCTTAGTGTTCGCCAACTTATCTTATGCCGTTTAAGTGTACTTTTGCTATTAACAGAGCTCAGTAATAATCTCCTATAGTTCGGTATTAGTAAGGTTAAGCTCTATAAGCGCTCAGAAGCAAACCAGAAGAACTTCATTACCTCGTTGAAAACATTATTGACTGATTACAACTTTGATGGCGTTGATCTTGATTGGGAATATTCAACTGCAGATGATCGTGGTGGACGTGAAGAGGACTTCAAAAACCCCCCTAAGTTCCTCGCTAACCTTAAGAGCCCTCTTAAAGAAACAGCTGGCCGTGATGGGGTTAGCATAACCCTCCCTGCTTTATACTGGTATCTGTAACACTTTGATCTCGAAAACTTGTACAAAAATGTAGGCTTTTTCAACATTATGCCCTACGATCTTTACGGAAAATGGGATTTGGGAATTAGTGGCTTGATCCTGTTCTCAACTCTCACACCAATCTGACCGAGATAAAAAATGCCATGGATCTCATCTGGCGTAACGACGTCCCCTCCGACAAGGTGGTTCTTGGATTGGCATTCTACGCTCGTGTTTTCTCTGCTTCGGACCCTGCCTGTATGGACCCTGGATGCCCCTTCGTATCGGGCGGTAATCCAGGTCCCTGCAGTGATGAAGTTAGCATCCTACTCAGCTCCGAAGTCAAAGATATCATGAGCGAGAAAAGTCTCACATCGAAACTCGACAAAGACGCTGCCGTCAAGATACTGAAGTTCGACACGAATCAGTGGCTCACATATGACGACGAAGAAACTCTCCAGATGAAGACCGATTTTGCTAAGTCCCAGTGTCTTGGTGGTGTCATGTTTTGGGCAGTTTCTCATGATCATCCATCTGGCAACTTGTCTACTGCGTTGGCTAAAAAGACCGGCCGAAAAGGCACCTCACTAGCCTTTGACAAGCGGAAAGATTCAATGCAAATCCAGAAGACCCACCTCCAATGTCGATGGACTAACTGCTTCGAGGGTTGTCCCAGTGGATGGACAAGTGTTGCTCGCACTGACAAAGGTGATCGCGGGGACGAGAGAATGTGGGATAACACCGGATGTGGTGGTGATGCACAGCATACCTTCTGCTGTCCGCCCGACTCTGAGCAGCCCAAGTGCGGTTGGTATACGCACAACAACGGCCACTGCAAATCACAATGCCCGTCAGGGTATGTGGAAGTTGGATCGAATTTCCAGCATTGCAGTAACAACGATAACGACTACCAGGCTGCATGCTGTACAACAGACACGAACAGCATGAAGCTTTACTCTCAGTGTGACTGGGCTGGCAGTGCGCCAAATTGTGACGACGGAGAGTGCCCAAGCAACATGGCATATTTCCTGAATTCAACCACTGGCAGTGGTGGAAACTACTGCAACCCAAAAACGTTCAAATATACCTGGAACGGCAATGAAGGTACTTCCTGGGAGACACGAAAATACTGCTGCGATGACGACGACAAGACCAAATGGGACGACTGCGAATGGGAGAGACGACATTGGTCTCGCGCTTGCTGATGGTACTGTCAAAGATTACTACTTCAGCGGCTGTCCCAATGACAAAGTCCGCATCGCCATGGATCAACACCGAGACGGCTGCAAAGGCGACGGTGGAAAATCCATGTGCTGCAGCGCAAACTATGTCACGAAGACGAAGCGATCCTACACTGATTCCGAAAGTCGACTTGAGTCTGATGTGAAAGCATTCATGAAAAACCCAGACTGCGGCATGCGGCAGCGATGCCTATAACAACCTCAAGCGCGATCTGGGAGGCATGGACTTTGTGGGCCTCTCCTCAGAGGAATACAACCACACATCGGTTTTACATCGTCGTTTTGATACCAAGCCGTATGAGTCTATACGCGGCCTGATGCTCGAGATTGGCTTCACACTTGTGGCAGGCCAAGCAGCCATCGAAATTTGGAACAAACACGTTGCTTCTGTCTACAAGAATTTCGCGGTCAATAAACTCCAGTTATGGCTGGAGGAGAATCCCGAATGGAAGGAAGATGGAATGGTCGATTATTCCGCCTTGATGGTCTGCAATATGGGCATATTCGACGACAATATTGGAGGTGAAGACAGTGAGATCAGCTGCAAATGCCCATATTCAACCTGCTGTCCAGACGGAGACGCCACATGTGGCGGGGAGGATTTAGATGGCGACGAGGATACAGGCAGCCTCGAGGCACGGACTTTGGAAAAGAGAGCGGGTCCCCGGACCTTCAGATTACGTTTTCGCGAGGGGGACCGCATGCGCTGGGAATCTTTTTCGGTATGTTAAGAGACTCCCCTCCGATTTGACTCCAGACTAAATCACGAACGTCACAGTACAGAAGCAGGAGTGAATGGGCTATAGGTCACCGTATTTGGAGACAGGCATTTACATATCGAAACGAGGACGAATGTCTGTATTCGGCCCTTGGGACTCAAATGATCACTACTGAGGCGGGCAGAGATAACTATGATGGTAATGTTCCCCTTTGTAGCTTTGAATATGGCTGTGTTCTCTCCAGTTTTTTTTTTTGACATCTCTCATTTCTTCATTATCCTGTCATGAGTTGACTGACCAAATGCAGTGGAACATTACGTTGAACTGAACACGATTCAAGGGTTCCTCACCGACGGTTACGCAGGAACCTTGTCAACTGGAGCACGACCCAGAAATTCTGCCCTGCCTCGTCCATTCCTGGAAGCACTCAACACTCCCATGTTGCGCGTTGCACCTCCAATGGCAGGTGGTCGGGCATCGTCAACCCCGCTTGTAAGAGTCATGAATGCTCTTGGAAGCAGACGAAATGACCAGCGTTTCATGGTTCTCCTTGATGGCCTGAATTCGCTGAAAAGTCGGGTGAGACATTGAAATCGCGTATCTTGTTTCAATCTTGGGGGCTTCTTTTACTGATTCATTTTCCAGATGTGGCGTGATGAGACAAGATTCGCGAACATGTCCGCTCAAATAGAGGCCGATAATCCGAACGAAGCCCTACGAAGCATCAGATCTGTCATCACTGTCATGAACTATCTGAATGATGATCGAGTACGTCCTCATATGGTTGAAACTTCAAATGAAGTACGCCGGGAGTTTGGCCTAGTAGACCAGCAGTGGGTCGCCGATGGAAATGAGGCAGTCTATGTCCAAGATTGGTGGGATCAGTGGTTCCGAAACCGGCTTCAGCATATTGGAACAACAAATACCAACTGGGCCACGGGCCAGATAGCTGACATGAGACGACTATGGGCAGTGAGGACGGGATCCAATGTCACACCTACTATCGAGGCTCTGGATAAGTTGAACGCGGATGCGTCGGATATGAAGATTGACACGGATGATCTGGACTGAAGCTGAGTAGGTAACCATGCGAATTGATAGATACATGTATATAGTTCATACAAGATGTCTTTTAAATTTTGCTTGAAGGGCAATGAGCTTTGATGACAAAGCAATTCGGGCTGTTATGGAGGACTTAGAGAATGGACCACGATGGTGATCTTTTAGACATTGTGTCAACCGTATCTTGGGTCGTTGATTGCCCAGGCGGTCCAATGCAATAAACAATTTCGGTCACAGAACCGACAATATGCAGCTATTGAATCTTGGGTCTAGTTACTGTAGTATTCAAATTCCACATGACATGACAAATTTATAAAACATCAGTACCGTCGGGTCTCATCGAATAACTGTCCTTCATATAAGCCCCGTCCTGCATATCCGACCACACCTCGAACAACGAGGGCAGGGAACACTTCATCCACCCTGGAAATGACTCATATGGATCTACCTCCAACGCCTCGACGAGTTTCACATAATGACGTCTCTTCTCTTCGTATTTCGAGTCCTCTGGAAGGGGAGCGTTTTGTAATGTTTGAAAACTTTCTTCGTCAATGACAATAAACATGCGATAGCCAGGAAACTCATTGAGCACATCACGCTCAGTTGCCTCGGCCCTGAAATGCTTGCGGAGTTGGTCTATCGATGCTCCATCGAACTGGGAAGCATCTTCAATGACCCGTGGCTGGTAATTGGGCCAGATTTCATCCCAGGGAGTGATGTTGAACTCATTTGCCCTGGAGTTGTACTGACGGGAAGATTCGTAATAATTGTAGAATCCGTCTTTCATGTACTTCGTGGTGAGGTCGACCATACGCGGGAAAGCGGCAGTGGATTGGGGAGTGTAGGTCGTCCGGTAGATGGTGTAGCCCCAGGTGGGCTCAGAGTAATGGAGCCATTCATAGATGTTACGAATGGAACCTGGAAGCCAGTGGCATTGCTTCATCGGCTTTCGAAGTAGCGACATAATGGGTCGACTTTGGATGTTGCGGTGGTTTAGAGGGGAGTTGTGGACGGAGAAAAGTCCAGCCTCATTGGAACCTTGGAAGGACCGCTTTATAGTCCCCCGCAGGGCTGTGAGCAGGTTTATATCAAACTTTCTGCCCCCCCTTACAATACCCTACTTGTACTGGTCCCTGGTCAATCCAGTGTCTCCAGCATAAATTACCGTTAGTTCCTTGGCATCATTCCCACATTATCTTGGCATGTTCGCATTCGAATTAGGGCCATGGACGGAGTACGGAATACGGAGTAGAGAGTAGAGAGTCAATGTTACTGTCTCTCTATGTGGCACTTTCAAGGTTGTATCAATCGAGAACCTCGCCAGTATCAGGAAATCATGAATAATAGGCAATCTCCAAATCTCCAGTCGGGCTTGTTGCTTCATATCTCGTTGCCGAGAGCCGTTCACCCCTCTAGCCGACTTCTTCGACCCAAACTCGAGTCTCTGGTATGTCAATCTGAATAGATGGAAGCTCAGGTCAATTTACCCCATAATATACCCTGAAAATAACTATGAGATGTGGCGGTATACTCGACTAGATGCTGGAATTGGCGGTGTTGACATTAAAACCGCCCCCGTAATGGTAATTTTACGCGTTCAGAGCGCGCAGAGAGCCATAGAGTGCTGGGAAATGCCCAGAAACAAGTTGAGCAGAGAGAGCAAATGTATAGCGACCGTGTATATCTCCCTTACAAAAGAGGGAGCCTTCCAGTAGAAGAGAGAAGGGTTGGAGGGGATGAAATGCGGCGCGTCACGTCTCGCATCACGAAAAAAAAACCACCTCCCCCAAAATCCCCTTTAGCCCTTTTCGGCCCACCTCAATGCATCGCTTTCTTTGCCTTTGCCTTTCTTTAGACAATGGCTCCTTTTGATTCACCTGAGTTCCCCCATTCAGAGCCCATCCTTCCTCAACCGCCTTCTTCCCCTCCGTCCATTGCGTCTGATGGCCGCAGAGCCCGAAAGCCACCGTCCGTGACGCCGCGGTCATTTCGTCGATTCTTCACGCCACGCTCCCTACTACCCACTGCCGATAGCTCGGCCACTCCGACAACGAGTCGACAGGCTTTACGGGCTCTCATCTCGCCTGCCGTCAATCGTCTGGGACCGACATTTTCGCGGACCTCCAAGGCCGGCATTCGAAGCCCTCACGATGGCCTCCCAGAGGACTTCATCCGGACTCCGAGCCGGAAACGAGGGAACTTGTTCTCTTCTGTCGCATCTCCACTACAGTCATCCCCTCTGAAGAGAGTTCGGGTCCGCTCCCCAACGAGTAATGTCGATCATGAGATTAGAATTCGCGACGTCGACCTCCGTCTGCAGGCCGCGGAGGCTCCAGTGGTGCCGAAAAAACCCCTGCCGTAGCTCCTGTGCGTCGGTCTCGGGCATTGGAAACCTCAGGTGCATTATTCATGCGGGGTATACTTGGCTCGCAGCGCAATAAAGTGACTCTACGAGCCAACTCCGGAGTTGGTATGTGCTGAACCTTACATCTTACTGAACACCACTAATTCCTCAATAGGCTGGCAAGATCTCACCTCTGAATTCTACTCACAACCAGCAGACCTTCACGCCTGCTCTAGATATGCAACAGAAGGGTCCCCCGCTCTGCCTTTCTGCAACGCTTCATGCAACAGTAAGCGACACTGACCATAATTTTCTATTTTCCTTGTGCTAATATCCAAATCAGCAAACTCAATCATTGCTATTGGTGATGAAGAGGGTGGAATCCGACTGCTAGATTCATCGATCGACGAGGATGCTGGGTTCACCAATGCGTACCTCGGATTCCGTCCGCATGTGAACTCCATTATGGACCTCGAATTCTCGTCCGACGACATGTTACTGGCCACCGCATCTGGAGACCAGACATCTCTTGTAATTGATATGACGACACAGAAACCCATCTACTGTTTGTCAAACCACTTTCCTTCTGTGAAGCGCGTCCAATTCCAACCGGCATCCAACAACAAGGTGTTTGCAACATGCAGCAGAGATGGCAATGTGAACATCTGGGATCTGCGCTGCAAAGGCTTTGAGCGGCCTGCTTTACAGGCCCGATGCTCTTTGGAAAGCGAATCCGAACCTCCTCCTGCGCCCAGTGCACTTCAAAAGTTGCTCTACCCTCACGTCTTGAACACCATCGGAGGTGCCCATGCCTACACCACGTCCCACAAACCAGTTCAAGACAATCACTGCATCCCTCGAAAAAAGGTAGCCAAGACCAGACCAAACAGTGGTGATTGCGACAATGTATCTGGTTTGTACAGCATTAGCAATGGCCATGTTTTAGGCCCCCAAAAGATGGCAAACGTGAAGTTGGGGGTGGTTTGCAATGGCATTATGAAGCACGGCAGGTTTAGCCAAAGGGCCACGTCATCTGTTCAGGGCATTCAGGGCGTTCAGCTGACGGCTTGAAGGGGTAGGGCGGCAAGGACACTTTGCCTGACGGATCAAAAAGAAATGGGTGAACGGGGACATACAACAGCAGGGATTCGCATGTGGTCATCCACCATACTACTAACCTGCCGGCGTGTGGCTAAAACACAGTTAGCAGTGCGGTGGGGCCCTTGGCCATTGAAACCGAAAACAAACCAGGGGGTCCGGGATGCACTTTTGCAGTACCTCAGCTGCGTATCGATTTGTTCTCTGAGCTGGTTGCCGCTACAGTGGCGCACTTTGATGGCCGGCCTGGTCTCTGCCATTAGAAGGCGGTAAATAGTGATCGGCAATAACTATGCGGTTGGAAATGTTTGTAGCCCCGTACACCCGGAGAGCATTCCATTACTTACCCTCAAAACTCCGTCATTATTACAATTACTTCCCCTAGTGAATTCTATTGGAAAGGGGTGGCTATAAGTTAGCTCGCTATCTTCCGTTCCCCTACTGTTTTCTTTTCATTATCTCGAAGCTAAGGCCATTGTTTTCAGTATAGCTTGAAGTATTTTATCTAGCTATCAACGATCGCTATAATGGCCGATTCACCACTATTCAGTTCTTCAACAAGGGGGCAATTAATAGATCCATGGCCTATCGATGGAACTCAATTTGACTACGTGAATGTTGATGCTTTCTTTGCGCAATTGAGATCAATAGGCACCAGCTTCACTGATGAACAACGTGCCAATGGGCCGTGGATTCTTGTTACCTCTGTGGATGAACAGGCCTTCAAATGTATCCAGGACTCTCACCATGAACTACTAGATTTATGGTCCATACTCTACAACCCTGTCGACTACACAATCTCTACAAAAATGGAAAGCTTTTTTCACGGAACATTGGCAATGGCCATTACGCGATGGTTGGACGGAAAGCTTACGACAATGGGATTGAATCATGAAGCAATTTTCACGGGAACAGCCAATCATACGCTATTCGTCTTGAATAGGGCCGGTCAGAGAGTCCTAAATGATGTCGGAAACCCAGAAATCATCCGCAAACGAGCTGATCAAACCGTTCACCCGTTCACGGTTCAAGCACCAAGGTCCATGAAATGGCCGTCGCTAGTCCTCGAGGTTTCTTATTCTGAATCGCGGGCTAAGATAGGAGAGGACTTGCGACTTTGGCTTCAAAACTCGCAGAGCGAAATCAGATTTGCCATGGCAGCCTTCATAACCGCACGATCTAAGACGATTTCTATCGAAGAGTGGAAGGTACGGACCCGAGCAGGGACTCAGGAACAACCACGTTATACCGCCGAACGTATCCAATTTATGTCGATTGAAAAGCCACGATCTCATGGTGATCCTATTATAACTGGATCGTTCACAGTACCTTTCGACCGACTCCTTCTTCGTCAACCTACTGCAGGTGAGACCGACTTCGATATGAGTCAAAAAGATCTTCGCCAAATTGCAGCTCAGGTTTGGCGATCGCAGTCCATCGGAGATGCCTGGCGCCAGTAGGGGTTCCCCTAGGCCCTTGCTGCCCTTTTCAAGATTATTTTCGCATGTTCGTATGTACCGAATCGTACTACTATGTTTGTTTGTAGGCTTGTATGTTTTATTTCTACGCCGCCCCATAGCCTTATCAACACAGTGTTTCTGCCAAGGTGGCGGCTTCCTAAAGGCCAGTATTCCCCAAATAGTATTGCGTAAATATTCTTAGAGTACTTATAATGGTTAAAAATCAGTAAGTACAGTGGCGTCCCAAAAGTTTGAAACACCCTGTTGCCCATCATTATTGATAGGCTTGCTCACGATACGATATCGCTGGATTTTGGCCTATCGTTACCTAGGTATCGTATATCGTCATCGCGAAATTCTTGCGATATTTATCGTATATCGTATCTTTTTTTCTAACACCTTGCAATACGATATTGACGATATTGACGATATTGCACAATAAAACGATATCGTCACATAGTACTGGCATGTCGGCCACAGTCGCATCGGCTACGCTCGCATATTCGCAATGATCACCACTTTAAAGGCTATTTAAGATTGCTACAACTCGCTGAGTCGCTCAAAAACGCAAAAGAAAATTAAAATAGCCTCTGTTTCCTATCTCAGGACTAGCTTGAATAACCTCTACGGCCATATGTTGGCTATGGTCGCGTTGGCCACGGTCGCATATCGACCACCACCACCACTTGAATCTCGTAGCTATTCAACACTACCACAATACGCTGAATCTCTCAAAAATGCAATAAAACATAAACCAGCCTCTGTTTCCTATCTAGGTCTAGCTCCGATAACTCAGAGTCCATATTTCTCCTGCCTACCATATAAATTTACATAGCAAGCATGAGAAAAATACACTGCGTGTACACACCAGTCTTCCTTGTCCCTACATCTTTCTTCATCTCCCAAGTTAAGGGGCGAACCCTCACAAAATGCCTCTCCATATCATTGACAATGATTATCCCGAAACAGTTGCTTGGGGAGAACTTCTATTGGAAGTCTACTTCCTCTCCGAGTGGGAAAACCCCCACCCGGACCCCTCGCAACCCAAAGGAACCCCCGCAAACCGTCGCAAACGACTTTTACGTCAGTTCCTCGTATTGGGATCCGAAAGCAGAGAGGTAGACCTCCTATCATACTCAATATGAGAACCGCGACCCTCAACTAACCATATATTAACTTTTTAGCCCTACTGGCCATGAATTTCACCACCGATTCCCACTGAAGCCGAAATAGACGAGATTCTTCGGCCGATACGCCCCGAAGCACTACGCACCTACGCTTGTAATACTTGCGCCGGAAAGGGTCTTTGGCTACGTCTTTGCTACACTAATGAAGAGGCGCATAACTCTCTATGGGCCGACAATGAAGACGCAGCAGAATGGGTTACTTACGATGGGGTAGTACTCGACGACGAAAGTATCTTTGGTGGTCTGGATTTGCAAGGCGCTCTGGAAATCTTTCCTGAGCGTGTCACGACTGAGGCTCTCGATATTGAGCGCAGGGACAACGTACTCCGAGAGATATTAGCTGCTTAGCGAGAAAATCCAAGTCCTAGTTCAGAAAATTAGTCTGATGAGCTCAAGTAAGAATTGGCACGAGAAAAGACAGAATGAGACGAGAAGCCTCTTTCAAGGTATGGTCTATATCATGCCGAGTGTGTTGTTACTCATATCTATGTGGAGGATGAGGTGGCGATTGACGGTGGAGGTGTATTGCATGTGTTCTTAGATGATTGTGGAAATGTGGTGAGACAGTGGCGGGTGCAAAATGATGGATCAGAAGATAATTATGATGGCGCCTGCTTTGAACGTCTTTGGAAAGATAACTTTCCTACGCTTTTGGTGAAATTGGTCCTGCGTACCATGAGGGTGGAAGCCGAGGCCCCCCATACACTATTTGAAGTCCCAGAGCTGTTGGGAAGTACCTGTACATAGAAGACACAAGGCTATAGGGACAAAATGCCAGAGGTTCAAATCTTGGAATGTGAAAGAGAGGGTAAGAGGAAATTCAGATTGACAAATCTATAGCAGAGGTATTATAGGCTAAATAATCTTCAGTTGATGTCTAGCTAAAGTAGCCCGTACAGTAGTCATAAGACCAAGGATAATAATTCTTACCCAGGTTCTAAGTTTCTTATTAACTACTCACCCTTTTCACCTCAAGTCATACAACAAAAAGCAGCGATCAGCTGTTTTCCTATTAGGCTAGGCTGATTAATTAGCAAGCCTGGCTATTTCCAAGGTTAGCGTATAGCTTAAGTACAGCTGAGCAGACAAGAAGCCCTATTCTCCATACCCTATAGTCGTATATACTAAGCATAAATAGAAAAGAAAATATATTAGAAGGTAAGTAAGGAACTTAAGTATGCAAATGCTTTATTTTTCTTATTCTCGGATTCTGTAAAGCACTAGTAAAGTTATAGCGGCAGCTAACCTATAGCTAGGAATAACTAACCTTAGATCCATGGATATATAGAGGTATCGAGATAGTATTAGTAGAATAGGTTAAGTAAATATTTACTGTTATTCTGGGGTTTTTTAAGAGAACTTTGAATTAAATATTTTGTCTTCTAATTAATTATTCTGATGTAAGTTTAATTAAATTAGTGTAGAATAAATATTATTATAACCTCCTCTAGTAGGCTCTAGGAAATAATTCATAGTACGGATGAAGGTGATTCTGCCTAGATTTTCGACTCCTTAAATTTGAGGGCCTGTTATTGGTCAGTTTGATAGCAAGATCGAGGGATCCCTCGTTTGAGAAAACGCTGGATCGGGATTTAAAGAGGATACATTTAACTTGAAAGCGCCCAACTTATTTCATTAAAAGATAGCTTCCAAGAGTCAACCCCTTGCACTTGATTCAGATATCGAAATCGCATTCACTCCGCTGGTACATATGCGAGCCAGAATGTTGTGTTATCTCCCAATCGAGCTGCGTTTAAAAGTATACCTACTAGCATTCGGGACATGCCCATGTCAAAATCCTCACGCCTTTCATACACTCAAGCATCGGATTCCATTGAACATCCTACTCGTCAACCGTCAAACGTATGCGGAATCCCGTGTTCTGGCTTTTCAACTTCACAAATTCGACTTCCACAGGTGGTGTGGGACTGGAGTTCATTTCTGTGGAATTTTTCTCCGGCGTCTGTGTCAATGGCAGTTGTGCTCAATTCAAAAGCTGAGTTTACGGGCCGTTGAGAGCAGTCTTATCAACGGATCTGGCAGTTGTCGACTTACCTCTGAATGGGTTGATATGTGCACTATTTTGGGGGCTGTGATAGGGCCAAACTTTACCGGGATACGGCAATTGAGCCTGACTATTGAAGGTCAATTAATAGAAAGTGGTTTGAAGCTTCTGGATACCGAAGCTGAATGGGTGGGGATAGGACTGAGGAGCCTCAAGTGCCTGCAGCGCTTTGAACTTATCATCGCCAGTGATACGGTTCATATAGGACTAGCAGCAAATTTCAAATGCAGACTGACAGATACTTTGAGGGGGGTCCAGATTGTGATAAGAGCAGTTGTGCGGGGAAGTGAGATTTCTTTATAAAATGGCGGAGAACCGTGTATACATAGGATAGGTTGTCTTCGCTCACTCTTACAAAGTTGCTCGCTGCTTCAGTCACTTAGGTAGTGGCAGTGGTGAAGATTATTTCTGGCCGAGGTCTGTTTAGGTTTATGAATAACAGTAGCAAGGTACGATGAAAATATTTACGGTAATATTCAGGCGGAGACTTGGTTCTCAATGACCCTCCACCTATCAAACGCTGCGAGCTGTAAAAGGACTACAATAATGTAGCAGAAAGCCTCACAAACAAGTCCACCTTCCAGAGCCACTTTGTTTCATTTCTACCCGTAAGTAATTTAAGAGATTCCCCGAATATTAGTGCCTATTGGCTACTTATGTAGCAGTGACTTTGCCTCCTGGATCCCCACTAAGAATGAGCATAGTCGGGCTAAAATGGCCCTAGCCTTCCGTAGAGGCAACCTTGGAAGGCACCTGGGTAGTACCAAGGGCTGTAACCTTCCAAGGTTTGTTACAATGTTTTAAATATCCACCTGAGAATATGTTGGCTATTTTAGCGAGGCCTAGCCCAGGTCGAAGCCATGGGCGGGTCGAGATCAATCAGGCTTACCTTCAATCATGATGCAAATATGTCTTCGAACTGGCCAATTAGAAAATAAAGGTGACATTGTCGTGATTGCCCAGGTGGCCACTTCTATCGTGGATTATACATATTAACCGGGTCGCTCGGCAGTGGCAAATTAAAAGATAGGTAAACTAAGTTACCAGACCGATATTATTGGCTACTTATGGAGCAATATGATCGGAGACGGTGTGTAATTTCGTATGAGCAATGTATGTATTCAGACTAGTCAATCATAATTAGTATTGGAATACGATAATTGGCCACTTCTGCTGCACCGAGGCGAATGAAAGACGGATTTTTGAAATGCCAAGGGAAAGACTATGGTTTGTAATACGGTCATTGGCTACTTTTATATCAAGTACCACATCCGACGAGGCTGATTTGCACTACTATAGAGGAGAGGTTGTTCGAACATAAATAGGGAAGTAAATCGAGAGTACATGAATTCAACAACAGACAAGTATCACCGACATCCTAAGCTTCGAATCCAAGAACAACATGGCACCCATGCCTATCGAGCCTACCGAGCCATCCCAGACGATTTCCCCGTCCATTTTTTACTGGGTACGCCGGTTGTGTTGATAACGACGGAAAACGAAGATGGCACATCCAACATCGCGCCAATGTCATCTGCATGGTGGCTTGGAAATCGATGTATGCTAGGCCTAGGGGCCATATCGCAAACAACGATCAATTTGATTCGAACCAAGCAATGCGTTCTGAACCTCGCATCCGACAACATGGCAGGGGCAGTGAATGCTCTAGCAAGGACAACTGGGTCGAAGGAGATGATCACCGCATCCGAGGGAACAGGATACCTATACTTCAAACGCATGAACGGTTACAAGTACGTGCCAGATAAGTTTGGACATTCAGGCTTGACACCTGCGGATTCCGATCTGATTCGACCTCCCCGCATTGCTGAGTGCCCTGCTCAGATGGAGGCCGAATTGAAGGGCGTAAATGAAATGATGCAAGACGCGGAGATGAAAGGGTTCATCGCGCTCGAGGTTAAAGTCCTTCGGACACACGTCCATGAAAATATTCGCATGTCAGGGCATGCAAACCGAATCGATCCCGACAAATGGCACCCCTTGATCATGAGCTTTCAGGAGCTGTACGGGCTGGGGCGCAAGAAAACCTGCGAGTCCATTCTCGCCAAGATCAGCGAAGAAGGATACAGGCCATTCTCCAACCCTGTCGATGATGAGGTCACAACTGAAAAGGAAGAGTAAAAGTTTGTCGAATATGTGATTTTTGTATTTATCTTGGCCACAACGGATCAACAGTGTTGTCATATTTGGGACCGTTTCCTCTCTTTCTAACTTTCTTGCCTTCGATTCTCCCTGGGTGTTTCCAAAGGTTCTATTGATTGATACTGATAGTTCCGTTCAATGAAGCCATTATTCTGGATCCGCTGATCTAGTGGCCAACCATGGCTTGGTGGGCGGCACTGTACCTGTTTCCATGAGGCTTGGCAGCATCAATGATGCGACGCATGTCTTGCGCTTCTTCCTCTGTAATTTCAATATCCCGAGACTTCCAGTTTTCTTCAAGTCGGCTTGGCTTTGTGGTTCCGGGGATCGGAATCAACCCCTGGCTGACAACCCAGGCAATTGCAATTTGGCTGATCTTGCACCCCTTGCGAGTTGCGAGCTTCTTGATCTCCTCGACAATTTTCTGGTTCTTGTAGAAATTCTCGCCTTGAAATTTGGGAGCTACCAAAAACGTTAATGCCGCCAAAGAAAGAAATGCTCAAGTATAGTATCACTTACAGCTACGACGGAAATCATCGGGCGCAAAGTCGTCTGGTGACTTATAATCAAAGTCATCCACGAGCCAGCCGTGTCCTAACGGGCTATAGGCGACATATGCGACACCTAGCTCTTTAGCCGTATCGATAAGCCCGTCTGTTTCATGCAGTGTTTCAAATGCCGAATACTCGGCTTGGACTGCATCGATTTTCGCGACTAATAGGCGTTAGCGGGTATATCACAAAGCACAAAATGAGGAGGAAGCTCACTTTTATTAGCCTCGCGTAGTGTCTCAGCTGAGCACTCCGAGAGACCAATATACTTGGTCTTGCCGGCCTTTCGAATCTCATCTAGTGCTGGAATGGACTCTGTAAGAGGCGTATCTATTCAAAGTAAGCAACCATGTCCCAATAAAGAGAGAAAAGAATAGCCGACTCACTCGGATCAATTCGATGCAAGTAGTACAGGTCAGGGGCAAAGCCGAGTCGCTCTATGGTACCCTCAATGTACTCCTTGATATGTGAAGCAGAGTTTGTGACGGCGAAGCCCTGTCCAAAGACGTCAAAGCCACACTTTGATGCGACTGTAAAGTATAATAATTAGCGCCATGGAAGCTTGCTCACTGAGTTGCAAAAACTTACTAAACACCTTATCGCGGACATTGTGCTTTCTGATGAATTCACCGAGAAGCTGCTCGTTGATGCCAGCCGCATAGACAACCTGTGATCATCATTAGATAATGTAGCAATTTTTCAAGGTCGGGTATTTCGACCTACAGCAGTGTCCCAGAATGTACATCCTAGCTCAATTGCTTTCAGCAGGACTGGTTCGGCTTCTTCCAAACTTAGCTTACTGCCCAAGCCAAAGCTTAGGCCCATTGCACCAAATCCGGGCGTAGGAACCTGAATATCGCCGAAGGGAAGTGTTTTGACCATATTTTCGATTGTAGACTTTGCTTTTGCGTGCTGTGAAAACAGTAAGTTGTGGGAAGAAGCGGACTTGGGCCTTTAAGTAGCATATCTCGAAGTATGTATGCCCGGAGTATGCGGAGTTAACTCTTGGCCATCTTGTCACCTAACTCAAATACCCGAAAGAATCCATGGATCTGCACAAATTACAATCTATAGATCCCATTACGTGATCATCAATCTGTTTCCCGTGAAGAGGAAGGCATTGACTAAGACTTTGGGAGAGATATTAGTAGCCATTGGATTTATCATGCTCTGTATTTCACGGCCGTATGACTGCTATTACGAGTACTTCCTTCCGAGCATCTGATTGCGAAAAGGCATTGTTGAAGCTCTTAACTCCGCAGGAGTGGGGCTTGATGACAGTGGGGCGTCATCAAGTCTGGGTCGTTAAGTGAAGAATAGGTGGGTCACATACCGCTGAGGCGTGTGACGAGCTCAGGCTCAAACGAGGGGATATGCTAGAAGCATAACGTAGTACACGGATGGATGGTGGTGCAGGAGGAGGGGGAGGAGGGCAGACAAACAGATGGATAGGTGGGGAATAAAGCCAAGGTTATCTCCGGGCACGGGCTGGCTGGGACTTGGGGCCCCATCCTCATCATACAGACCTTGAAGTAAAGAACTGCAGAATTTCTAAAACAGAGGCCAAGTGCGTAAACAAGCGTGCTGCGATAGTTTGTCAGGGCTTCTTGGTGTCCCGCAAAGAAGAATTGATCCGCCCTGAGATAGTGTGTCGTCCCCGTGACTCGGAGATTATCACCAAGCACCAGGGAGATATCTATTCCCCACCACAAACTGTTTACCAGACGAGGAGGATACTTTTCGAGGCCTGTCTGAGGAAACATAATTCCTTTTTACGGTAAGATACTGGAAGTGGTTAACTACTATGTCGTCCATAAACCGAATTTATTATTAGTGGGCAGGTATCATTATCTTCCAATTGAGTTGACCTAACATCCATATATCTCGTGGATATCATTTTAGACCAAATATTAGCCAATACTAGTATTATCGACGTAATAGATGCCATGTCTACTCGAAGCAAACATTATCTCACAAGAAGTACATTCCCAAGAACAGACTCATGATCCAACCAAGTCCACCAGAGAGCTTGGGGGCGGCTGCGGGGGCCGCGGGTATGCTGGAACTCGGGCTCGCACCCATAGATGAGGATGAAGACGATGATGCGAGAGAGGTGGTGCTAGAGGTTGAAGTCTGCATAGAAGGCTCCGTGGCAGTCTCTGCAGCAACTGAGGATTCAGATGAAGGTTGATTAGATGATGTCGGAATTGTCACCGGGATGGTGGCCACAAACGAGCCAGATGATTCGGTCAGTGTCACCGCCACGCCAGCAGCAGTGGATTGCGATGTCGTAGATGCGGCGGTCTCATCAGGAATGGTAGTTTCAGTAGCAGATGCAATTGTGGTTGTAGTCTGGGGGGCGGGCTCCACAGTCGTGGTAGTAACTGGCACCAGTCCTCCAGTAAGGGGAGCAACGGCATATGGGGGATCAAACAATCCGAAGTTCTGACATGCGCCACAAGGAGAAGCCCATGATTTGACCTTCTTTGGGGCTGCGAGAATTGGGTCGCAAGGACCACCTGCCACTTTTGTTGCGATAACAGAAGCTTCTTCTGTTTGTGGGCAGTCGGTGTGAAGATCGTTCAGCGTAAGTTGATGGGTCGCTGAGATGTTGGGCACAATGGTCGATACTTCGTCGAGGTCAAGTGGGAAAATCACGCTGGTACCAGAGGGGCCGACGATGTCACCAGCGGTGTTTGTACCATAAATTTTATCAACAATCATGTAGACCGATGGGGAAGTACTATATATCGTAGAAATAATGAGTCAGTCAAATGTGAGAGCAGGTTCAGGGTAGGTCTTACAAGGTATAATCGAGGTGCTTATCGAAGTATGTTGTTGGGTAGTCGTATGGCTGATCCGTTGGCCAGTAAAACAAATTGACCGTGCCGGCCGAGCTGTGAAGACAGTCAGCATTGTGTACGTCGGTGAATCATATGGGGCTATGTATCCAGCTAGCTTACACTTTGCATGATGTTGGACACGGATTAGGAGGGGGAGATGTTGTGATAGATGACTCCTCATAGGTCAAAGTTGTTGAGTAGGTCGTCGTGCTTGTAAGTTTCCAGGAGATCGTCGAAACGTCAGAGACGATTACTGTGCTATTTCCAGGCGACGGGGGACAAATTGTAGTCGTGTGCGCGACCGTGGTGTCCGTATACCAAACGCTGGTCGCAGGCGAGAAGGATGTCCGTTCCGACCCCCAGGTATAAGCATGGGTCTTTGGGTCGCCAGACCAGAAACTAGGACTGTGGATTTCTCCATCGTGTTCACCCCGGTCCAATTTCGCACTTGAGCCAGGAGCAGCGCTGACTGAGCTTATTTCAGTACTCAGCAGCCCGAGAAAGGACCAGAATTTGAATGATCGCATGGCTTTGACTTTGTGATAATGCACTCGAATATGGCAACTTGAATTAAGGAACGGCCGACTCGGGCTAGATCAGGTAGATTCAAGGCTCTGTGACGCGCGAACGAGAAGGAAAACAGCAAACAAATAGAATATTTTTCGCCCTGCTAGAAGTTTTGAATATTTGCTTCTGAACAACAAGATTAAGATGCGCATGAAAATAATCACACAAGAATGACGTCTTGGGGATAGCTTGCGCCTCGTTGCCAACGAGTAATTACCTTTCGATGTGGTCATGATAGCTGAGCTAGACGGAAGTCTTTCTCAAAAAGGCAATGACAGACAACGGCTTACCCAGGAACAGTAAGGACCGAGAGTAACGTGGTCGCTTGGATCTGCATAAATCCCGGTCGCGGTCCCTGATTAGATCGAGTGCTTGCTGTGGAGCAGGTTTTTAAACGGCAGTCAACAGGTTTTTGTTTATGTCCTGTCCGTGCGAGAGCGAGAGCGAATATGCTTCCACCGGCATTTGTGACCTGGCAGCGATCGCATCAAGTCAATTGCTATTGAATTTCTCCCAAAAATATCCACAAGGGACCTGCAGGATCATGACGATTTTTTGTCTTGTTTTCCCGGAGAAAAGGCGCACGAGGGCCCCCTATCTCCATTCACTAGCCACATACTCACTGCCTGCGGAAACGAAACATCTTTTTTAAAGTATCTTTCCGCGGTTTGCCAACATGTATTCGGTCATTTTGGTCGCTCTGCTGGCTTTGATACTTTCTTGGATACCGCAACGCTGGGCGTCACCTCTTTCTGCACGCTCCTCGTCTCCTATCGTCGTTTCTCCCAGTCAATATTTGTAATTCTTCACCCAAAGCCTTGCAGTGGCTGTACTATTACTGATTTCATGTCTAGTGATGGCAACGATGGACCATGGAGTAGTTTCTTTCTTCGAGTAGGTACTCCAGAACAATATGTTAGAGTGCTAGTTTCGACGGCCTCTCCGGAGTCCATGGTGGTGTTATCTGAATATGGGTGCTCTGACTCGGTTTTCGCCAATGCACCATCTAATTGCGCATCCTCAAGAGGCGATTTGTTTAACTTGAACAAATCGTCTAGTTGGAATGAGCTGGGCATCTTCAACATCAACAACAACGGCGTTGGTCTGGAGGCCAACCTGGGATATTCTCAAAGATCGGAGTTCGCGACGGATGACATAGGTCTCAGCTTAAATGGACCGAAGCTCGAGAATCAGACTCTTGCAGGGATCGCAACTCCTGAGCCCTTCTATCTGTAAGAATCGCCTTGAATCCGGATTTGGATGGAGTTTTGTTAATGTGTCTGATCACAGGGGAATATTCGGTCTCAATCCTCAACAAGTCAACCTCAGCACCCTAGGAAACGCTTCTTCGCCTTCGTTCTTCACAACTCTCAAGGATCAAGGCAAAATCCCAAGCTTGAGTTGGAGCTACACCGCGGGCGCTAAATATCGTGAGCATCCCTGGCAGGTCTCTGGTCAAAATTGGAACTTTATGACTTATATATTGGGATTCTTTTTCCTCTTTAGGGCTCAAGCAGGTGTACGGCCAACTCATCTTCTCTGGCTATGACCAATCGCGATTTACCTCGAACTCTGTCTCATTTACAATGGCAGACGACATCACGCGCGACCTCGTCGTTTACCTACAGTCAATTAGCTACAGCGGATCCACCTCTTCGATATTACTATCCAACCCAATTGACATATTCATTGATTCGACCGACCCGAATCTCTGGCTACCCGATAGCGTGTGCAATGAATTTGAGAAGGCCTTTGGTTTAACTATGGATAACGACTCTGGCTTATATCTGGTGAATGAGACGCAGAATACTGAATTGCTCAACTCAGATGCTGAAGTGACCTTTCGGCTATCTGACGTGGGATCTGGGGGAGAAGCTGTCGCAATCACTCTCCCATACGAAGCGTTTGCTCTAACTGCAAAGCCTCCGCTGGTCGATAATAGCAGCTACTACTTCCCATTAAAGCGTGCAGCCAATTCCAGCCAATACACTTTGGGTCGTGTATTTTTGCAGGAAGCGTGAGTGAACAATTCTCATCGTAAGACACATTTGCTAAGTGTATATTTAGGTATTTATCGACCGATTATGAGCGCGGTGTCTTCAATGTATCAGCTTGCTCCTGGGAAGAGGATTCCGAAGAGGATATTGTTGCAATAATATCCAAAGATGCCAGTACTTCCAGCTGCTCTGGAAGCGGATGTTCTTCTGGTGGCAGCAGCTCTGGAAGTTCTTCAAACCTGAGCCGAGGGGCCGTTGCCGGTATTGCAGTGGGTGCAGTAGTTGGATTCTTCCTTCTTCTGGGTATAATATTCTTCTACATTCGCCGGCAGCGACAAAAATCCAGAAATAAGGCTATCGATCCTAAGCCAAACGTATCTGTCCTGTCTGGGCCTGTACATAACGGCGGCCCTCCCGAGTCTTCATTGCATGATGAACACAACTCTCTCCCACAATCAACATTCTGGTCTCCAGAAACGCTCAATGGTAGCAGTGGCATGACTACTAGTGGTAACAATGGGAGCAGTGGTGACAGTGGGCGTCATGAGAATAGCTCTGGTGAGAATGAGCTGGACGGCCACAATACTCAGATCAAGCCAGTCTATCATGAACTTCCTGGCTCTAAAGTGTCAGATGTATTATATTAATTCAGGGTGGTGGATCAATTGAGAACTTCTATTTGCTAAAGTAGAGAAATAAAAATCGCGACTCACTAGTGCATTAAAGACTTTGTCAGTCTCGCTGGAGATTCTCTCTCAGCAACAACACCTGATGCCCAAAGTCCAATAGCGTTTCTGCCTGCCTATGTTCAACACGATAAAGAAATCTGTGATTTCGGTGATAATTGTGTCCTTAAATCCATGGGTGGTCTCCTTTGACTCCCGATTGGGCCTCTCCTTCAAGTAATGCTGCCGTTTGGTACAGTATGTCACTGCTATTCGTTAACCTGCGTCAAAAAGGTCAAGCAGCACGATATTTATGCGAACTAGGCGAAGCGAAGCGATCTACTCGCATGTGCCCAGTGTAAACAGGGAAGAAAAAGGGGGAAACCATGTGTACAAGATTCTATATCATTGGCTATTAAACTTCTTGAGGTTCCATTTGACCTTACATAAGCTGTGCTGATCAGACACTTAACTTCAACATTTCCACGGTTTACCACCTGGCTTCTGACAGTCCTCTTGTGTATTGCATGTTGAACCTCGTAACAGGCATAGAAACACCTGCTCGTCTGCAGTATCCACCGATGCAATGAGCGGCCGCCCTCATATCTGTCACCCTGGTATCCTGGAGGCCATGTTACGAAAAATGGGGTTCTACCGTCGACCTGTCTCGTACGTTTTTCGATGGAAGCGAATTATTTGTTCTGTACTTGGTGCAGTTGACAGTAACAAGTAGACGCTCCAAGGTTGTGGTAGCTGAGCAGAGTACTGGAAGGCTATGTTTCGTACGGAACAGTACGTCAGTGGATAACGAAGTCTCAAGGAACTTCATCCTCGAGAGGAGACTGAAAAATGTGGCATCGCACTCATAACCAGGCGAGATGTGGGATTAACCAAACACGTACTCGAGGCATTGGTATGTGTTGTGCATCCTCGGCTGTGTTGATTTTTGTCTCAGCTTTCACGTTGACCCAGGGACCAGGCTCCGTGGGTACCAATTACTCCACGACAGTGGTATCAGGTTAGATGATAATGGCAGGGGAGTGGCTGTAGCGGTAGTAGTGAAAATGGGAATGAATGGCTTTGCGTATTGGGCAGTGATAGTCAAATGCTCGGCGTATGTGAGTTGTTCTAGCTGGTCCAGTAATTAGCACTAGTCGGCACAGGTATAAGCTTACTGGGATTTGAGGCGTTAACCGGTGTCAGACTGTCAGTACTGGTGGAGGCATGGTGTATGAGCGAAGCTTGGAAGTGGTAATGAATGTGAGATGGGATTGACTACTAGAAATTAAGGCAGCAACGGGAAGGCGATCCTTGATGCCTGAGGCAGCACAGTGATGCCGAACAACATTGTAGGAACTTCCTCGAGATATGAAAATGAAAGTAGCAATAAAAATACAGCAATACAGCAATTTAAAATTGTTCTCCAATGTCCTAAGAAGCATCCGGGGTATCCTGAAGGCTCGCCTTAATCCGGGGGTCCGTATTCAATATTATCCCAAGGGCCTGGCGGAACTTCTCGTCCGGAACAACATCAAGGAGGTCCTTGTTTTGAGAGAGATTTTGCAACTTCTTCTCTGTTACATTCAACATAGCCGGTAGAATGTAGGCTATGAGAGCATCCGTTCCTCGGCCTTGTGAACAGTAGCACTCCCAGCCCCTGATATCGAAATATTCATTGAATTTGAGAGGATCTTGGGATATCTCCACCGCTGCATTCCCTGCTACATTCGCCACAAGCAGCCGATAGAAGCCTGAGGGTGATTCAAGCGCCTGTTTTAGAGCGGCCTTCTTTTGTCGTTGTGATCGCCAGTAGCAAATCCATTCCACACAAAGCTCGAATAATCCCCTTGCTAGCAATACTAGAATGAAGATAGCGAGGCCCCTAAAAATAGGGATAAGTAACTTGAACATCGTGTAAAGTTAGAAATCCATGATGAGACTATGGTTGGATGAAAGATCTCAGGTACGGTGCGAAAAGGAAAAAGAAAGAGAACTTGAAATCAGAATGGTGGTGGTGGTCATGACCATCGCCGCGGACAGTTTGGGCCTGGAGCAAACTGTGTTCCAAGGTTCAGAGGGCAAAAGCAAAGGTTTGGGGGGAAAGTCAACAAAGTCGTGATGTTTATGACATAACCTCACGAACCCATGGTATGGGGCATTCCCAGTCGATTGGGTCCTTGTGTTTCTACACAAGATATAGTACGGAGTCCTTTCGGCCCGAGTGCTATTGGGAAGTTCTTGAACTTTCGAGTCCCTGCATACTTGGCTGGTGGCCTCAGTTACTCTGCGGGGCTGATTGGCAATCATGCTATGCATTCTGTCGAATCACAAAGCAGCCAAAAGTCAGCAAAGGTCATCCTTGCAGGACAGGAACAGACAGGAACAAGCTCAGCCAGTGAAAGGAGGCGCATTTGCACTACCAAACCAGCAAGAGTCACATGACCCCACTTTATCTAGTGGCAATTGACCAATCAGCGATCGCCCATTGGCAATCATGCCACTCGCGGTGACGCAGACGGACGAACACCCAAGGGCTATAAGACCAAATGCTTTGCTCGAGATTATTTTCTTTCTTCATCCTCATCTTGTCTAAACAGTCTTCTCTGAAAACTTTATAACACACAAAACCACTCTTCTATCTCGTCGATTTGCAATCTTGAGCTCCAAGCTTATCCGATCTACATCTCCACCACCAACCAACCAAACAACCAACCACAAACCACCACCACCACCACCAATCTTCAAAATGGTCCACCCCGCTTCCACCTGCTGCAAGACCAACGCCGGCGCTGGCTGCGTCTGCGCCGCCCAGGCCAAGTGCTCCTGCGGCAAGGAGAGCGCTCTCCACTGCTCTTGCAACAAGTCTGCCACTGAGAACGCCACCGCCGGTCCCCGCTGCTCATGCCGTATGTCTTAACTCTTAACTTCCAAAATGAGCATTGTCAATATTGAATCAAAACTAACATAATTGACAGGCTCTCGCCCCGCTGGCCAATGCACCTGCGAGCGCTCCGTCACCGAGAACTCGCCCGTTCAGGGTGATGCTTGCGCCTGTGGCAGCCGTCCCTCTGGTAAGTCGAATATCCATCTACTCAAATTTTTTTTTCAAAAGTTCAAAACTAACAATCTTTCTAGCATCCTGCACCTGCGAGAAGGCCGAGGGTATCGAGTCTGCCCTGGAGGTTGACTTCACCACCCGCTCTTAAATTGTTCATTCCATCCTATGATTTGCTTTGATGGTTATGCATTTCCCATTTGAACACACTTTTCTGTTATAGTTCATGGGCGGCGTTGGAGAGACTGGAGACTGATTGCTTTTTTGTATACTATTCATCCCATTTGCCAACTTGAAGTTCAAGTTGCGATTGTGGTAATTGATAACGAGACATGAGATATCATTACTTTAAATTATCCTTTACGTCGGGTACGACCATAATAGGATAGCATGTGTAGAATTATCGGTGAAGATGCGGGGTAAGAATTGGAAACAATGTAGAAGTACTGACACCTCCGACAACAAACCAACCCTACCATACCGTGGCGCAGGACCTCGGTCGGATGTGGTAAAAATGAAGCGACACACACTTTGAATGTACAATCGAGAGATCCGTGAATCCTCGCTGATATTGGCTAGAATTTAAGATATACATGCATAATCATCTCCACCAGATTAATTAATCATATGAAGGTCCATCCGCAGCCGTTCCTGGGACATCTTCTGCTCCATCTGCTTGACCAATGCCTGTGGGACACCTTCCTGCGTAGCGCGTACGGTAACGCGGTACATCTATAATAACATATTAGCACGGAACTTATGCCCAGAGAGTAAATGGGTATTGGAAGGGGGACATACCGATTTCTCGTAGTTAGGCTCCAACCGCATAAGGCACCCTGTTTTACCAGCCTCGAATTGGAACACGGCACAGCCAACAATATTCTTCGCATTGGGGTCGACGCCGTCAAGGATCTTCCATCCAAATCCTTCCACAGTTCGTCGAGTGAACCCTTCCGTGGCGGTCTTGTTCTTAGCAGTCACGCCGAACGTCTTCTGGCCCTCCAGCGCGTCGCCGCCGATTTGTCGCCAGCGCTTGAAGAAGTCCTCCGCCGACAATGACGATGGCTCCATGTAGCGATGCATCAGGACAGGTAGTTGAAGAGTGTATGCCTGAAGCGCACCAGCCAGATAGGAGATTCGAATGGTAGGGGCATCGCTGAATGGCCCGTGGACGGCACAGAATAGTGTTTGCTGGGTCTGGGCGGCTGCATTGACTGTAGAGTCAGGGAGGTTCTTGGTGTCGATCTTAAGATTTGGCGTGGCTGGGTTGTCGATGGTTGTTGTCAAAGAGGTAATTGGGTAAGAGGACTTGTTAGAAATGTAGAGCTTGACAACACCCATGTGGCCACGGTACTCCGATCGCAAGCCAACCTGGATCTGTGCATCTTCGAAAAGAACGCCTTCCGATGTGTAATAAAGACGGTTGAAGCCGATATCCCAGTCTGGGGTCAGGTGAGCTGCGCTGGCCAGGTTCGGAGCAGGCAGTGCGGGTCCACTGGAGAAGTCAAGACCGGCCAAGTCACCGGAGGCGCTCGTAGCACTGGTCGGGGTTGGAGTTCCATTCGTTCCCGTTCGAGTGCCATTAACAATCGTTGTGAAGGAACGCTTAAGACCGGTCGTCTGGGCCATGAGGACCTCTTTCTTATCCGCATTGGCATCCTTTCCACCAACCACCCATGTCTTTCGTTCAGTCGTACCAGCTGTCTTTTGGTGCAGGCGCGACAACAGAATCGAGGTTCGCTCCGAGAAGGGAGGCATTTCATCGCAGACAGTTCGGATAAGATCGTCTGACGGGAGTGTTGCCAGGGACAGATATTCAAAGGCTCGCTGTTGTAACTCGGAATCGGGGGAGTGGCTGTAGAGCCGGAAGATCTGCAAGAGTTGGGGCTTGATCTCGGGGAACAAGTTAACAAACTTGACAAACGAAGATAGGATCATAGCTCGGGCGTTATCAGATCCTGTGAACATCTTGGCCTGTAGTGCTAGGAATTGTTCAATGGGACTGGACCCCGGGTTGTCTGCAATCAGATGGCCAAACTCGCCCAGGACATAACAGCCAATCTTGACCAAGCTCTCGTGGCAGTCATTCTTCATATACCCAAGAAGGGTGTGGGCCGCATACGCCTGCAATTCCTCGTTGTTTGTCACGATTTGAATAACTCGTTGCCACACTTCGTCGTTGACATGATCACCGGCCAAGGAGAGTAGCTTCAGGGTCATATCGATGTACCATTGGGCATCGGTGGCGTACTTCTCTGTAAGAATGGCAACCTTGAGTACCATTTCTTCACGAATTGCGTAGTCCGCCGTCTGTAGATAACGCAAAAGTTCGTTCACGATTGGCCCCGCGTTCGTTGTATCGCACATACTATAGAGAAGGTCCAGTCCCTTGCGGCGAACACTGATATCACGGTCTCGGAGGGAGCCCAGAATGATATTTTGGTGTTTCTTGATCGGGTCGAGGGTTTCGGCTCGGGCGGCGAAATGTGTCAGTGCATCAAGGCCGAGGTAACGGACATTAGTCTCGCGGGATTGGATGTATTTGCCCAGGCGAGAGGAGATTTGAAGCATTAGGTTGTGCTCTGAATCGAGATGAATGAGGAGGTTAATGGCTTCGAAGAGAATGGCGTTTTGGGCGTTGTTCTGTTGAACGTTCTTCGGGGTTTCCATAGCAGATGCCATCATCTGGGCAAGGGATTCGCGGATGATTTGGCGTACATGGCTATCTTCGGAAGGTGGGTAGTACTGCAACAGACGAAGCAGCTTGACCTGGATCCATGGACATGGTACCCGGTAGTAAAGGTAGTCCGGCGCGATGTCGTTGTCCACCACAATCTTCTTCAGGCGTTGCGCGGCCTTCACATAGCTGCCCTTGTATTCTTCGGGCATGTCCTGTGCCAGTGCCATAACCAACGAAGTCACCGAGAGGGTGACGCCCATGTCGGGATCGTCCATGATCGAGATAATTCGCTCGGCCCATTCTCTGCGAACGATGCCAGGGTATTTGCGGTAAAGACGGAGGAGGGTCAGGGCGGCTTTCTTCTTCACGAAGGCCTTCGATGTACTGTACAGAGTTAGACTCGTAGGTTCCTCGGCCGGGTGGGTGTATAGGGGTATACTAACGGGGAGATCAATAGCCGGTGGACTTCAGTGGCAAGCGCTTCGCCGAGCTCCCGACCACCAACATTGGCCACAGCATGTAGGGCCAAGCAATTATTCAACTCATTATGATCGAGTAAGTCCTTCCGGATACTGTTCACAACCAGGTGCAACAACTCGTGCTCCTCGTGTAGGAACAGGGTGACGGCCAGATAACCGATCTGCTTCTCGGAGTATTTGCTGGAAGAGATAAGATTCACCGCCTCGAGATGACCGAAATCGACATCGTAACCTTGTATATAAACGTATAGCAGCTTGCAGACGTATTTTTTCTTCTGGTAACCGTTGAGACTGCCGCCCTTGAACTTCTGTCGGATATTGGCCAACTCCTTATTGACGCGCTTCTCTTCTAGCTCTCGCGCTCGCGCATTTCGCAGGTCGGCGATGAACTGGACCAGTCCACGCATGGATGACATGATGAAGGTTGTGTGCAACGACGACTCGGTAATGTTTCGATCTCACGCGCAAGGGAGGTGTTGGGTCAACGGGGGTTGTCGGCTGTGGGGTTCTGAAGTTCAGGGTCTCTCATGCCACGCGGAGAACACCTCAGTGGATTGCGATCGATTACACAACCATATCCCTGATCGGTTGAAGATGAATGTGCAATGGCCAGCCAAAGACGACGGGAAGGAGGAATTAACGTTTGGAAGCAGGGCCAGGAGATGCTGATGCTTGGTCTTGGGAGTCTTGGCTTTGGCCTGAGGCCACTTCCGCTGTCGATCGCCCGCGTTCCGCTGTGGCGGTGCTGGATTATCTTTGATCCGCGGTGGCGCTGTGGCGCTATACTAGCTACTATGGTGGACTAGTATATATTTATACTAGCTAAGGTAGCAATGTAGCTGAAGGTAGGGTAGCAAGATTATAGACAGATAGATAGTTCTAAGATAGCAATTTCTGGTATTACTACTCCATTTTCCGGGATCTTGTTGAGTGTCCATAATCTCCGAGAGTATAAGGGGCATATATATAGGATCAGCCTGGAGTATAAGTTAGTGATGTTGACTTCCTTAATACCTACCTAGGCACTTTTGTCAAACTGACCACATTCCGAGCTTGCTGCCTCCTACCTATAGGCTACAGCTGGCTGTGGTGTAAGTGAAGAATAGATGGGGACAGTGGGGACAGGCGCCAACGACGGCATCAACGACGGCACCAAAGACCATCCCAACGACCATCTCAACGTCGTTGCCTACTGGCAGGTGCTTTTCTCACTTCCCACTTTGCCAGACACCAAACTTGCCCTTTACACCCACCCTCTTCGCCTTCGATTCTGCTATCCCAACTTGCTAGTGAACTTCCAACGCCGACTCAATTCGCTTGAGGATACTTTCCGAGACTCTGGTGCTTCCCCGGTCCCCAGGGGACTCAACACTGCCTCTGAAGTGGCATTGGGGCAATAGCTGATTTCTTACCTCAATACACGCTTCGAGGGATTCGAGCGGAGTATCCTTGCGCGCATGGCCCTTAACCGCCTTTCTTTCCACGACTTTCATCTCTTTTCCATCTCTGTTTCATACGAATCTCACCGATTCTGGGTCTTTAACGGCCATTTTGTCAGTTTGGTCACTGCTTCCTCTTCCTCACTCGGAGCTGTCGTCTTATTTATACTGAAACTTCTGATTTTCTCTTAGCCTTTGATCGCTTACAAACTAAGCCCGTTTCAATCATCTCTGATTATGCCGTCGCTCCAGACTCTTCCACCAGAGCTTCTTCTTGCTATAGGTGACCGACTGGAGGAAAGGGACATCTACGCTTTGCTGCTGGTCAATCGCCGATTTTCACGCGTCTTCCTGAATTACTTGTACTGTCATAACCGTATCCGCCAAGGCTCCTCTGCCCTCATCTGGGGCATGAATCATGAGAACGAAGGCGTGGTGAGGCGTGCTCTCGCTCAGAATCCCACCTGGCGCCCCGAGTCGGAGCGGGCGCGTCACTTTCGGTTTCTATTCCATCTCTGTGTTGCCCGTGGGCAACATAGGATTGTCCGCAGCATCCTGAGGCACCGGGTCTGCCGCTGCTTACAATCTTGTCTTGAAGAAACAGAGTCCCTGGCCAACGACCTTGGATATTATGATCTTGCCGACGAGATCATGCACTGCCGTTTCGCTAACAATAACGCATGATTCCTGCTCTCAAGGCCGTCTGCTTGGAAAATGAAACCGATATCTTTTCCTTATGTCAACAAATTTCGCAACAACAGTATGGTGGGTGGCCTTTCTTTTTCATGTGCAATATGCTCCCTTTGTGCGCATTCGGAGCTCAAGGTATGGTCGGATCTTCGTTTCTCTCGTCGCTTTATGGGAGGTGTTATGCCGAGGGACTGTTGGTGTAGACGGCCTAGAAACTCTGTTGAGGCTGACATGTCTCAGGCAAACAGGATGCTTTTCCTTTTGTCAAAATATTTCCTTCTGTGTCTTCTTTCTTGTTTGAGCCTGGGCCACCCACGTCTTAATCATTCCGCAGAACACCAATTAGTAGTAGATAGCACCACTAGATAGCTTCATCCGATCATCTATCTATTGCACCATCACGTTCATTCCATGGTAGCACGCGTAGCCTTCCACCATCTCCTCGTCTATCACTACGACTGTAACACGTTACCTTCCTTAGGCATTCGTGCAAAAGTATTTAGGTACTTTCTTTGTCATTTTTCCTTTCCTTCTCTCCTCATTCTAAATATCTTGTTTGACTGCTACATTCTGAGGCTTGATCATCTTCACTATCCTGAGCTGTTGCAACAACCATCTATCAATATCCCTCTACACTTCCATGCATCTCCATGCCCCTCACCTCTCAACAGAGTCCTTGACCACATGAATAATCACTGCCACAAGAGCCTCGTACCGACCAACTGTTACAATCTAGACAATCGAGCCATCTAATGGTCTCTCTTCTCGCCTGCTTTCCTTCTAGCCATTACAAACCTCTCATGCTTTCTTTTCTTGGGAGGTATTGAATACAACTAAAATGGCTATAGAAATATTGTAATTTTATCAAAAATTGTAGAAAAATACTTCCTGGTAAATATTGGTTGAAATACTAAAAGTACTAGTAGTACCAGTATGATTGTGGGGTCAGTTTTCAACCTTGGAATCCCAGTAGTACTGTTATAGCTTTAGGTTTCGGTGCCGTGGCTCTTCAACAACTTAGATTTAGGTCCAAACCTACCAGGCCACTCGAAAAAACTTGGAGTTTTTCTTTTTTCCTCCGCTCTAACCTATTTTTTATTAGGTACTTCTAAGCATCTTCTTATTATCCTCGACCTTTCCCCCAACAACGGATCTGCGTTCTTTCAAACAACCTTCGCCTCATTCTTAGGCGGCCGATCTCCAAAAATGGTAGTTCCAACTCGAACCTGGTCACTGCCAAGAGCAATCGCCCCCTCAAAATCCGAAGACATCCCCATACTAAGTTCCAACTTAGCATCCTCCCCTTCAAGACCCAACTCAGTCACAATCCGATCCCTTGCCTCACGCAACGCCACAAAATCCTCATTCTCATTCTCAGCGGTCGTAGCCCGAGACCGCGCAATCGCTCCAATAGTCATAACACCCTGAAGCTTGAGTCGGGGACACTTTTCGCGAATATATCGGGCCAGCGCGGGTGCTTGTTCCGGCGCGATGCCGGATTTATTTTCTTCGCCGGAAGTGTTGACTTGCACGTAAATGCGGAGTCGTGCATCACCAGCTTCGTCGTATTCATTTGCTCTCGTCTTGCTGGCGGAAACTTCCTCCTCGGGGCGTTCCCCCCACCCCGATCTAACAATGCAGCCTTCTTCTCCGAATCCACGCTCTCAACGGCCCAGAGGCCACGTACATCCCGCGCCAGTGTGACGCATTTATTTGACTGCAGTCCGCCGATGAAGTGCCATTTAATTGACCTTGGCAATAGCCGGGACTTTTCGAGGAGTTCTTGGAGGTAGTTTTCGCCGAAGTGCGTGTGTGCGGCGGGGGATGTGTGGAGAGCTAGGGCGTCGGAGGCGGGTTTTAGTTTTGATACGGCGATTAAGCGGACGTTTTTCTTTGCGGTGCTCTGAGCTGAGGCATTGGCGACGCGTGCTGCTACAGCGTTTAGGTTTGCTAGTAGGGTTGAAGCTCGCGCGGGGGTGGCGGTCATGTTGGGTTCTGTCATTGCAGGTTGTTCTGGGGGGTGTGGTGAATGGTTGATGGTGGTGGTAGGGGTAATGCTGTGACAGCTTTGGTGTTGAGGAGGAGCCAGATCAGTAGGTATGCCTAGTCAATTGGTGTGGCAAAATGAGTGAAGCTCCAATTGTTTGTTCATGGAACTTGAACTTTGATGGCCGCGGTGATAATATGGCTGCCTCAGGCAGCACACCGCATTCCGCGGAGATTCCCGCGTCATGTGACCTGTCACTGGCGGGAGCAGCACGTGATTCTCAGGCACCCAGGCTACAAGGCCACCAGGCACTGATTAATCCCTTGCGCCCCAACCTCCAAAGAACGTCCAATGGATCGATAATCCTCCATCGAGCCGTTTGCGTCCATGATCGACGATCCCTGCGAGCCACTCTTTCTTCCATGCGACGCTAGGAATGTATGTTCATCCCTCTAGACCGGCCTTCAGCGCCAACTGACACACCAACCCGGCGTCACCGGGTCCTGGCGGCAACCCAGACACGATCTCCATCCAATGAGACGAAGCTGTCAACCGAACCTGAACTAGCTCCCAACCCCGGGCGACTGCGGATCACCGTTCATCCCTACACCGTTGTTCGATCTGACTTACCGTTGAGTTTCGGCCTGCGATTCAGATTCAGCCTATTTTTAACCTTGCCGTAGGCGCTGAAAGCTAACAATGGGCTGACGGGCGGGCTTTTTCTTTGTTTAACGACCTTCCATTCACTAATTCTATTATTGTCTACTAGTCAATGGACTGCGTAGGACTGCCCAGGACTGCCCAGGACCGGCGAACTCCATTTTGTGGCGGCTGGGCAAAACCCGGTCCAGGGCCAGGACCAGAGAACTGCAATCCCAAACGGTGCGCGAAGATGTAACCGCCGGACGGATGGGGTAGGCCAACTACCCTAATTCTCCACTGCGAACCAGCAACGCCGAGGATTTTATCTGTCTGGGCGGCCGTAGAGGGGTATTGCGTGTCGAACTCGGCCGTTTCTGCTGTGTCTTTGACGTCAGACCGGCTTGCTTTTCCTTGTATTCACTGCCCCTCTTGGGAGTAGATCTAGAACCTGCTGCCCAGCTTCTTCTTTCACCTCCACCTTCCTCCCTCTTCCAACCTCCAACCTCCTGCTCAGCTGGCCTGACTATTTCTCTTCTTTCCTCTTCATCCACCTCCTGAACATCTCAAAATCTTCTACAACCCCCTTTTATCCTCCTTTTTCTTCTTCGTGCCGACCCACATCCGGCCCATCCGCATACTTCCCTCTCGGCACCGAAACTCCGATTCAACCGGAAGCCCGCGCAATTGAAAAAAAGGAGACCGAATAAAAGGAGAAGAAAGGCCTCATTCTGTGTTGACCACATTTGCTCCCAATTTCTGTCCTCCAGCTTGCGTGTTCAAAGTTGCGTTGCTGTCCAAGAGACAAAATTCATCATACCGCGATTGATCGGCATCAGCCAGCTCTTCTCCACTGACATCACCGCGACGATCCTCTGTGAAATCATATTTTATCGCAACTCACACCAATTACACCTCCCACCATGTGTCGCCAAAATTTTACCGTCTATGAATGGTGCCACTGCGAAGCCGATGCTGGCTACAGCGTTTGCGGTGGTGCTCGGCGCGATAGCTGCCCTGGTGTAAGCATCGAGACCGTCCACATGCACTGCTTCTGCAACTCGCATGCCTCTCGTGGCTTCAAGACCGAGAAGAAGAGTCGCAAGCAAGAAGACAAATGGCGACGCCGGTCGCAACAGTCTCAGGCCTCCTCTTCATCTGGATCTTTGGACGAGAAGTCGTCGCTCGGTCGTCGATTCTATCAATGGTATCAATGGCGGGGTTTGCTGTCGCGCTAGATGACGATCATTGTCTTCTACCTCCCTCTCCTTCTCCTTTTTTTTTCCATGACAAATTCTTTCTCTGTGTCATTCTTTGATGTTTCTTTCTTCTGTCATTTTTTCTCCTTTTTTTTTCCTTGTTGAAATATTTCCAGCTTCGGTGTTCTTGGGTGGGATAGGCGTTTCTAAGATGGAGTCAAGTTTGCGGGTTTGCGCTGGAGTTTATGGGGTTATGTTGATGTCTCATGCCTGTCGCCTCTAGAAGCTAGAGCAAGTTTTCAAATAGAAAGATCGAATCTACTATTTTCCAAGCTATGTACTATACTATAGTATACTATAGATAATCATGGTTCACATGTTCTAGTGAAACACGGCACGACTCCAAGATGAAGAATGCCCTGCGGAATGATCGACTGGCCCCTTCCCCCATTCAAGACTGACTTCCTCTTCATCCCGCAACTTCAACTCCTTTTCCCTTTCTCAAGTTTACTGCACATTGCAACATTACAACTATTACTATTATTACTTTGTTGCTTTGCTTCTCTGCTGCTATCCGGATTGCATGTTCCCCCTATGATCCTGCATGATGGAACCCTTCAACTTGCAGGATGATGCGCGTCCGCGATCTATTGATCGCTCAGGACGCCCGCGCGATCTGACCAACATAGACCACTCCCATAATGATCTGACAGACTCCTTAAACCGTCTATCACTCGTCAATGCTACCGCGACTCCTCTCCCCGCGTCACCAGCTCTCCTCTCCCCCGCGATCCCGCATCACGCTCTCCAGTGCCCTACCAGCGCACCCCTCGGCGCAGTCCCAGTTCCAACTCTCTACGCGACGAACGCCGCAAGTCCACCCCAGTCAAGTCGACGCCAGTCCTGCAGAAACGCACATCAACCGCCTCACTACGCTCTGTCTCAAACCACACAGGCCCTTCTTCCCCGCTCTTCGATTCGCGCCGCTCCTCTGCCAACTTGGCGGGGTCCCCGACCACCGCCGCGTCGCCCGCAATGTTGCCACCGCGCCTCCTTCCCCAGGGACCCACAGCAGCTTCGATCGCGGCGGAGCATTTCCAGAAAGAAGTCGATCTACACCAAATGGAGGATCTACAGTCCAAGACGGTCGTTATCGTTCATGATGCCTGCTACGGTCACCGATTCTCGCGCCCCCGAACAACTAGAAACCACCTCGCCGCTATAGTCGAGAGACCGGAGCGCATGCGTGCTTGTGTTGTTGGTATCGCTGCGGCGTATGTTCGGCTCGGCCGTCGTCATGCCGGGGGACCATATGCGCCGCATCCTCATCTGGATATACTTTCTCTGCCGCCACCATTCCAAATTCGCAAGACGGGCCGGACCCTCTTGCTTTCAGATAATGCTGTGGCTAACGTTCATGGTACGCAATGGATGTCTGATTTGAATAGTATGTGTGATGTTGCGGAGTCTCGCCTTGCCTTGACTGGAAAGGAGCTGGTTCGGCCACCCGCTGCAGGTGGAGATGGAGCGTCTGGTCAGAAACCCCCTCCTTCTCTTCATGAGGGAGACCTGTACCTCTGCTCCGAATCATTGAATGCATTCCAAGGTGCTCTGGGTGGGGTTTGTGATGGGATTGACACGGTTCTCGGTCCCGGCCCAACGACACGGGCTTTCGTCTGTATACGACCACCTGGCCACCACTGTTCATCTGATTTCCCTTCCGGCTTTTGTTGGATCAACAATGTCCATGTTGGAATATCGTATGCGGCTACACACCATGGACTCACGCATGCCGCTATCCTCGACTTCGATCTCCACCACGGCGATGGTTCACAGGAGATTGCATTCGATCATAACCACAAAGCATTGACGCCGTCACGAAACCAGTCTGCGTACGAGAAAACAGCGATTGGGTACTACAGTCTGCACGATATCAACTCTTACCCCTGCGAAGACGGCAATCCGGAGAAAGTGCGTAATGCGAGCGTGTGTGTTGATGGAGCGCATAATCAGTCTATCTGGAACGTGCATCTGCAGACCTGGGTGACCGAGGGCGAATTCTGGAATTTGTACGAAACACAATACATGACTTTGATACACAAGGCACGGGCATTCCTTCGTGCCCATACCCAGCGCCTTTCTGAAATCCCCTATGGACCGCCGCCTAAGGCGGCTATCTTCATTTCTGCGGGTTTCGATGCGAGCGAATGGGAAGGGTCGGGTATGCAGCGGCACAAAGTCAATGTACCGACAGAATTTTATGCACGATTTACTGCCGACGTTGTGCGTATGTCCGAAGAGGAAGGCCTTGGAGTTGACGGGCGTGTGATCAGTGTTCTAGAAGGAGGTTACAGTGACCGCGCCTTGAGCAGTGGTGTCCTTAGCCATATATCTGGACTAGGAAGTGCGACACATGGATTGCAGTCTGAATACGTCAAGTCTGAAAGAGCTAGCGAGGATGTTCTGTCGGCTCTCGATCAGCTTTCTATTCAAGAGGGATACGACAAGGAGTGGTGGTCTCCAAGCATGCTTAGTGAACTGGAGATGCTAAATCTGCCACCGGCCAAGGATGAAAGGGAGAAGGGCTATTGGAAGGATACTCGGTCATTTTCTGCGAAGAAAGTTTCTAACCCGCGCAAATCTTTCGGATCATCCACGGCCATTGAACCCCACCAGTTGCCTCCTCTCCCAGAAGTCGGATGGGCAACAGCAGCCCATGAGCTGTCGAAGGTCCTGATTCCGGAGAATCGACAAACGACCAGCTATCGAGCTGAAGAGCTCAACGCCGAGGCATCCCGACAGCGACGTGACCGTCAGATTGCGCTGGATGGCGGTGTCAATCCTGCAATTGTTCCACCGCCGCCTCCAGCACCCATTGATGAAAAGCGCCAGCTGCGTGTACGAAAAACCAAATCCCCGACTCCCTACTCACCCCGGCCTGCTACCCCTCGCCAACAAGCCATGCGGAAGAATCGACGTACAACAATCGATGGCAACGACCTACCCAGTCCTTCGGGAGAGTCACCATCCGCGGATGCGAGCCGTAGGAAGAGTGTCAGTGGAGTGGCGCCTATCGAGATAGGCAATCTGGAGAGCTCTGCCAATCCAACCAGGAGAGCATCATCAGCTGCATCAATGAAATCCGCCACAGGAACGGTCACCGGCCTTCGAAAATCAAACAGCACCCGACCCGCAACACCCAAACGCTCTACAAGCCCCCGCAAGGCTCCACCTGTTCCCAAGGTCCCAACTGCGTTCCTCCCATCCAAGCTGTCGGACGAGGTCCCACCTTCCGATGATGTGGAGAATCTTACATCGGGTCTAAGGAAGATAAAGCTAGTCATGCCCTCGCCAGAAGAACAAGCAGCGCGCGAAAAGAAAGCCGCTGAAGAAAGCAAGTTGTCCCGTGGAAGTCGCACCCCTAAATCTCCACGCTCTCCCCGCAAGAGCAGCAGCACCAGGACAGCACGTGGTAGAGGTGCCCGCATTGAACCTTCATCCAGCATGTCACCGCCACCTCTCCCCGTTCCAACGATCGGACTAGGCATGCAAGAAAATATCATAACGACCAGCGCAGCGGTAGTCAGTGTCGGGGCTGTCGGGGCAGGGGCTGTTGGCGTAGGGCCTGTCAGTGTAGGGGAATCGAGACCTCTTCCAGCGCGGGCAATCTCATCGCCATGGGAAGGGGCCAAAATGGAAACAGAAACAAGCATCGCAGACCCAATCTGCCCAGCCTCAAAACCAACAGAAGTTCTAACACCCTCAATGCGACCCACATCCATGCCCGCCACAGAACCAAACTCCATCCCAGCCGGTATTCCGTCACCACACACGCCTGAATCCACAATGATCCCACCAGGTTCTTCGGGTAGGAGGTCGGTCTCACATGCAAGATCCATTTCGCACGGAAGATCGGTCTCGAATACATTCTCTCCGGCAACAACGACGGCGGCACAGACGAAGCAGGGACTACCTGTTTTCACTTCAACGAGTCCTATCCCCTTTGCAACGGAGTTTTCTCAAAATCCAAATCCAAATCAGCTACAGCAGCAAGCTGCCCATAATGCTAATGCTAAAGCCAAAGCCCAGGCTCAGGCTCAGGCTTTGCAGACTTCACACCCGCACCACGATCCTAATCAGCATATCCTCAGTGATGAAGATAGTCCCCTCGGGCCACCGCCTGTTCCTTACAATTTCCAACAGAATCGGCGGTTTTATTCGCAGTGATTTCGATTGATCACCAGGGGTTTTTTCGTGGTTGTCTAATAAATCCACTTTTCTGATATTGTTGGGAGTTCTTAATTCTGGCGGGGTGTGGCCCTTTTTTCTGGTCTTTTTTTCGTGTCAATATACCCCTTATGTATGGATGGTCTGGTATGGAGTGTTATTCTGGATAATATCATTTTGTTGGATTTACAATTATATTCCATATTAGAAAGCACATGGTTCCTGCGAGGATATCCTAATATCAAGACTTGAATGATTGATTTTTCTGAGACTAGATGCCTCAGGTTACACAAGGCTGTCAGCTCACACCGCTATATCCGTACTCTTGAGCCTCAACTGGTCTTTCATCCTGCACACCTCTCTTCGTGATCGTCCCTCTCGCCCTCCGCCAGGAGATGATGTTTCACTCCTGACATCGCCGCTAGTGTCTTAATATTTCATTTTTATGAACCTAGTAAGTGTTATGCCCCGTCTCTAAAATAGAGTTACGCTGTCAGATATCGGGCCGCACTCCCCAAGGTCCACTGGGACCCCACCCCAAAGGTAAATATCACTGTGGCTATCCGTTCGCCGAACAAGTTCAGCTGCGGGGGCGGCTCAACTTGAAGCTGAAGGGGCCAAAATCCTCAACGTAAACCCCGCACACGAAATCTACCTGGACCACAAGGAGTAGCCATTGTGGGACTAGGATACTTCGTATTCTGATTGCTATCACATAGCACATCCATGCAGGTCACTAGCCCATTTCCATTTTCTCAGAAGAAGCAAAAATGGCGTGGGACGACTCCGTGTGGGACTAGTCGCTCTATGCGGGACTCGTTCGTGTTTTACTGCAGTGATGATGCGCAAACAACGCATTAGCCATGCGAGTTAAGGTGCGGGGCTCTGCCGATCAGTAAGGTGTTTGAAAATAAATGAACAATAACTGGCCGGAGGAGTCATGTTCTCTTGGGGCGAATACAAATAGGGCGATATTACAAGGGGGTCCATGCAGTAACGCCCTTCATAAATACAGACTTGAGGCACACTGCCAGTGGTTGTAGCTAGAACCTTTTCTTTCTCGTCCGCTTCTCGATGTCCTGGGAGCTACTAGTACATTACACTTCTGGCAGGACAAGCCGCTGATTTCAATCATGGCACTAACTTCTGGCAATGAAGAACTCGCTTGGACAACGAAGCTCTGTTTGCTACTTGTATCGTCTGGTGTGGGAATCCTTGCTGCGCTCATCATCGCAATTGCTCCGTATTCCTGGGCCAGCTTCCGACCGAAGAATTTCCCACCAGGTCCCAAGCCAATTCCCTTTCTAGGAAATCTAAATCTGATTCCTGCTTCAAAGTCATTTTCACTGTCAGTTACCATCTTTCGTTCCCGATGCCCGTTTGTCGCTGTCCCACGCGACTAATGATGTATTTGAATACAGCTTTCACCAGTGGACACAGAAGTACGGCCCTATAATTGGTCTCAAATTCGGGCCAGCAAACGTTGTAGTTTTGAATCATTGGAAGGATGCTCAGGAGCAAGTCGAGCCTCCCTTTGCGTTGGGTTTAATACTAACATCAACCCCGGTTAATAGGCTTCTCGAGAAGCGAAGCGCAATCTACTCATCCCGACCCCCGAACTACATTGCCAACGAGCTCATCTGCAAAAGACAAACACACATCCTCTTCACTCCCTACGGAAGCGAATTCAAAGCTCTCCGCAAATCCACCCAGGGCCTTTTCGCACCTCGTGAGCTCGCAGCTGTGCTCCCTGTTCAACAAGCAGAGGCCGCGCAGACCGCATACGATATTCTCCGCGAACCAGGCCAGTATTACGAGCACATCCAGCGATATACCACTGCAGTGATCCTAGCGTCTGTTTATGGTCAAAGAGGCGAGACTTTCGATTCCCCAAACATTCAAGCTCTCTACGATGTTCAGAATCGGTTCACGGCGCTCTTGGAGCCTGGCGCTGCCCCGCCAGTTGACGGGATTACTTTCTTGAAGCATATTCCCGAGTTCTTGGCTCCGTGGAAGCAGAGGGCGAGGAAGATAAGACGTGATCAACGCGAGATATACTTCAGACTTTACAACGGAACTAAAGAGCGGATGGGTCGAGGGATTAGGGTCGGTTGTTTCATGGAAAGGCTCATCGATGACCAGGTGAAAAACAACATGGATGACGAACACACGGCATATCTTGGTGGAGTTTTTATGGAAGCTGGATCAGATACAACGTCGTCTACGCTCTTGTCGTTTCTGCTTGGTATGGTTGAAAATCCAGTCGCACTGAAGCGCGCCCAGGAAGATGTGGATCGAGTCTGCGGCGTGGAACGTTCACCCACTTTGGATGATCTGGAAAATCTACCGTATATTGAGAGCTGCATGCATGAGGTAAGCACTTTTTTCTCTGGTTTTAGAATCTTGACACTGACTGAGAATTCTAGATTCTTCGCTGGAGGCCCGTCGCAGCAGGTGGAATTCCACACATGCTCACGCAAGAAGACTCTTATAAAGGCTATCAGTTCCCCGCAGGAACCATTTTCTTCGCTAATACCTGGGCCATTCACCACGATGAGAACGAATATGACAACCCGGGTACTTTCAATCCCGATCGTTGGCTCGGAGGAAACACATACGGAACTAAAGCCAGTATCAAGATGGCACCAAATGAACAGCGTAAAACGGCTTATGGCTGGGGCGCAGGACGAAGAATTTGCCCTGGTCAGAAACTGGCAGAGACTTCGTTGAAAATCAATATTGCAAAGCTAGTCTGGGCGTTTGATATCGAGCGAGATGTATCTGCGACTTCGCCAGACATATCTGTCGACACGGGTTATGAAGGCGGATTCTTGATTTGTCCTAAGAAATTTCCTCTCAAGATCACGGCAAGGAGTGAGGCTCATGCAGCTATCATTCAGCGTGAGTTTGAAGGGATGAAGGACTTTTATGCGCGCTTGGCTACTTAATAACAAGGTGCTCGTCTTGCTAAACGCATACAAGCATGATGACAAGTGTGATTCAACATTCGAATTCGCAATTTCATACACACTTATCTCTTGATATACTTCCTTCTGTTTAGGGTCAAATATAATGCTCTCGAATTATCTTAGGTCTCCGGGGTCCTGAGTCTCTGTGGATTAAGCATAAGTTTAAGCGGGGCAAGCACTGATGGTCTCCCAACTTGACTGGCTCTGTCCTACCTAAATGACATGAAAATAAGTCTAAAATACAGAGGAACTTTTCCAGAGCCAGTCTTTGGCTACAGATATAGATTACCTGATCCAATTGAAATGCCCACGATAAGCACTTTTCCCCGCTGCGGCCTCGGAGTTGCGCCGACCAATCAACACGCACTTTTCCCGGAGATTCCCCGCACGGCGAGGCCCGAACTTCGGTTGAAGGCGACTTCAATGCACGCGGCGAACCCCGGGAAACTAGAGAGGCTCACCTTTATCTTCCCCCTCAATTCACTTCTCTTCCTTTATTCCTTTTTTACTTACCCCTCTAATCCCCCCCCGATAAGCCCAATTGGCCCAATTCCGATCCTCGACCTTGATATCTCCACCATGGGCAACAACAGCAAGGCCGTTGGCGCCTACTATGCGCCAAAGGGCGGTCTGCCCTCGCAATCGGAGCTTCTGACCGACCGGGCTATGTTCACGGAGGCCTACACCGTTATCCCCAAGGGAACTTTCCGTGACATTGTGACATCCTTCCTGCCATTCTGGGAGCAGACCCGCCTGTGGGTCATCGCCCGACCTCTCTCCGGATTCGCCGAGACTTTCTCGCAATATATTATGGAGGTGCAACCAGGTGGTGGAAGCGATAAGGCCGAGCTCGACGCCGGTGCTGAGGGAGTCCTCTTCGTCGTCGAGGGCGAAGTCACCGTTACCGTCGCCGGAACCGAACACAAGCTCACAGAGGGCGGATATGCGTTCCTCCCACCAGCCTGCGGATGGACTCTTCGCAACAAGGGCAGCTCCACTGCCAGCTTCCACTGGATTCGCAAGGCCTACGAGGCTGTCGAGGGACTGGATGCCCCTGAGCCAATTTTCTTGAACGATAAGGATGTTACCCCCACCGAGATGCCCGATTGCAATGGTGCTTGGGCCACGACCCGATTCGTGGATCCTACTGATCTGCGCCACGATATGCACGTTACTGTTGTTACTTTCGAGCCTGGTGGCACTATCCCCTTTGCCGAGACCCACGTTATGGAGCACGGTCTCTATGTTCTGGAGGGTAAGGCTGTCTATCGCCTTAACCAGGACTGGGTTGAGGTTGAGGCAGGTGATTTCATGTGGCTGCGCGCTTTCTGCCCTCAGGCTTGCTACGCCGGTGGTCCTGGCAGATTCCGATACTTGCTATACAAGGACGTTAACCGTCACATGAAGCTTTCATCGCGCCTGTAAGAGTGTCCGGGGCTCAGCGGTGCACTGAGGGGATAGACAAATAGGGCAGTATAGGTGAATGGCGCACTATCTCTGGCATTCTCCAATGTTCTCTGCTCTTCTCGAAATAGGGAAGACAGATCGGGGCACATTAAAATCGACATTGTATGCCAAAACTACCGGCCCCAGATTCCATGGACGACCTGATCGTTCTCTGGCGAGTTGGGAAAATTTACAAATCCGCTACGAGCTGATTGACAAGATTAAACGAACGTTGCTATTCGATGTACTAAATATACCATGTTCAAATCCAATTTCAATTTAAATCTACAAATTTTGAATTTACTATTAGCAGTAGACGTGGAGGCTTCAATCGGTAGTATCAAAGTCATGCCGCCAAGGTCTGACACGCCAACTTGACCTTGAATCCGAGTTAAGATATGTATAGTACTAGTAGGACTTATGAGCGACTGGTCAAAGCTTGGTCAACAGATTCTATATAGATATCAATTTCTAGCATGATAAATGGATCGCATTCTAATACCAGACTATGTACCACCCAGATATAAGTCCCCTCGTATACTCAACCACGGGCCTATTTCGAAGCTTCCAGCTAATATCTTTTTCTTACTGCTCCGGCATCCGTAGGTCTCTTATCCGCCAGTTGCTGGAAAAGGCCCTTATCACAACATATATCGAGAAATTTCGGAAACAACTCAAACGTGAACTGAGGCACAAGCTCCATAAGCTCGCGGGTGAGAACCGGTGGTGTCGTGGAAACTCCTGCTCCTTTCCAGAACATCATCATATTTGGCACAATAAACCTGATCACTTCATCCTTGAGCTCATGGCAGGTAGTGTTGATGGCGTAGATTGCCTCAATTGTTTTGGCGAAGGACTTTGGATCTGGGTTATCCATGAATGCTTTCGTGAAGTGGGCTTTCGCTTTCACCTTGAGGTCTGGGATCTTCCACCAGCTTGCTTCGATGTACATGCGTGCGTGGAAATAGCATGGGTGGCATTGCTCAAGGAAGGTGTCATCATCGTGGAGGATATTCCCTTCAACTTCTTCCTCCATTTCTTGTTTTGGTGATAGATCCACTAACTCATTGCCGAGCTGTTCGAAATCCCCAAGGCTTTCTTTGTCTTCTGTCGCTTCAAACTCTCGTTCGGTAGACTGAATGGCCCTGGTTTTATCCGCATCAATCTTGGCCAGCTGTGCTTTCCTGAAAGCCCGGCCCCCAGAAGGGTTGTCGGGCGTAACGCTAGGCTTGCTGGGAACGGTGTAGTCGGATTTGTATAGAAATTCCAAAACCTTTTCGAATAAGATCGGTTCCCGGGTGCTAACCAGTGGCTTGGATGAGTCCTAAATGCGATTTATACATTAGTCTCTCTATACTGCCTCCCTCTGCGTAAGGATGGTACGCTACCGTTGAGTTCTCCTGGTCTTTGCACATCCTAGCCAAGTATTCTGAGCGCTGACAAACAACGACCTTGTGGGCTTCAAATTGGCGTTCGCATTTGCGGCCTTTGCAGATAATTGTGAGGTCGCTGTACTCGCATTGAAGATGCATGCTAGCTCGTTATTAGACTTTGTTTTGTGATGTAGAACAGTTATCTGATGGAGCCTGCTTGCTTGCATTACATACTTAGCAATAAGGTTATAGATCGTATCTCGACCTGCTTGTTGAGAGTCTTGAAGTGGAGCGGAATCGGACTTGGATAACTCAGGCGCCCTCTTGGATACTTTTGATGGCATCACTGATAAAGAAAATATGAGTCCCGGGCTTGCGAAAGCTCAAGCTCGAAATCAGAAAAGCAGGCACAGCTGGAGAATATTGATAAATGGGGAGATTCATTGCTCCTGTTAAATAAAAGGAGGTCTTATCTGTTTCCGAGAGAGGCACTGGCAAGTGAAACCACATGTTCTATTTGAACTTGAAGTTCTTTGAGACGGCTTTGACGGGAGTGGTGTGTACATCTTATGTGAACCTCCCCACGGGTAAGTCATCGATGAGCCCCATAATCCTTTTCGGTTTTTTTTTCTTGGATTAATTTCTTGCAGGCTTTCATTCTTCATTTTTATTTTGCTCATTACACGATGTTTGAAGTTCGCTCTTTCAGGTCGGATTATGGAACTTACTCGGGAAGTAGCATGGACAGAGTCGCCACCCGTGGTATATCTTTGACGAAGTTTGGAGCCAAGGCCAGCTCTTGGAGACAATTTGGAAATCAAGGCACACCGACCCAAATCACTAGATCTCTGCATAATTTGCCTGGTCTAAAGTCGATGGTAAGGCGTATAGTTCGGGTGGCGTAACTCCGATCGCCGACGATGAGCTAAGCCACTTCTGTGGCACTGGAAGCTTCTCCGCATTAGTCAACAGCCTTCTACTCTCTTCGCTCTTCACTCTCACGATCTCTTATTTCTCCTCTGAATTTCTAGTCGCATTCCTTTTTTGCATTCTAAGGCACCATTTTAAACACTCTCTGTTATCTGTCACGCCCACATCCCCATCAGCATGTCCAAAAACAACCACACCGGACAACCAGAGTCCTTCACCCAAATGGCCGACACAGATCTCGAATCAATCGGACGCCACTGCCAATTAGAATACTGCGGCCAACTCGATTTCCTCCCATTCCGATGTGAATCCTGCCGCAGCACCTTCTGTCTCGAGCACCGAAGCGAAACAGCCCACAAATGCTCCCACGCAGGCGAATGGGCTCGCCGGCGCAATGGCAACAACACTACCCAACAAGAGAACCGCACGGCACCCGAGAAACCCAACATCTACAACACCGATCAATGCGCGCACGTCGCTTGCAAAACCCTCATTAATACCCTCAAAGACCCCGCCGTCCGTTGTCCCAACTGCAACCGCCAATATTGCCTCAAACACCGCCTGCGCGAAGAACACGATTGCGCCAAGCTTACCCCGCTGGGCGCACGCCAAGGCAACAATGCCTCGCCGCAGGATACGATCAAGTCGATGTTCGCGAAGGTGCGCGGTTGGGGAAAAGAGAAACAAACCGCCACTGCCAATCTCATTCCCAAGCCTAAGGTTAAGCCGAATAGCCCTGCCGCGCGTATCGCGAGCGTGAATGCGATGAAGCGCTCCGCTAAGGGAGAGGCCAATGTTCCGGCTGATAGAAGGATATACTTGCATACGGTTGGAACGGCAGATACACAGGCTACGGAGCCACCGGCTGGAGATTTCTACTTCGATTCTAAGTGGAAGGTTGGGCGGGTGCTGGACGATGCGGCGCGGAGACTGGCTGTGGTGAATAAGAATAATCAGGTTGGAGGGGAGGAGGCGCGGCTGCGGATCTTCCATGTGGAATCTGGGGACTTTTTGGAGTTCTCGGAAACCATTGGAGATGGGAAGATCAAGTCGGGTGATACGATTGTGCTGCTTCGCGGTGCTGGAGTGGTGCTGGCCAATTCATGATACACCTACAGCTATATCTGCATTAGCATTAGCATTTGCATCTTTCTTCGATTCTAGCTTTTGGAGCCATTTAGATACCTTGAAGCGTTTCTGTCATCAATGATACCTAATGGAATACAGTAATGAATGCAAGTTTCCACAGTGACAATCGTTTGATAGTCTATCTTAGTAATGGTATCTTCTAAAAAAAAAAAAACCTATAAAAAAACATTACAACGCGGGGCATGATTCAATAAGTTCGGCTCAATCCGTGACAAATCAAGCACTCATCTTCATCTTGATGATCTTGTGTGGCTTGTATCCAACAACTTCAAACTCATCCTCCTTCCAGCCGTCAACGACAGCACTGCCACGGTCGTCACGTTTGATGCGGAGTTCCGGGAACTCAGTAGGGTCACGAGTCAATTGCTCATTCAGAGCATCAATATGATCCAGGTAAATATGGGCATCGCCCATAGTGTGAACTAGCTGTCCAGGGTTAAGATCGGCAGCGTGGGCGAGAATATGAGTGAGGAGAGCGTAAGATGCGATGTTGAAGGGGACACCCAGGCCCATATCACAGGAGCGCTGGTAAAGAAGGCAAGACAGGGTTCCCTTCTGGTCCGGGCGGCCAGTCTTCTCGTCAATCTTCATGGTGGGTGGGAAGGAAACGTAGAACTGCGCGAACATGTGGCAAGGGGGGAGAGCCATCTTGCGGAGATCCGCAGGGTTCCAAGCAGACATGATAATGCGGCGATCAAAAGGCGAGTTCATGATCTTGTTCACGACCTCCTTCAACTGATCAACACCCTGGCCTGTATAATCCGTCTTCGCGTCAACGTACTCGGCGCCAAAATGCCGCCACTGGAATCCATAGACGGGACCCAGGTCACCTTCCTCGCGGTGACCCAGTCCGACCTTGTCGAGGAACTCGCGGCTTCCATTGCCGTCCCAGATTTTGATGCCGGCCTCGGAGAGGGGTAGGGATGATGTGCAGCCGGAGATGAACCACAGAAGCTCGGCGACCACTGCGCGTAGGAAAACTCGCTTTGTCGTCAGGAGGGGTAGAACGGGGATCGGTGCACCACCTTCGGGGTTTGGTTTGGAGAGAGAGAAACGCAATTGGTTTGGGAAAGCGATGGCCCTTGTGCCGGTTCCGGTTCGATCAGGACGAAATTCGCCCTCAGCTAGAATCGTGCGGATCAAGTTGAGATATTGGTGCTCCTCGTGGGTTGGGTTGGGGGCTGCTGGAGCAGCAGGGGCGACTTGTTCTTGGGTCATTGTGGCGGTAATAAAGGAGACAGACTTTTGTTCCTTTTATTTGAGGATTGAAGTTGTGGCACTTGCAAGCTGGAAAGAGTCTCCCCGTCGATGCGGGTCGGCCATCGCGTCGACGCGACACGGTATCACGTGAATCCATATAAACCCCTCCAGCCAATCGGAGATCAAACACCATTTGGGTACCATCAGAGGCATTATAATCAGAATTCATCGACAGATGTTTAGTTTGATATCTTTCGCTATTTGCCTATAGAAAATGTCGTTAAAAGGTTACTCAGTAGTGGGCTCTTATAGGCTGCATCTAAGGTTCCAATGTGTTGGAAGTACTATGCTATTCTTCAAGTCCTCGGCTCGGTACCAGGGAAGATGTGAAAACCGGATATATTCCAATGGGATGTGAATTGGGATAATACTACCCTAGGGCGCAAAACTTTTGCTTGAAATCAGTAAATACTACTAGGCCGGTTTCTGCTATGGAACACCGCAGTATGATATAATACTACTAGAAGCCCTGGAGTCGAAAGTCAATTTTTCTTTGATGAGAAAAATATTAAGATTGATGGAATGAGTTCAGAGCCCAGGGTATCTTCTGACGAAGATATATTTAGTGGATATAGTAGTGTTATAACAGCTAACGTGAAACATCGTAGAACAACACTTCTAAACTTTGGAAGGCACCACGCTCTATCCGCCTCTAAATAAAAGGCAAAATGACAGAACTGGGATACTCCTCGCTGCAATGAATAGTGTGAGCCCCACGATTTAATTCGTGCTCGGGTCTCGGACGGGAAAAGGTCTTGTATTCGGCAATGCTTGGGTATTGGCCACCGATCTATGAATTTCAACCGAATTAGTGAAAGATCCTTGTCACAGAGATTATTGCATCTTACCTTCACGCTGATGGATTCCCCTTCTTCAAAGTCCACTCCCATTGCCCAAATACCAATCTCGAGCTTCACAATTGTGCCCGGTGCGACCTTGTCCTGCCGCTTGTGTGGATGGAAGGGAAATTGAGGATGAATGCTCTTGGAAGAGTCAATCTCGCGATGCGAGGCACGCAGGATTCCAACGGATCCTAGATGTAGATTGAGACTTGCTTGCTGAGCTTCTGGGATCTCATCGATGGAATTGACCGGGGTTGCATGGAATGGGAAATTAAGATGCATTAATTCTTTGCCATTCTTATCCTTCTTGCGGAGGATAACAAAGGCTGTGAAGTCATCGCGCTCTTCGCAAGACATGTATAGCACTGCTTTGGGCAGCCCAATAAGACGACCCTTCTTCTCGAATGTGTAGGTAAATTCAGCGACACTGTGACGATCCTCGGAGTCATATGAGATATTAAATGCCTTTGATGGAACGCTTGCGGACAGCTGCTTGTTCTCGTTGAAGAAGAACTCTCGATATTCAGTTGAAGGAGCAGGGAAGTCCTCGAGAACGATATCGTCGATCGCCTCCCGGTCCCCAAATTGAAGGGCTGACCAACGGACCTTAGGCGTCTTTTCCCAGTCATTCTTCTTGCCCCTGAGATACCGATCAAAGAATGACCCTAGCTCTTCGTTGGACTCGGGAACGCTATATAGCTCATACCATTCCTGTTTGCTCCCCCATTGAATCCATTTGTTATCATGAGGGACCTCCAACCAACCACGAATAGAGCCCATAGTGTGAATAGAGCTCACATCTGATCCTCGGATATACACAGGGCACTGAACCCGCGTGAGGTCGGCTCTCTTATCTTCCCAGAAGGCACTGGAAACATTGGAGCGTCGGTACATCTCTTCGAAGTCCTCGAGACCGGATTTCTCGGTTCCACGGACGATGGCATTGGCGATAAGGTCAAAGTTGCTCATAGAGAACCAACCACCGCGGCAGAACTGCTCTCGATAAATATCACCGGAACCCTCCCACGGCGCAATGGCTTTTAGAGAAGGAGGTTGTTGGGCAGCGATGAACCATTGTGAAATAGCAAGAGCAGAGTTTCCTGCCATACCGATGTTTCCATTGCACCAGTCCATCTTCGCAATGGCCTCGACAACGTCGTAACCATCCTCCGCATCTTGCGTTCCCATAACACATATTTGTCCATCGCTGTGTCCAGCTCCACGAGTATCAACACTGACGATCGCATATCCACGCGGACACCAAGCTTGCGGGTCCAGACCTTCGAACTTTTCCAACCCACTCAGGTCAGAATGCCCGACGCAGCAATTCCAAACACACATAGGGAGCATGTCGAGGGCGCTATACTTTTTCCCATAGAATGACCAGCTCAACACAGCGGGGACCTTCTCGGTTGAATTTGCTGGTCGATAAACGTCGGCGTAAAGGCGAACACCATCGCGAACCACGATCTCGACGTCGTGGTCAATTTGAATGTCGCTTTCCAAGGGCTTCGCGTTGAACCCTTTCCAGCCCTTAGGTAGAACTTCGGATTTTCCAGACTGGCATGGTTTATACCCATTCTCATCGGTGACGGGTTGAGCGACGCGCTTGTACGCCGATTGGACTGGAGGAGGCATGATTGGAAATTGGTTGGTTCAATTGATGAATGGAAATAAAATGGTCACCTTTGGGAAATGAATGGATTTTCTGTGTTGCCAATGGTTATGAACCTGGACGTTTGTACAATTATAGCCCCGAGCTTCAACTCCAATAAACAGTACCGCGGCATCTTTTTTTTCGCCCACATCACCTATTCTGCGCATCGTCCACCTACCTCCCCGCTTTTCCGATGGACATCGATCATCTGGACCAAGGCCCCCCGCGCAACCTTCCCCACCCTCATGAATCCGGGGAAGTGGGGGACCTGGCTGGCACTCAACTGTCCCTGCTGTGAGGCTGGCAACCACTTCGCCCACTTGACGATCCGCCGAGTGGAGGTGGGGGACATCTGGGGCAATGTAGCGTTGCAGGATCACTCGCATGGTCTCTGGAAAAAGAGAAACGCATTGGAGAGCCGTTAAGTGATATTTATTGCTCCCAGAAATTGATCCTTTCTATTGAGAATTATTTTTGCAGAGTAAATGAGTGCGATCATCACTCCTACAACAAGCCACTATGATGTCCACCACCGAAGTCACGAACGCTGAAGAAGCCCAAGCTCCAGACTTTAGCTGTCCCGACCTGGTCACATTCACTCCCCGACACTATGGTGACTGGCGCGACGAGTTCCACAAGAACGGTTGTGTCGTGATCAAGAATGTTATCAGCCCGGAGCGAGCTAAATACTATCAAGAGAAGCAGATCCAGTGGCTTAAGAACTTTGAGCTCGGATTTGACGAAAATGACGAGAGCACTTGGACTGCGGATCATTTGCCCGTTAGCTTCAAGGGAGGGTAAGTTGACCCGATCCTCAGATCCCCAGACGTGCGCTAACTTGAAGTAGAATGTACTTCGCATATGGCTCGCCTCATGAGAAGATGTCATGGGAAGCTCGCACTGAGCCTACCGTCATCGACATCTTTGAGACACTTTGGGAGACCAAGGAGCTTATCTGCTCGTTCGATGGAATGAACATCTCGATGCCGCGACGAAAGGATGTTCGCTGGAGTCCATGGCCTCACTGCGATCAGAACCCCGAACGTAAAGGGTGAGATCTCAAACCGGTATTCTCCATTTGTTGGATCAGGCTGACTGTCAACAGGATGCAAGCAGTCCAGGGTCTTCTCAACTATGCCCCCAACGGTCCTAAGGACGGTGGTCTCATGTTGATGAAGGGATCCGCCAAGCTCTTCGATGAGTTCTTTGCCTATAAGCGCGAATCTTTCGACCATGAGGATGCGCCACCCCTGAGATCAAATTTATGGACCTCTTCTTGTTCAGCGAGAAGGACGTCAAATGGTTCCAAGAGCGCGGCTGTGAGCTGGTCAAAATTAACATGGAACCTGGTGATTTTGTCCTCTGGGACTCGCGCACTATGCACTACGCCTGCCTACCAGAGGGTGATCAGATCCGCCATGTACAGTACATCTGCATGACACCGCGACGATTTGCGACCCCCGAGACGCTAGAGTTGAAGAAGGAGTGTTTCGAGAACTTCACTGGTACCACACACTGGCCTCACTGGTAAGCTTCCGCAGAATTTCATTGCTTAAGAGAGAATGCTAATTATCTTCTCCAGCAATGTGCGCCCGGCTAAGGAGAAGCCTATGCGTGATGGAAATGTTTGCCCTAAGGATCGCAATGAGCCGTTCGAGAAGCCCGAACTTACGGACACTGTTCTGAGATTGGCTGGTGTCAAGGGCTATTAGGCTTTAAATGAGAGGGTGATATACTATCTAGATATATGACAGCTAGTGGAATGAACAGGTTACTCTTTACAATATTCATTTTCAGTGATACTACAGACCTAGGATTCATACACCAACACGAAAATCCACCGGAGTCATTTTTTTTCGTTTTGATCTCATACGTTGCTCTACGTGGTGGTATCTTGGGCATAATCAATAATAAATGGGAGCCTTGGAATGGAATTTGAATTAGAGACACGGCACCTCGGACAGAAAGACACGTAGCGAAGCGTGGAAACCTCCGACGGGTGAACTTGGGGTGATTTTAAAAATCATTTCGCTTTCATCTACACGTTTGTTGAGAGGTCTATTCCATATTCATCCTTCGTTCGATCAAATGAAAAATCATGGCTTGGGGTTCTTGCTGGCATTTACCGATCTTCAACAAGCTAATTGCCGACCCCATTTACCTTATTCCAGACTTTTGCGACAAGATAGATATTCACGCCCACTTGCTATTTTCGGGATTGACATCTCTTCCCGGTGGGCAGACGAGAGCAACTGCCGGCACACCCCCGCTCGGCTCTTTTTTAACTCTCTTTCCAGCCACCATCCACAAATTTATGAATCTAGATTACGAATCCAATCCCGGGCGAGTCTGGGGAAGCGGGGTATCACTGTGGATCCCTATCATCAGGCTTTATTCGAGCGTGCTTTCTAAAAGGACCCCCATAACTGGTTAGTGTCAAGATGTAGAATAATAAGTTGCAGTAGTAGCCGAGAGCTATCGGGCCAAGTGGCTGGATGTCCTGGGTTTGTGGGGGTGACAGCTAGAGTGGTCCCGACGATCACCCAGTCTTCCTGGTTGGATAGCGATAATGAACTTGATCTATTAAATGGTCGAGGCTGCTGTGAGCTTCTGATTCTTTCCCTCTGGACTCCAGGACACACTGCATCATCCAGCTCAAGAGCTCAGAACGATTCCTGGGTCGTCCTCCTTCTTTGCAAACATGAAGGATACTGAAAAAGCCACTGGCCAACATGTTGAGATGGTACACGATGAAATATCCGAGTCACCAAAACTTGATGGTGAAGCGATTAAGGCTATGGGAACAGTCAAGTTGACCGAAGGCTCAATTATCTATATCCCAACTCCAACAGCAGACCCGCAAGGTATGATATCGCATTGCAATTTTTCCCGGAAGGTACGAAAAATATTAATGAAATCGAAAAGATCCTCTCAACATGCCTCTTTGGCAGAAGATAGTCGTGCTGATCGTTATATCTACCTGTGAGTCAATTGACTTAAGTTACAATCACGATTTTCTCCAGTCTCATATTCTGACTTTCTACCAGTCTCAACTATTGGCATGTCTCTTGTTTCCGGGTTTGGAGGGTTGTTGACCTTCTATATACCGGAATATGTGGCAGTAGGCAAGGATTATGCAGATATAACGGCACTGATGACGTACCCAACTTTATTCATGTAATATTCTCTCCCTGGAACTGAGGGGATTGGTATACTGACCAGAGCTTGTCGGATCTAATAGGGGAATCGGAAATCTTGTCGGAATGCCTTTGGCCATTGCCGTTGGCCGTCGAAGCGTCCTCCTCCTATTTACTCTAGTCCTTATACTTGGTGCTGTTCTCTGTGCTGTGGCCCAGACATACGAGTGGCATTTAGCAGCTCGCATGGTGCTTGGGTTGAGCGCGGGACAAAGCGAAGCATTGGTTCCGATGATCACACAGGTAAGTCATCTCATTTATCAGGCCCATTCTCCTCGAAATCATACTAAAATAATTTTCCGCCAATAGGAAATTTTTTTTTCTCCACGAAAGGGGCAAATGTCTCATGGTCCAACAAGCCATTCAGGTGTTATTGACAACCATCTGGGTTCTTTTTGCTAGCCCCATTGCAGGCGCCATTACTCCACAGGGCTGGTATTACCTTGGAGCTGGAATGGCTGCTCTTCAATTTGTTGTGGCTCTACTTTGGCTACCAGAGACTAAATATGATCGGAATCTTTCTGCATATCAGCAAGATGTCTCAAGTGATGATTCCACAGATGCAGTCGATCTTGAGGCCGATATCCCTGACAAGACCAAAGTCACGATTTGCAAAGAAAGGCCGCCTCTTGATTTTGTCAACTATGCGCCACGAACCTGGAGATCGGATATGCGTCTTTGGGTAGGCAAGCCGGAGTGGTACAAAGCTGTCGAGGTTCTCAGGGTATGTCCATAGACTTCGTTATTATTCACACAGGACCCAGCTCACACTTCACAAAGCAAACCGTGGAGCTTCTTTTCTTCCCCAATGTCCTTTGGGCGTTATGTCTCAATGGGCTCACTATCGGCGTCAATATTGCTATTGGAACGACATACGGTTCAATTCTTACCGGAGCTCCGTACCACTGGCCTGACTCAAGCACAAGCTACGTGAACTGTGGGCAAATCGTTGTCGCCGTTGCCGCACTTCCACTTTTAGGAACCGGCTCTGATAAGCTAATTCGCTGGTTTGCTCGACGCAATGGTGGCATGCACGAGCCTGAGACACGACTCTGGCCTCTGATATTTCCGGTGATTGTTGGAACATTTACTTCTGTTCTTTATGGACAGGGTGCAGCCTTTCCAGAAAGGTATCATTGGTTTGTATATGTGTATGTTGTCGCGGCCTACTACTTTTGCTTCGTGGGAGCCAATATCGTGGCTATCACATATCTACTGGATAGTTATCCAGCCCGCACAGGGCCATTACTCGTGATTATCTGTGCTTTCCGTGGTTTTATTTCTTTTGGTACGAGCTATGGTACATCGGCATTTGTGGCAAGTCACGGGTATGATGGTGCCTTCGGTATCTTCGGGGGGCTAACTGGCGCTCTCGGCCTTTTGGGTGTGCCGGTTTACATCTGGGGCAAGCAGATCCGGCAGTTCACGGGTCGATTTGCAAAGAGCAAGACGGATTAAGTTGCAGGACATCCATTTCACTTTGTTGGAATGTGACATCCCAACAAATCAATTCTATCATTTTTAAGATTCCTGTCTGAGACTGAATGGAATTCTAAAAAAATTTAAAAGATATAAGACCTCATAAATCGAATTCAAGATCGTAAGGACAAAGTGTTATATCACTTCGCTGCTAAACCTTAATCTAAGACCGTAAGGTAGCAAGATGGCCCAAAGTCGGTCAAAATGCAGTGGAGCACGCTGGGTCGGAGAATGGCCGACCTGGTCAGTGCGGGCTCGGGAATGCGGGGACAATCCCGGGGCATTAGCTCAATGCCGAGTGAGAAAAAAAAAAGCAAACTAAAAAGGGGGGCGAAGAGTTCTCGGATTTTGCTCTCCTGGCATATTTGTGTGCGTTGAGGGATCGCCAGTCCCCCTAGAATATGATGGAAGAGAAGAGGGCGCAAGACATCGAAAATGTCTCGGGCGTGAGTTTCCCTTTCATTCGGTTCAAATTTTATAACCACTAAGAATAGCGGGGAAAGTATCCAGGTCCCGACACCGACACCGATTCACCAGTCCTGGACGGCGATGCCGATGAGAAAGCTTTGGTCTGGAAGCAGGATCTACGGATCGTTCCGCTTTGTGCTGCTATCTACCTTTTGTGTTATCTAGATCGATCTAATATCGGTATGTTAACTATGTTTCACTGACAAGGTCCTTGGTTACGCTGACCCCATGGAGGAAATGCCAAAATTCTTAATCAGGATACTCACAATGACCTTCTTTCTGAGACGAATATGACCTCCTTTCAGTTCACGTGAGTAAATCAGCCAATCTATTATTTTATCAGTCTGGTACTAAGAACAGCAGAATTGCGCTTATGGTTTTTTTGATTGCATATGCACTTTTTGAAGTTCCATCTAATTACTTTTTGAAAAAGTTGAGGCCAAGTGTACTTCTTCCCCATCAATACAAAAATGAGAACCGAGATTTGACTGACAGCCTTCTAGAGATGGATTGCTTTTCTTATGCTCTCGTGGGGTGCAACTACCATGGGTCTTGGGGGAGTTCACAACTATGCCCAAGTTACTGGTCTGCGCTTTCTACTTGGCGTCATGGAAGCAGGGCTTTTCCCCGGTTTTGTTTACTATCTAACCTTTTGGTATCGAAACTCTGAGCGTTCGATGCGCGTCGCTTTGATCCTAGCGTCAGCAACTCTGGCAGGTGCCTTTGGTGGTGCTATTGCATTTGGAGTTGGCCACATGAATGGGGCTCAGGGCTTATCTGCTTGGAGATGGCTGTTCATAATTGAAGGAGCACCTTCTTGTGCCTCGGCTGTTCTAGTCTGGTTTTTCCTGCCAGACTATCCAGAGTCCGCCCACTGGCTTTCCGCTGAGGAGAAAGATTTTGCGGCGCGACGTTTAGCAACTGAGGGTTCAAAGGGCTCTTCCCATGCCATGTCATGGGAGGACGCCAAAGCTGTACTTGTGGATTGGCGGTTGTATGCCCATTATGCGGTTTGTTTGGCTTTAAGCCCCCCTGCAAAGACCAATTGCTGACAAGTTGATAGGTCTACTTTGGCATTTCTACCCCTTTCTCTAGTCTCTCTCTCTTCACGCCTGCCATCACTGCGGGTCTTGGATACTCCAATCTTCGGGCTCAATTGATGACAGTTCCTCCATATGCCGTTGCGTATGTTGTGACAGTTTCTGTGGCCTGGTCCGCGGACCACTTTAATAGGTAATTTGAAGTAATATATATTGATGTTTGAAAATAGCTAACTCGCCTAGCCGTGGGCTTCATTCCGCCATATTTTCCTTTGTCGGCGCAATGGGATTTTTAGCATCCGCGGTCCTTCCTGCTGAAGCCTACTTGGTAAGATTTTGTATTGATTTCTACTGTGCCAATTGACAGAAGCTAATACTAAGAAATTAGCATCGATATGGCTGTCTCATTGTCGCGACAAGTGGGGCCTTTGCTTGTATCCCTCCACTCCTAGGATGGCTTTCTTCAAATCTCCACTCGACCGCAGGGGCTGGACTGGCTATCGCGTTGAATGTATCTTTTGGAGCACCAGGCCAGATTGTGGGTGTTTGGATCTACAAGAGCGACGAGGCAAAAAGGGGCTATCCGACGGGCCATTGGACAAATGCCGCGTTACTTCTATTCGTAACGACGGGGTGTATTTTGCTGAGATTCTACTATGCGTGGAGGAACAAACGACGTAATGGTGATGGAAGTGGAAAGATGTTTGCATATTAGATAGCTCACATCGTACTACTTACTACTGGTGGGTCAGTTGATGCATAGAGAAGCCGGACCTCGGAACTATCCATATTTAGTTATGATCTATATGATCCGGCCCGGAACGCAGGGGATGCATGCAAATAATTGCGTTTCATCTCCTTGGAGGAGATTGTGTTACAGGCCTGCCCATCTAAGCGTTCTATGGGGGCTTTCTATCCTCAATCTCTCCACTAGTTAATATAATCGACTCAAAAATCAATTTAAACTGCGGGTTTCTGCGAGTTCCATATGGGGAAAGACGTTCTCATATTGAGCTCCTCTCTCCGAGTATGATAAAAGCTGGAACGCATTTTAAAGTTAGCATGAATACTACATGGGAATTTGACCGTTATAAAAACATCTTTTTTACTCGTGGCTTTGTATAAGGGAAGAAATTGCTACAGACCTTTGTAACTTTTGGCGCAACTGCTACTGATTCGAGGCTCCACATGTGATTCTACCCCGAAGAACCTAACAAGTACCACTAAGCTTGAGACTGAGGGGGGATGATCTGAGGCACTAATTTTTGTCTAGGCCCTCCTAATGAGTCTTTCAATGTGAGACAGCGTTCCTTCTCAGCTCAAATTTCGCAATCAAAATATAGAAGCCACGGCTTAAAGATTTATCATTGAAGCATTATGAAAGAAAAATAAAAAGAAGAAAATTTTATATTTCTGGTTTTGTGATATTCTGTCGATAAGTCTTATGCCAAAGAGAGGTCAAAACAATCTGATAAAAGAAGACCCTAATCCAACCCCAATCCCAGTGATCATCAGAGAACAAAGCAAAGTCAACACTATAACGACCTGTTCCAGTCCAATTATCATTCCCATAGCCCCATTCGATACCCATACCAAGAAAGAAAGGGGGAAAAAAAGAAAAAAAAAACTCCCGTATAAAGACTCTTCTCGTGAGATAAAGAAACGAGTACAAAGAGATAGCAGAAAATGAAAAACAAAAGAGATGACACCAGTGCCCAGTCCGAGGAAAAGAGAGAACCCTGTATTTCCTCGCACACATTGACCGCTGCTTGATGTCGAACTCTGCCCTGGTCCTGTGGGAAATTTAGGTTTGGGCTGCCGGGCCGTTCCTGGTAACACAGGAATGTCGACAGGCCCCCAGTCCCAAGACAAGAGGCAATAACAATGCTAGGGCCCGATTGCGGTGATTCTTTTGGATGCGCGCTGTAGTAGTACCCAGTATGTACACCATCAGAAGGTACCACTTATGTCACAAGGCATCAAGTAAGGTCCTGGCCAGGTGCTAATCTTTCCGTGTGCACCAACCCGTGTAGTATAGGAGAGAACAGGTAAAGCTGTCTCGGAAGATCGTGCATATATGCAATAACAAGTCGACCAAAGGAGAAATGCCCCACTCAAGCTTCACCGATTCACGGCAGAGGCAAGGCAATGTCTGAAGTCACGAAGGCGGTAAAATGAAGACATTTTCATCTCGCGAAACAAGTCGAGTCGTTGATCAGATGTATAAGTGCAAGTAGTAAATTTGCCACAGTATTTCTCTCCTGTGCCAGCAATTTCGAAAGAATTTTTATGCTTGTTTTCGTCACTCATGCGAGCCGGAGAATTAGGAAAGCGCCGTCCCTGGAGCTGCTGAAAGGGTTGGGTATCACGATGGCTGTTGACGGGTCACACAAACACCAATGCCCAAGTACAAGGTAGTGACGGATCTTCGAAAGCATTATTGACGGATAGTCACTCCGAAAAATGTCCAGTTCTCGAAATCCCATACACTTCCCTGCACCTTGTTCCGGAACACCTCATCCCACGCGGCAACACGGTTAAGGCACCCCTGCAACGTGCTTGAAAGTATGTGCTGTCAAGATTTCACCGGCTTGGGAGAATGAAGTGTGCGTTCCGGGTCTCCGAGGAGGAGGGCGAGTGGACGACGATGTGACGCGGAAGGTATGTAGAGCAGTGCGTGGATGGATATTTTTTTCCTGCAGACGCAGAAATAACAAATGAGAGCAACAGCAAGGACGTGTGAGTTGAGTTGCAGTGGGTCCGCAAAAGGGAGACACATGCAGAAAAAGAGATAGAGAAAGACAGAGAAAAGGAGATACCACTTCCCTCTTTTTTGCTTTCCTTCTTTCTTTTTCATAAACACTCCACGTGCACATGCAGGTGAAGAAGGGATAAAACACAGGAAAATAAAGAAGATAGCCACCCACACAAAAGAAAATAGTTAGTCCATATAAAGATAGAAAGTATCAGACTCCGCCAGCACCACGGCCATAGCCTGTGGTCTGTCGCGAATCAATCTGACCAGGATAGATGGTCGAGGCACGCGGCTGTTGATTGAGGAGCTTCAGGGCGACTTCGGCAGCATCCTCTTTGGCATTGTTGATGTACTGACCATCATACCAGTAGCGGGCGGAGAAGTTCTGGGTATTGATGCTGACGGTGCTTGACCAAGCGGTACGACCTCCTACATTTCCGACGCAAGGGCAATTAGTATCCCGCTGTCAAGGTTCGGACTAAAAGTCGGTGTACACGGTTCTTTCTGCAGCTCCACACCTGCAATGCCGAGACACACAGCGTGTTGCAGGCAAGGCAAGACGCGTGAACCGGAAGAAAAGCACAGGGAATGGAAACGGGGTATTTTTAGGAGGGGTGAAAAGACGGTGGAGGGTAGAGGGTGTGAAGGAGAAAAATAGCGGAATCGGGTAGGTACCTCGTCGATCGGAGACAATGTTAAAGATCGGAGTTGGTAGCTTTGTGCGTCTACAGTGCTCTTCGTGATGTTAGTGAAAGAACTCGAGGGGGGGGTTGAGGAAGGTTGCAAGACGTTTAGCGTGACAATCGTGCCCCAATGGCTTGCTTACCTGAAAGCTGGTCTTGCCAACTCGGCCGGCTTGCGGCAGCGCTTCCTTGGGGGCTATTGGGCAGTGACATTGTCGGTCGTGAAAAAGGTAAATTTCTCAGTAATTGAAAGGTATTTCTGAGACTCAATTGCAAAAGAGAGTAAAGGTAGAAAAGGTTGTCGATAGGGTGTGATGTGGCAACGTTGGCGTGTGGGGGAGAGAAGAAACTTCGGGGACGAGTTGAAGGGGAAAGGACTCCGGGGCAATCAAGTAAATATAAAGAAGAAGAATAATTCACTAGATCTCAATGAATTCAGAAAACTTGCGTGACCGTTTTTAAAGTCACGAACGGTGATTAACATGGGAAGCGGGGAGTCCTATATACAGTGGGCCATATCTTCAAGGACCCGAGAAAAATAATATTATTAAAAAATTAAGAAAATAGAAAACCCCCAAAAAAATAAAAACCAAAAAAGACCCAAAAAGACCAAACAGCAAGAGACCGTTCTCGGGAGGAGGGGGTCATGATGAATTTTTTTTTTCTCTGTACTATTTCTCCTGGCGGGGACAAGCAGACGGAGCCTAACGTCTGTCTGGAACCCAATGGACGACCAAAAAGGACGAGCTTATGCACGCGAGTGGACAGACCCAGCGTCAGCGAAATTCCCCCTCCCTTCCTGCCTGATCCGCCAGTGAAGGATGGGTGCGGGAGATATGCGGATCATTCATGAGGCTGCAAGCTGGAACGGCCCGGCGCACGCCGACCAGAGCAAAAAACCTTTGAAGAAACGCTAGACGAGGTAGAGCCGTAAGGGCTAAGGGGTCGCGGTTGAAGGTCCCACTATCGAATTTCCCAGATGTGACAGACACAAATTTTCCACTAGGCAAGGGGAAGCGAAAAACAATTACAAGTAGAACATATCTTTCTTTTTGGCAGCCGGGGGAGAGCTTCCGAAGAATATTGATTAATGCAACTAATAATCATACAAAATGTCCGTTTTCTCCCTCTTCCTCCTCTCCCCCCCTTAAATTAATATCGATGCATAAAGCGAGAAATAGAAAAAAAACACAAAATACAAAATAACGTCGGGGCCACTAGGGTCGCGGATTAGATGGGAAAAAAGAACAACTCACAATGCTCCACGTCAATAACTGAGGAGCGCCCCGGGGCTGCCTCATCCACCAGGCATATCAACCGCTAGTGCGCATAGGCTCGAACCAAATCGGCGGGATCCCTTCCAGAATAAACCTCAAGGTATGAATTGCATGCGTGGCCGTGAAAGGAACGTCTTCTGTGAGTGATGAGAAGATGGTTGCCCAAATTGCCCAAAAGTGGAGCTACTGGGGAGGGCGTCATAGCTCCGACCCTAGACACGACGAGGGCGGATGCCCAAAAGTACTTGATGCGACGACAAAAAATAGTATCATCAAGGCATCACCAACGAAGTCGAACGGCTCGGGTTGGGCTGCTAGGTAGAAAAAAAAGAAAAGAGTTGAGATGAAGAGGCCAGCGTGCCAGCACATCAAGTCCCAGTGGATGAGATCATAATTGTCCCAAAAGCTATATTGTACATTCCTATCCGAGGCTCTACGCTAACCCTGGTCAACTTCCTGCACCTGAGCAGTGTCGATAATAGCTGAGACTACGGATAGTAATTTCAGATGGTTCGTTCGTCGCTGCCTGCGATGATTGTGGTTGTAGCAACTAGCCCCGACCATCCTGGGACGAACCGGGCCGCATTGCAGGAACTCATACTGGGATTTGAATACTCGTCTAGATGAGTTCGAGGCTTGTCAATAAACAACAATGGCCTTCAGTATGGTGTATGAGATATTGCCCGCATCTCTCAGGAACTACATGCCTCCTCCGCCCTGGCCCTACACACTGTATCTTCGCCTCATAATCGAGCTAACCGCCTCATGTCTTCGCGTGAAGCTCGCTTCATGAAGCCCAGGGGGGGAATAACAGATGAATGGATCTCAATCGGACGAAACTGCCGTGATTTGCTGCCCTAATTTTATTGGGTATTCATGCATTTTCATCCATTCTTGTTCCATGGATCCATGGTTCTCATCAATGCATGCGGCTAAACAGATGCAAGAGGCGGGCAAAAGCTATAGCCACGGGGGTGTCTATGCTCATGTCCATGCTCACGTCCATGCCCTACCGAAGCCGGGGCCGGGGCTGGGGCTGGCTAGGAAGATCTGGGCCTCAGCCGTAAGCGCCTTGGGCCCCGCACTGGATTAAGGCAGCAAGGCAAGGTTCAGTGGTTCTTGGGCGCGATAGAAAATTAATTAAAAAAATATTAAATCTAAAAAGATTCATTCGTAGCCAATCGATTTGCTTCTCCGTCATGACTGGCATATAGACATGTGTTATTCTTCACTGTGACACCGCTAGCGGGGTTCATGCTCAGATTCATGCTCAGGTTCATGCTCGTGCTGATAGTGTCGATCGGCATTCCTCACCCTTTAGTCAGACCTACCGTCATACGAGTACAGGATAGTTCAACCCATGAATAGAGTCGGTGTGTACTCCATTATAAGTGGGTATCTCCCGTACTTTGCACACGATGCAGATACCGGGAGGCTTGGAAGGCGATGCACGATACCCCTGAAGATGAATAGGAAGCTCGTGAAATGAAGCAGCGGTCAGACCGTTGAATAGTGAAATATGCATCGACAACAGAGCAACACAGGACGAGGTAACCATGTACACGCAGGTCCTTGAATGAAGCTGAAAAGAAGCAAAGCAGACAACAGAGCAGTTCGAAGCAAAAAGCAAGTAATCGCAGATACGCTGTGTAGATACACATATCCTGTCCAATCCTCGAATGCAAATGAAACGCCAAACCGCCCCCGAGCCTCCGAAGCTTTCTTGTCCAATCGTTCAGCTCGGACAACGTCGGGTAGATCGCCGATATGCGCTCAACCCGGCATGAACACACGCCACACAAGTGGGGAGCTTCCAAATATAACATGAACTAGCCAGCAATGATGCTAACAGAAAACGGAAGGCTGAAAAGGAATCCAGAAAATAAAAAATAAAAAGCCGTGAAGTTCGTCGCCAAGTCATTAATCATGGGCATCGGCACAATCCATGCATCCAGAACAGCGGAAGGAAATGCAAGATGCAGGTAGATCTCGACGCCAACACATGGGTCTCATGATTTTCTCCTCAAATTTCATCCTCTTCTCGAGTTATCCTCTCGGATCACAGACTAGTCTCCGTTGGACCAAGGTACCCTTGTCGTGGCAACTAAGCAGAACCCCTCCGTTGAAGTACCTCGCCGATCAATCTGCGTGGGCCTATGAGTTCGAGCCCTCTGGTCAAGGAGCGTGCGGGGAGGGACCATGTAGGTCGATGCTGTTGGTGCCAGCGACGGCGTATGCAATCATCCACGAGAGCCACTAGTCCTGTCGCGACAATCACACTAATCACCGTTAGTCTTCTTCGTCTATGCACGCAATAAGGGAAATAAAGCAAAAGCAAAAACGACGAAGAAATTAGGAAGGAGAAGGACGAAAGTGACAACAAATCATCACACTAACTCATGCCAGGGCAGGGCAGCAAACCGCCCAACGCATGAACGCCTCGCAAACGCAGATCAAGATCAAAACAGAAAAAGGGGAGCGGACTTACTCGGCAACGTCAGGCATCCTCTCATAAACCGAAGAATCGTTAATCCACATCGAACAAGGCGGCACCCAGCCACCCTTACTCTCCTCCTCTACCGCCTCAAGCGGTGTCATGATTTCCGGAACCATATGTGCAATCGTCTTCGACGAACGCATATCAACAAGGTAGTATGAAACTTCCCGAAGATCCCCTTCTCTCCTGAATTCCCGGCGCCACTGATACTTCGTCGACCAGTACTCATATTCGTATTTCTTCGTCGCACCCGTCCCACGCCGTCTAAGCTCAACATGCGCGTAATTAGAGAATTCCAACAGAATCGTCTCGGTAAGTGGTGGTTGTCCTCCACGGCCATCTCCATGCCCATTCTCCACGCCGTGGTCATAATCAGGATCATCCAGATTAAACGAATCCATCCCAGCCTCGTACCCCGAATCCTGCCGCTTCAAATCTTGGGGCGAGTTTGCTGGATGATGACCTCCGTTCGAGCTCGATCCTGGACGGAGACTGGCAAGGACACTACTCAGCGAGCGACGACGACGCTGCTGATCGGCGTGGTGCGAGACGGCTTCTTTGCGCGCAGAGTGGCACACCTCGCGGCCAGAGTCACGACAATATCTCCGGAAGGAAAACTTGCGCGAGAAGAGGTCGTACATGCGCAGATGAAAGAGGATGACATCCTGCTGATATCCAGCGCGACAAGGCACAACCGTGTCGACGCGCAGATTCATATTACCATCTATCGTTGCGTCGTCATGGCGAATGAGTAATCTTCTTGAAGAAGGGAAGAGGCCTGCGAAGGAGGAGGGGGTTGAGGCTAGGGCATCTGTTGGGAAGTTTTCTTGTCTGTCGTCGACTTCGTAAAGTTGTTCTTCTGTTTTGATTTGTTGCTGTTGCTGTTGTTGCTGCTCTGCTTCTTCTTGGAGCTCTGCTGTTGAGCGGGTCGTGGAGGCATATGTTGATACTGAGGCGTTGGGGGCGGGCTCATGGTCATCGGCGTGGTGGTGCTCTTTTGGTTCAATGAGTCGGACTTCGATTTCGTCGTCGTCAAATGCGGGCCATTCTGTTTGAGCTCGCTCCTTTGGCGTTGGTCTGTCGCTGATTATTGTAGGCACGGTGCTTTTTGAGTGGTCCGAGGCATCGGTTTCTGTGGAGCTGCAACTGCCTCCATTTCCGGGTGCTTGTGATGACTTGTACGAACCCATCTTAGGAACCTGCATAAGATTTGGGGAATTATATGTCAAAGGCTGGAAAAATTAAAAGAGATGAAAGAAGTTCTGGTGACTGGTTCTGTCGTATGGTTTTCTCCTGTTCAGCCTTGTGGAGAAGGAAATTATCAAGTCGAGATCCGTGAGTTCAATAGAGTTGAGGTGGGTTCACGCGATCGGAAGGTAAGATATCCAACAGTGTGGATAGAATAGTAATAGGAACAAATCTTGAGAGTGTAGTGAAAT